AGGTTTAAGTAGTCTTCTTGAACTTAGTGACGACACTCGTCAACACCTCACAGTACAACACGCTCGCTATATCTGCAAAAGTGGGTATCGCCTAACCGCCCGTCAGATGATTTACAGCACATCTAGAGAACAGAGACATATCTGTACTAAAGTGAACATAATTAAGTAGGCCAAGAGAAGTTCAAGAACTGGAGTTATAAGGGAGCGATCCTTGAGTTGCTCTTGTTTTTACTTTTCATAAATGACCTCAACGTCACTTTCCTTGTTCATCCTCCTACTTACCGACGACATCAAAATACGAAGTACAATGGGTAGGGAATTTAACCGTAGACCATTCCAAGGCTATGTACTTCAGTTAGAGTCCTGGTTGGCTAAGAAACGTTTAAACCTTAGTCTGGAGAGGTGCAGGGCGGCGTATCTGCGCACACTGGAAGCGATGAAAACCCACCGCACCCTAAACAAGTGCGCGGTCACCAGTACGCACACAGAGAAGGACTTGGGATTTAACTTCTCTGGCACACTAGACAGTAGCGCTAACTGTAAGAGAATGGTGACAAGCGTGAGGGCCATCATGCACTTTCTAAGAGGGAGGCTTGGAGTCATAACCCCCGAAATTATTCCTGATGGCATTAAAAATTTATATTAGCACGCACTGAGAGATTTTTCACCCCGCAGTCTTTCTATTTATGAGTCAAGAAACAAATACTCGAAGAGGTGCAGAGGCGCTGCGTCCCAGACAGGTCGGCTCGTTCGCAGTGGGCTGTGGAGGGGAAAGAAGCAGCTTAATAACACGTTTCAGGATCACCCATTAAGCGAACCACACCAAATGGATAATATTATTGAATCAAAACCGACATTCTCTCGGGGATCGCACTCGGACACCCCACCATATGGCACGGACGGTAGTAAGATTAAACTTCTCAAGTAGTGTGTGGCCTATGGAACATTCTGGCGAAGAGAGCAGCTGCAGGTAAATCAGCCGACTGCTTCAAAACACCACTGAGACTCAATGCCCACTGAGAGTGATGCTTTTGTCTGTCGACAGCTTCCAGAAGAGGCTACACGGCACCGCAGCGATATGTGGCTTGGGCTCATCCAGCTGGTATATAAACTAGATCAGTACGACCAGCCAGTTCTACACGACCAGAAGCAATCAACGGTATGACGAATCTGTTGTACTGCTACGGTTATCACGGACCAGACTTGATTTTATACTTCCCTGTTAGACGTCATTCCCCCAATTACCATATCCCCTGTGATGACGCAATTACTTCGACTCCTGTAATCCTCCCTATAGTCTGATCTACCTCTTCTCCCCCGTTTTCCTATATGATCTCACCCCTTCTACTAAGGATCCCCACAACATCACTGTTGTACCTGAAACCACCCAGGATTCTCCTTGCCTTTTGCTCTGCTTAGTCTCAACCTGCCTCTTCAAACTTCCTCTCCGTTGTATACACCGGACATCTTTTCATCCTTCCTATCATTTTTACCAGCAGTCCCGACGAAAGTCTGGTGGCATGAAATTTGAGGGGGCCCATCTACACCACAGTCCTTGGACAAATCATAGTATATCTACAAATTTAATCTACACCCAAACGCCCGTCTGGTTAACTGGAGATACAGCAGGTGATTGAGTAGACCGACTACATAAAAATCCACGAAAGCGTAGAATCGTTGCAAAAGAAGCAGGAATGGGGTACGAGGAACTCAACTGGCCAACACAAGATGGTTAGGAGAAGCTGTTTATTTGAAATGTATAGCGCAAACTTCCAATGGTGTGCTACTGCTGTGAAATTTAAACAGCTGATGTGTTAACATCGTTGATTATTTCTTTTCTGACATTTTAGTTTCTGGTACAATACACGTTTATCTTCTTTGTAAACTCATTAAGTCATGGGCCTGAAACCAAAAGTCTCGTGGGAATTTCACTCGGACACCCTACCATAAGACAAAGACGAGAGTGAGATTAAACTTCTCACATAGAGTGTGTCCCTTATGGAAACTTCTGCCGAAGAAAATAGCCATAACTACATGTGTTGACTCATCCAAGCTGCTGATGGATAACTAGGTGAGCACAGACGGCTTATAAGCCGAACATTCATCAGTAGCAACGGAAGGTATGCTCAGCCACCCCTGTATTCCCCAACCCTAGTATCCTGGAGCAAAAGTTTGCATTTGGGTGGTGAGAAACCCGTCTCAAATATTCTCAAGTTACCAGTCAGGGTATCCAGAGGACAATTGGACTTCATCTTGTCAGCGTCTTCACCTAGCAGGACTGTGTCATCTGCATATTCTAGGTCTAACGAAAATTCTCCTGTGGTTAGGTCAACCTCTGTCTAATCAGGTAACGAGAGGAAGACCTCCATAAGAATATCCATGATAAAATTGAATAAGAATGGAGAGAGTGGGTACCCTTGACAGTCACCACTCGACGAGCACAACTCATCGGACATCTCACCATAGGCTCTATAACACACCCACAGGTGTCCGAGTAGAGAGTCTTCAATGAGGTGACGTACTTACTCGGCACGTCTTTCAGTGAGAGACATTGCCATAAGACTTCTCTACTGACGGGGTCGAATGGAGCATTGAGGTCGAGAAATACAGCTATTGTCGGGCCTTGATAATCGTGCCTGGGTTCCAAAATCTGGCGCAGTGTGAATATTTGGTCGATATGCTCGCCGCTGGGTCTTAAGCCTCCCTGGTTTTCTCGGGCTTGGTGTTACCGAGCTCCACTCAAGCGTCAGAGGATTATAGAATCTAGAATTGTAGATACTGTGTTCGTCAGGCTGATTCTTCTGTGGTTATCACAAGAGAACTTCTCGCCTTTCTTGAAGACTAGAATAATCAGTGATTCCCACCAGTCAGAGGGGATGGTATTTGATTCCCATATACTGGTTAACACTTCCGTTAGCCTGACTAAGAGCACCCACCTTACCACCATCGTTGTATACCTCAGGAGTTAGTCCGTCTGTTCCTGCCCCCTTTCCTCGTTTCAGGTTACCTATCACCTTCTCAACTTCTCCTAGTGTTGGACGGCCTATCTTAATGTTACATTCAGGATCTGATTGGATAGCGGGTAACGCAATGGTGGCTGGAGGCCAGTTAAACTGTTCCTCAGAGTGTCCTTCCCATCGTTTCAGTTGTCTCTCCTGTAAGTGAATCTCAGACTCGTTCTTCTCCGCTATGGTCTCACTAACCGTTGTTGACCTTTTCTCCCTAGTTTCCTTAATAAGTCTAAATAACTGTCTACTGTTACCAATCGCCGCTGCCTTTTCCATCTCTTTAGCCTTCGCTGCCCACCACTGTTCGCAGTTGTTGCGTAGACTTTTTCTCAGTCTCCTTTTAGGTTGCGCTCGCTGTTCATTGTACTCAGAGCCCGCAGCAATGCGTTCATGTGCATCCATTAGTTCGGAAGAAGTTGCTGATTTCCACCGGCTATTTTTAGTCGGCTACGATCCTCAGCGCAGCTTTTACAGCAGACTGGAGGGTACTAGGTAAAAAAGGCGACCTAACCATTATCAACCAAGATGGTTTGGAGATAGATAACCGTCTTTAGCCACCCACCCCCTCCCAGTGTGATGTCAGCCGAAGCATAATTAAATCGGAAGAACGTCAAGGGTGGTCAGACCAAGATGTTAACCCAGTTCATAAAGGTTATGATTACTGAGGTGAACTATTTAGTTAGGTGAAGACCGCCTGACTAGGGTCGTCGAGATGACAGGAATCATTGGTTGCAGACTCTAGGTGATAAGACACAGTGTAAAAGATGTATGTACTCCTTAACATCATTGACATTTTGAGGATTTTCAATAATTGTCATTTATCTATCACTTCAACTCTCATACACTTGTTCCCACTTTTTTGTTACATCCTGTTGTCGGGTGTGGCAACTCGAACTAGTACAAATCTTTACCAAGTTTTACGTTGATTTGTCTGCTTATATGGAACCATGTTTATTCCTATTTCCCTATACTTTATTATATGTCTGTATTAACCGTTGTCTTGTGTAGCAAATACACATGATGGAGTAGTGAAAACATTCTAAATTGGTTACACAGTCAAGATAAATTTCTGCGAACTCTCTTCCAAAACCTAAAGGAGGTCTCCACCGCTATATATATGTATATTCGTATATCCAAAAATCTTACCAACGGAATAAGCCATTGGCTTTGCAGATTTGACTTTTCAATACTCTAGTCTATGTCATACTTTATATCTTTGTTCATGTGATGACGTTTTTTAATTTTTTCTTTTACTGTCTTCAGATGTAGCAACTTGGACTGAAGTCTTATTCTACATGATTCTGGGACTCTCGTTTCATTATCTCATTTTCACCATCACGTCTACTGTCTCTAGGTTTTATAATTTTACTTTATTCATCTAACGGCATCGTCTTCTGTATAGCTCATTTTCAGTCGTTCTTTGTATCGGTAGAAAATTCTCTTTTGGGCAAGCCCACATTAGTCACTAAGTGTTCATAAAATTAGTGTGGATTCATTTTAGCCGTTTTGACTATTTGCCAAGCTTACTTTCTCCTACTAACTGGAACAAGATTTCCTTGCACTTGTTTTTCTGTTGGCAAAACAATTTATTTAAGAGCTGTAGCGTTTCGTATTCACCTAATGAAGTTCCTATGGATAATAATAATCTTATTTACTAAAATTAATAAGTTGTTTATGTTTAGAGGTTAAATAACATTTAAATTACTACCGATTGCGCAAACTATGAAGTCTACTTGCAGACTTGCACCAGTTAGACTTGTCACACCTGACAACAGGATGTAACAAAAAAGTGGGAACAAGTGTATGAGAGTTGAAGTGATAGATAAATGACAATTATTGAAAATCCTCAAAATGTCAATGATGTTAAGGAGTACATACATCTTTTACACTGTGTCTTATCACCTAGAGTCTGCAACCAATGATTCCTGTCATCTCGACGACCCTAGTCAGGCGGTCTTCACCTAACTAAATAGTTCACCTCAGTAATCATAACCTTTATGAACTGGGTTAACATCTTGGTCTGACCACCCTTGACGTTCTTCTGGCTGTCCTACTTTGACCAACCTCTCTTTTCGTGACAACCAAGTTTAGAATGTTATTAGGAAAGATTTCAAATGAAAATTGTATGTCCTTTCAGTGCAGGGAATTCAACCCTCAAATGAGAGTTTTTACCGTTAATTTTAGGCTCTAATTCTGTTTTATAGCCATTTGTGTGTCGCGTTGCATGTTGATTTTGGAGAAGATATCTTTTATGTGCCACACTTATTCACGTCCTACAAAGTTCGATTTTTCTGAATTTCAGACAGCTCAAGACTGGCACCACGATGCGGCTGTTTTGGCCCAGCTTATTAATGATTGCAAAGGGGACATAGTTATGTATACTGGTGCTGGTATCAGTACTTCTGCAAGCATTCCAGACTACAGAGGCACAAATGGTTTATGGACAGTGCAAACTAACCAATTGAATAGTATTGATTTAGGTATTGAGATGTGGCTTCCGAGTTTTTATTTTAGTTCCATCTAACCTTGGTTCTGACAAAAGTAATGGAGTGAGATGTTCGGATATCCCAGAAATACAAGTATGGTTTGGAACTTCAGTTTATTTGCTTCTATCTTAGAATAAAAGGCTCAATAACAAGAAGGTTTCGAAGTCAGCCAAAAGTATCCCGTTGAGGCTACGACTTCCAGAAGCTACAGCCGCTAGGCCAACATTCACTCACATGGCTATTAAAGTCCTTGTGGATGATGGATATGTACGTAATAACACTGTAATTGAATTTTGAGTTATTTCTTACCCATATTTCGGAAGCGTTTGATTTCCTTTAGTCAACTACAGGTAATGAAATGATTGTTTAAACTAAAGGGTATTTTTAAAACAATTTATCAATTTCGACAAAACAATAAGAAGACGTAAATTGTCTGTACCGTGTAATGTATTTGCGCAACACATTTTGAACTATCTGATCACACACGTGCTTGTCGTAGGTATTTATATGAAAATTCATGAAGGTAAGGGGTGAGAAAATGAAAAGAGGTCGAGTAGGAAGGCTGAATTAAAAGCTGAATAACGATGAAAATCAATAGAGCGAAAATAATAGTACATCGAACTTGGTTTTCCCAGTTGAATTTACCAAGAGAGATTTAATGTGACAATAAATTGTTTATGAACACACAAAGGTGGTTTCAACTTTCTAACAGCTAACACCTCAACAAATTTTAGGATCCGTCCCCAACACGTTTTGTAAATAGGTGTAAAGGAAGTAGCCACATTAATCCTGTAACTTGTTTCAACGAAATGTTTGGCGATCGAAGACCTTGAACATCTGCTACCAACGTCTATGAGTTTAAGTGATTTAATTTACTTCTGAAGCCACTTCAGAATATATTCCGAGGCCCTTACTTGCATGGATCTGTTAGCTCTCTTTATGTATGTGTCGCCACACGTACATTTGAATTGGCAGATGCAGTGGCATGTGACATTGTCGTTCACACGCTGTGGGGGATTGGACTATGAGAGTCATCTTTGTACGGGAGACTGATAAAGATGTCCTTCCTTGGGACAAAATGAAGATCTGGTTTTGGCGCTCTGATTATTTTGTGCTACATAATAGGTTTCGAAGGATAGTTGTTTCGCAACAATATTTCAGTCAGTATTTTTCTTTCATCTTCTAAAATATTTTCTGTGCAAATTCGTTAATTCTGCTGAATAAGCACCTAACTAACGCTCGCTTGTACTTAACTGGACAAGGGTACGAGGGTATTTAATGCAACAGATATTTTACTGCTGTTTGTGTGCAACTCTTACAGTGATGACCACATACTCATAAAAAGTAAGAAATGGGTCCCGATGAAATCATTTTCTTGCTAAAATATACGTACTTTTCAAAACACCAGACTTTCCTGTGCGAAAATGTCCAAAATATCACCTGTTCACGTTTGTTGTGCAGTTAAAATAGTGGGATTCAGAGATATCAGTCATGGGAACAACAGATCACGGAAATTGGCAAACTTTTATGCTACAAAGATTTTCCCAAAACACTAAAAATTACCACTTTTAGACAGTGATATAATTTGGAATGATTTTCAATGGTCTCGTTACCTATATTCTGTAGATGTTATATGGATTCTGCTTTCGAGTATTTGTACACTTTTATTCTTATTTCTATTTAATGTGTAGATTCTAGTTGGATAAACTGATGCTGCATGCACAGAAATGATTTATTAACGTATAGTTGTTTTTCGAGAACTACGGTGAGGGTGTTTCGGACTTCTCGCTATGCCGTTCGGTACATTTATAAACACCATTTCGTCACTGAAACTTTGCAGTGTTAAGCCCTAACTTTTAAAAAGCGATCCATTATGCGACTTCGCTTTGTTAGCAGTCTTACTAGATGACTGACGGAGAGTATTAAGATCCTTTTGTGTCACTAACGCAGAAGTCGGGTGTAGATTTTCAAGTAGGAAATGAAAGTCAGTTGGTACGGTTGTGAACCTTCGTCAACTGAGATGGCTGGGACATGTGTTGCACATGTCTAGCCACCTTCTGCCTTCTCTCGCAATGTTAGTCTAAGTGGGATCAGGCTGGGAAAGGGCCCGAAGCAGTCAGACCAAAATATAGTATCACAGCATGAAGACCTTGACTACTGGTTTGATCCATGTAGGAAGATGGAGACTAACCGCATGGATTCCACGTGACAACAGAAGCCAGTGGTTGGAGACTCTATGTGATATGGCTCAGAACCTTTGTCAGTGGCTAAGATGTATCCACACATTATCTTAATCACTATACTGAATTCATTCTCTCATTCCTTCTTCCTCTCTTACTATTGTCTACTGCTTTCGACCGATTTTTCATTTTTTATCTTTAATCTTGTTGATACTAAGTGGTGATTGAAAGTGAGATGAGAATTTGGGCTGCGGTAGGATTCGAACAGGTTTCCTGTTAGCTGCTCTACCAACTGAGCTATGAGACCCAACTGCTGCTCAGATTTTTATTTCACCCCAGTCATCAAGGGTTTCGCCTAACTGCCGTGTAAATTCGCGACATGTTTCTATCACTTGATCTTACTTACTCACACTGGCCGCCCAATCAGGACTTCTCATCCTAATCCAAATCTATTTGAATTAGAGAGGGGAAGTATTATCATTTTGACTATTGGAGATAGGCGTGGTTTAGTAGACTTGTATTTATCATCATCGTTGACTGTTTTATTGCTTTGTTACTTGATGTGCTGGCATGATATGTGGCAGCTTGGACCGTTGTCCAGTGATGCTTCGTCCATTGTTGGTATTGATGATGATTAAGCTGTTATGTGATATTGGTAGGTTCCATTGTTAGGCTTAAATGATAGACTCAGTAAGTCAAGGAGTATCATTAGAATTAATGAAAATAGACTGATATTTCTAAAATGAAGCATAGGATACAGTTGGTGGTAGAAAAAGGATTGGTTCAAGTGGATGAAATGAAAAAGGAGTTATTGAAAAGGTAGAATTGATTTCAAGAGGTGAAATAAAGGTCTAATACTGTCTAAGAAGTACAAAATGATGATTGAACTGAAGTCTACAAAGTGAAGTGAAATTAAACCAACCAGCAAACCAAAATGCATTGTTAAGGCCTCGGTAGACCTCGGTTCGACAAAACGCTTTTGAATACACAGTTTCCGCTTTTGACCATGTATAGCTGATGCTTTAGATATTCATAAGTGATGGAAACATAAACCTTTAGAATAACTTGGTCTTACTCCGTAAATTACCTTAAAAGATGAATCTTGAGAAGCTGAACTATGTGACTCAAGTGAGTGTTCTCATATAGATGACGCTGTTGTCCTTCCGTTGCCTTTGGTTAACCAAACCGGGCTAGTGTTTTGAAACGCGTTTCCGGAGACCCTGCTTACAACGTTCAGTATACTAGGCTCCACAGGGGTATGTGAATTTGTAGATACACATAGATATGGACGTAAGTAGCAACCTATCCTTCAAGCGATGTCAAATTATATGAAAGCTGGGGAATATCAACTATTAGTGTTCGTGAACTGTTCAGTCCAGGTTGGCTTGCTTTAGATTGACATTTGAAGTGAACTATCATCCCGTTTCTTTAACATCACGTCTAAGAAGTAAAGTACCGGATGTAATTCTTCCATAGTGAATTTTATAGACAAGTAATAATCATGGAATCGTCTAAGGAGTTCATCAACTGAACTTGTTTCATCACAAATTAGAAAAGTGTCGTCTATCTGTCTTCTGTACATACTTCAGTAGTTAGGTACTTCTTAGTAATAAAAGCTGCTTCATCCACTCGTTGTGTTCCAGAATTCATAAAATCTGTTCAGAAGACACGGTGGATGTTGAAATCGAAATTCTTAAAGCAACACTATTGAATGGGAGATATCCCGGAAGATTTAGTCATCACCCAGTGTCAACTAAAAATGTGACTGTAGAGGTTTGCTATAAGTTGTTGAAAAGAAATAGTACTTATATGACTGAAATTTATGGGTGTAGTTTTTTCGCTCTTTCTCACATACCAACACGCAATGGGAGATTTGTTGTAGATTAGTCAGGAAAAAGTATTGACACCTATCTCAATTGTTTTACTTACTATGCTGTTAGGTCTGTAGCTCAAGTGGCGTATAGATTTTCTTGTTAACTACTCTGGAATGTCTACGCGTTGTTGATTGACGTAATCTAAACTAATGGGGTAGTGTATTCTAGCCAAATATTGCAAGTATTTATATGAATGGATACTTTAAGGGATGCTTTTTAAATTACTCAGGCAAATATGTATGCGTCTCACTGAATGACTACGAAAGTTTATAAAAAAGGTACGATACTGCTTGAATAAGCTTGATAGGGAACATTTAAACAATGTAGTAATTTATTTGCGTGTTTACACTATCTGACTTTAATATGAGAGACTAATTGTATTGAGCAAGTTGTTTATTCATCAAGTTATATTGAATGAAAAGACATTTCTTTTTTTCTATAATCTTAGGTTCGACACGTGGTTTCTCAAAATGTTGATGGCTTGCACATACGTAGTGGCTTGAAACGTGAAAAACTTTCAGAATTGCATGGTAATTTGTTTATTGAAGTAAGTATATTTAATGTGATCAGTTTATCTACTTGATACATATTGCTTAAAATGGTTTCCTTTTTTGTCCTATTAAGTTGTTGATGTAAAAAGTCCTGAAGCTTCTTTTAGGAATGAGACAGATACATCCAGATAAAAATGATACAATATTCGAATTAAGCATATAGTTTATTCGTCGTTAGTATTAGAACTTACTCCTTAGACTAAAGAAAAGTAAGAGAGTAGATTTTAATATAAGTCCAGCGTGTTTAGAAAATCAAAGCAAGATATTTCTGAGTGTTTCGCTGCGTAAGCAACAGCTTCTTCAGCAGAACATACGGGTATATTCTAGTGAAGCTGTGGCTTACACATCGAAACGTTCAGAAATATCTTACTTTGGTTTTCTGAACACACTGGAATTATATTAAAATATATTCTTATAAAGATTCAATCAGACTCAGCGTTCGACTCCTTCCAGGACATTCGTAACAACTATGGTCTGGATGTTTATAAAAGTAAAAGAGTTGTTAGTTGTTCGATCCCCAGCCCCAATTAGTTTTTGTATTTGCTGATAGGCCTAAGGGACTGTCGAATGACCAGTCGGTAGGAGTTAAATATGAAGTGCCTTACTTTACGTGAAAATCGTAGTATGTAGTTTGAGAAGAGCTTTATCATTCATCTCTCAAGTTAGTTGACAGTACTGTAGGTTTAAATAAATGAAAGCTGACCCAATTTTTTGTGGGTCTGAGTCCCCTTTTCTTGTTAGATGACGGTGATAGGAAGTAGTATGTCGACGGTTTATGAAAATGCAGTTATTCTTTTTGCAAGGTAGTCTTGAAATTCCCATATGGTTTGGTATGTCGATGATAATATGCATTAAACCATGGTAATAGTGTTTTAGCTTTGACGTTTCATCGCGTAAGTTTGATCAGTAGATTGATATACTTCATCAAAATTTAAACAACGCTGAAGTATGATAGTTGCTAAAATAAATTCTTTTTTTCTCCTGTAAGAGTAATCGAAGGATGCTATAATTCTTCGAAGTCGAACGGAAGCTACAGCCATACACATGTTTTGCGGGTAGTGTATTCAAGTCATTTTCGACATTAAAGCTCGTAAAAGTTCAGATGATCGCTATTCAGCAGCTGATCACCAGAGTGGTAACCAAACCTATCGTTTGTGAACTAACAGTCTTGCTTAGTTGCTGAAACAACTTATTTCCAGTGAATTAGGATTTCTGTTTTTTTATTTTGTTTGCTTCAATATCTTTATTTTCCAATTGAAATCCTTTTGGTGTACTATTATGAAGTTTGAGGATTTGAACTGATTTCCTTTTGTGTATGGTGGCACGTTGACTTGTTTACCTGAGTGTGGATTGGGGACTCCAGGGACCATACTTCAAATACGAAGCCCAGTAAATCAAATAAACTGTACCCTAAGAATTCGCTTGTATTGTTTTCCGTATATCACCCCCACTTAAATAAAGTCTAGCAGCTTTACCTTATAATTTAAGGTTTTTTCTCTGAAGTTAATGAATGAAAAACGTTCTAGTCAGGGTTAATTATTGTTTTCTTTTTTTAGCAATGCATTGCCTGTGAATACAGTGTTTTCCGGATATTTGATGTTGCTGAAACAACTTCTCGTTCATATCATTTTACTGGGCGTTTATGTCCTCGCTGTCGAGATTTACATCCCGTTGAGAGTTTGATAGCGAGTGGTGTATTACGGCAAACAGCTGAACAGTTAGCAGTATCCAAATACAAAACAAATGTATCAAATGAAAGTCTAATGTTAAGTTATCGATATGCTGCAAGAAAGTTAGCTAAGTCATTTAGAAGTATAAGTCTCAAAGAGATACAGCAATTATATAGTGCAAGGAATTCATTTGTTCCAACAGATTCAGAAGTTCTTACGAAAGCGCCTTTATTGAGGGATGTTGTTGTGCACTTTTTTGAACGTCAGCCTGAAATGGGACTAGCGGAAATATATCGCATTCAATCGGCAATAGATGCTGTACATGGTCGCAAAGCTCTTCGAGATGCTGTTACATCTACTTCAAAAGACTGTAAACTTTTGGACCGTGGATGTAAACGTCCTAATGAAGAATCAATCAAGTATCTTATAGGATCTCCGTGGTTCAAAAGAATGCGTCCTGCAATAAAGATAGAGTGCCAAGACCTCTCCAAATCTACTGCAGTGGGTGATACGCCATGTGTTTCTTCTGATCCTTTGGACACACCTGCTAGGTTAATTATTGTTGTTGGTTCATCTTTAACTGTTTTACGCAATTATCAATTCTTGTGGCCGAACGGCCTTGGTAGATGTGTTCGAAAAGGGTCATTGCAGAAAATCACAATGAAATCATCACCTTCTAACTGCACTTCCAAATTTACTTCAAGTTCTGATTCTCGTGGAAATTGTCGCTTAGTTATTGTCAATTTACAACCGACTTGTAAAGATGGGGTTGCTGATTTAGTGCTTCGTGTTCCTTGTGATGAGTTGTTTCGTTCTGTCATGTTAGAGCATTTACAAATAAATGTTCCAGAGTATGATGTCAAATATGACCCTCTTTTTTCTGTAGGGCTATCTTTATCTCCAGAAGAGGAGTGCACTCGTACCCGTCCAAATATTCCGTTTTCCTCACTATGATTTATTATTATTACTATTTTGTTATGCCCTACTGCATAGTTGCTCAAGAAATTTTGGTGGTATTGTTCTATGTTTCTACGCTTTGTACTTCGCTCTTATATGAGGAAAACTAATACCACTGTAAAGGATAAAATGCATTTACGACAGTCATAGTTCCTTTTCTAATAGAGTTGTGTCTTGTTATGGTATGCTATCTCTTTGTTGACTCCGTGGTGTCATTTAAAGTATTGCTAGTTATTAAGATGTAAATTTGTTTCTTCTCACGTAAAATCTTTTCAATATTAACTTTGATTCTCTGTCATAGCATGCCAAGCCACCGCCTACCTGGATGTGGCATGCTAGGTGGGGGGGGGGGGGCTGGGTTAGGTTGGAAGAGGGTTCAGGGTGGCCAGACCGAAACGCAGCAGCAGTCGATGCAATCTCTTACTGTTGTTCTGAGTCGTGTTGGAAGATACAGACTGCCTAGTTGGGATCCTCGAGACGAAATAAATCAGTGGTTGAGAACTCTTGGTGAAGTGGCTAAAAATTGGTTACAATGGCTCGTAGTAAACCTTATCAAATGTTAGATGCTGCGAGTTATTCAAGCCAATTTATTTTTAGGATTATGTTTTACTTCCTCTCGCAAAAAAGCAGCCTAATATATCACTTTTACAAGTGATTGCAAACACACGTATCGATATTTGTCAGCCAGGATCAGTATGAGACAATTAATGTTGCCAGACCTTTTATCAACACATCAAGGTAGAAGACATCAAAATGAACGATAGAGGAGTAATGAAGAAAGTCTAAGTGGTAGGAAGTCATAAGAAAGGAACCAGAAGGGGTGCAATAGTAATAATAGTAATACTAAATTTGGTACGGTGATCAAAAGGAAGACAATGTAAGGCTGCAACTGCGTCACTGAGATTGCTTCTAAGCCATATCACCTTGAGCCTTCAACTACTGGGTTTTTTCTACCACGTGGACCCAAACCCCAGTGTTCTTCATTCACTTAAAAAGCTTAAACGAGCACTATAGATTTCATTGGCCATTTTTGAGTCTGACCACTTCTGACTTTTCTCCTGACTAGACCTGCTTCAGCGAACTTTGTGAGAGTAGACAGACTGTAATCATGCATGTGTAATACCTGTCCCACCCATATGAATCAAGGAATTCTCACTACCTCGTCAACTGACTTCCCTCTTCTACCTAAAACTCTATGCCTGGTTTATACTGTACTGAGACAATAGTTCCACAACGCCTGACTAATGATACAAAGGAAACGCTGATTGAAAAGGTGAAGCCTCTTCATATCTTCTACCTTTGATGATCTTAGTTCACAGTCATACGGTAGAACTGCGTGAACTACAGCAAAGTTTATTCGGTCCTCAGTGGGCTGTTGGATACCATGCCGACTTCCTAAATTGCGTAAAATGGCAAAATTCAAGCAAACCTTGTGTATCCAAACGGAAATTTCGTCGGCCACTGACCTGTTATATCTAATCCGACCTCCAAAGTAAGTGAATTGGTCAAGACGCCCAACCACTTCGCTCCCCATTGTTAGACAAGACAACAAAAAAACCAGTTCTGAAGCAAAAAATAGCATTTAGATGATGATAAGTGCATCACAGATATTCTCAAATTTCCACTTAAGATGTCCGGATGACTCGGCATCTTCACTTTACTCAAAGATATCATCAGTCTGCTCCAGGTCTACTAAAGAGTCTTATGTGACAAGATCAATTCCTCTAAAGTTAGACAAAGAGATGAAGAATTACATAACTATGTCTACGAAGAAACCAAATGAGAATGGAGAGTGGACATCTTTGACGGATACTGCTACTAGTCACCTGATTACTTGCAATAGGTTCTAACACGCCGACAGACGTTCGAATACGTAGCTTTCGATGGGTTAATGTACTTGCCTGCCACTTCTTCGGTGAGATACACTATCATCTGACCTGTCGACTGACAGAGTCGAAGGACACCTTCAGGTTTAAGAAGTACGGCTGGTATCAGGAGCCAGTAAGGTGTGCCTACGTTTCATGACCTGGCAGAAGGTAAATATATGATCGATACACCCATGGTCTATAAACCCTAAAAACCTGTCTTATTTTCTGAGATTCGCTGTTGGCCAGCTTTACTTAGATATCTAATGATTGGTCTTGAACACAATACCCGGTAGACTGATAACCCTATGGTTATCATAGGAAAATTTCTTTTCTTTCTTAAAGACGTAAAATCAGTGATTAAAATCAGTCAGAGCTCATACGTGATTTCTATACGCTAGCTAATTTAATTCATTCAAGTAATAATCGTCGACCATTTCTTAAATGCCTCCGTTACTAGGCAACCCGATTCTACTGCTCTAACTTGTTTCACGGTACTCACAACCTTTCCAACTTCTACAAAAGTCGGAAGGCCTACCTCAACATTCCATTCAGGACCCGACTAGATAGCGGGAACACAACAGTAGCTGGAGGTTGGTTGAACCATTCCTCTAAGTGTTTAGCCCATCGTTCCTGTCGTGTCCCCTGCAAGTAAACCATAGACTCATCCTTCTCCGCCACAGCCTCGCTAACCATTCACCTTTTCATCCTAGTTTCTCGAATCAGTGTAAGTAACCCTGTAGTGTTGCCTATCGCTGTTGCCTTTCCCATGTCTTTTGACTTCTCTACTCACTACTGTTTGTGATCATTGTGTAGACTGTCAGTATACATTCGAATCGCTTCTGCGCTTTGTGATGCCCTAATTCTATACCTACATTAAAAACCTCCAAGGTTGATGTTGATCTAAGGGAAATTGAGTCCTGGCAGAGTTGTGAGGGCGTTTGACACTTTCTGACTGCTCAAGTCTCAGTAGTTTGTTAGTTTTAATAAACATACAGTAACTATTGGGTTCAAAATTTAACATATATAAAAACTTATTAGTAGTCACTGAAATACTTTGACTTGATTTTCATAACCTTGCAATAATTTGAAAAAGCCTTTGTTTATTGTTTAGATTACTACATTACACAATAGAGTAAGCACAGATAAAATTAAAGTCCAGTCAGATACTGAAGATTTATTGTTGACATTACACCAGTCTTTGGAGCAAGTTGCAATACATCCGTGATATAAATCTTCGTCTAGTTGAAATTGTCCACAATGAGTTGGTATGTCGGAAAGCTTATCCATAGAACATCTTCGTATCAGCAGACTGAAACCATCCTTTTGACGGATACCCTTGATTTTTGAACAATAGTGTGCATAGAAAAAACCATCATGTCCAGGTATGGTTTGACGACATGGTCGTTGAATTTGCACATGAGCACTAACCGGGTCTTCACAAGCTGGGTTGCTCTTGTTGACTGACACACAAGAATAACAGGCGATTGCAGTAGCTGTAGAATGTGTTAAAAGATCATATATTTCATTGAGTGCATGTAATGTGAGCAAAGCATTATCAGAAGTAATTAGTTTTATGGAGGATGGAAGTTGATCACCTACTTTCATCATTTCCTGTGTTTTCCATTGATATTTCTCGGTTTTATAATACATTTTGAATATCAATAAGCACTTTTAAAAGATATAATTTTTTAGGTGCAATTTTGATGCAACTATAGCACATGATATAGTTTGCACTTCAAGTAATTTTAATATATTGGGTTTAAGCAAGGAAACTCATTAAAAATATCATACTACCCAATTATTTTGCATTGTTTACTTGTTACTAGAATGATTTTTATTTTTAATAGCCTGAATATGATTGGTGTATATTTCCTGTTTTATTATTATTGTGTCCATTCTTTCCTTAAAGCATATATTGTGCACAATGAGCACTTCATTGATCCGTTCATATCTTATAATGAGGAACAGGAACGTAAATTAGTCTGCAGCGAGTCTTTGCAAATTTAGACTTCTCTTACTGTTATGTACCTAATTTAATTCAGGCTTTATTCTAGAGGTCAGCCATCGATGCAGCTCAGCAGTATAGTAAACTATAAGCCGCGCTAGTGATTTAAAGCTGAAGATAGTACCTGCCGCTGAAACATATATATATATATATATATATATATATATATATATATATATATATGTATCACTATGTAAGTTAAAGCTTTACTGGATAGCACATAAATTTTAGAGAGATGTATGACAGCATATGAACGATGGGGAAACAGCTTTTCTTTGTAAGGTTAACAATCTCATATGTTTTTGTATCGTGATGATTTTACCCAAAGCAAGAATAAACAGATTCACCGAATAAAAGGATATCTTTTTATTTCACTGATGCACATCAGCTCATATCCCCTTAAATTCAAAGCACATTCTTGGAGTTTACAATTACATAACACACTTGAGGTATGTTGGTGTGGATTTCGGAATTTCAACGAAAATAGTAAGAACAGAAACAGGAATTTCCAATCCTAATAAAGATGAATGATAACTTATAATTTAGTAGGTAGATTATCTCAGAGTTGTGAGTTGGGATTTATTTATTGATCTCAGGGTGGTATTCATCATAGGCTGACATCAGTTGATGAAGAGTCCCACACTGGGAAGAAACAGCTATCGAGTGATCCCAGGTTCCCATTGGTTCTCCAACTGATGTCACTCCATGATGACAACCAACCTGAGATCAGTAAATAGATCCCCACGAAACGTTCAAAATGAACTAATCTAGTACTTTTTGGTGACTAGCTCCGAGAGGTAATTATCAAAGTTCCAATTAGAAGTCGTGACGAGTGCGACCAACGGAGTTAAACATGTGGGCAGTCACTCAATGGCGGCATTGGATGGAGGTCGCGCTATATTGTGAACTGAGAGAAATCAGAAATATGAGCCATTGGGTTTCGAACCAGTGGGTCAGTGGTAACGTGCTGGCCTTGGAGCCTAAAGGCCCTGGGTTTGATCCCTAGGGGGAGGGGTTCATGAGTGCTCACCCCTGCGAGTCCCATGCTAGGACGAGACAGCTGTCCAGCCTCCCTAGGTTTCCAACTTTTCTCAGACTGATGTCAGTCCATGATGAATACTAACCTGCAAAGATATCTGACTGTTTAGATGGTGATATACGAATATGATTCGCAGTATTGACAAGATTGAGTGTAAAGCAGCTCTTTCTGTTCTCCTCCATTGGTTTTAAAACAGGTAATTAGAGATACAAGCGCTTTTCTGCATCAGTTTAATTAACATGTTTGTTTAGAAACGGCAACCTAAATCCTTAGCTTTCCTTCTTGCTTATTTTAATGCTAAGTAGATTATAAATACTGCTACTTTATCATTATTATTACTAGTAATAATTACAATTGCTTTTCATGGTGACTTAGGTCACTTCAGCATTTTATATGCCTGACAAAATCATCCGTAGCAAAAGTCAGGCAGGATAGAATACGAAGGATAAATCACTAAGAGTATCTTATTTGATGTGCCATTGGAATGATATTGTCAGACAACCGAAATGGACCACGTTCGTAAGTAATCAACTTCTATATGAGCAGTGGGGCTAGATGGAGATTTGTTTCTATTGAATAAGTATTTGTTTACTGTTTAAAGTGATGAAATGTTTCCTTATGACGTAACTGACTTCCACTTAAATGATTGCGTTGTATCGTAACCCCTTATGTATTGCACGTTGCAAACAACACGGTATATAAACCTATGTGAGTTTTTTTAGTATATATCAGTGTGTTTGTCATAAAGTAGTCCAGTTATTAAATCCATACTAGTCCCGTGCGAACATGTGATTAGGAGTCATTTATAAGACTTTCAACTATTTACAGATGTAGTACATATTTCGAGGATTCTCATTAGTGAAGAATTATGCACTATGTGTAGCATGGGGATTGGATAAATACGCACCAGGAGGCTTCAAGTTTGAGTTCCATTGGGGCCCGTGTTTTCTTCTAGGTCCAACTAGTACATAAAAGGTATTTTTTTATCTTTGTCACTGGAAAGTGTATTCATAGTCTTCGTACTAGTACATTTTGACAAAATCCATTTTACATTGATTGGCCACTAAACAAGGATGAGTGCCATGCTATCGACCCTTTATACTGACAGAACTCTGTCGATCAAGTTTGTGTTGTAAATAAAGCAATGCATTCGCCTACATATTATATTATGACTGATATAACGTGGTTAGAAAAAATCGGCGCTTCAAAGTGTATATCATGTAATTGATTGATCTTTGTTGATCGATCAGTGTGCATAATCCAATCCCAAGGGAGTTTATCCACAAATCAAATAGTTCAGTTGTAAGTACTTTGTCTGGGATAGTTCCAAAATCCTTGACTGATTTCGTGGCTGGTTATCGATATTGGTGACAAATGTCAACGAACATGCAACGTAGGATTAGGATTTCCTGCCAATTCTCTTCAATCAAAAGTTGCACTTTGCTGTAGAACATAAGGAATTATTTTACTTGGGATTTTGGCAAAGATAACATGCTCTACTGTCGCCCATAGGCATATCGGTGTCTGGAGCACAAGCAATTAGAAAATTTTCACGAAAACTGCCATGTGATTGGATAGTAAGATAATTACAGTCAGGAACACAGCTTCGTTACAGATGCATATTTAAGGGGCAATTATGAGGCCCATCTCTTGCTATATATATATATATATATATATATATATATATATATATATATATATATATATATATATATATATATATATATATATATATGAAAGAAGATTCTTGTCAAAAATAGATGAAACCAAATAACTATTAATGACTGAAGCTACAAAACTATTGTTGTATTTCACAACTTCGATTCAAATCTCTGTACTTCTCCTTAATTATATCAGAAATGGCTGCCTTTGAGTTAGTTGTCGTTTTGATAATTTCAGAGGATTTATTTTACCACAAGTCGATGCTGTTAAAAATAATCAATACTTTTCTACTTTCATTCTTAAAAACTTTTTGGTAGTAAACCGTAAGATTCTATCTATTGTTATGCGTCGTTGAATGTTTGTTGCAGCCCTTTCAACTTTGGCGAGAGTTGGAAGAAAAACATTAGTAACCTATTCATATTAGGCAACAAGAATGGATGTAGGTTATTTGTTTTTGCCTTCAGTCGTGGTCAGAGCCGGTTGAGATGAGTTTTCTAGTATCAGTCAGAGATACACGAATGAAATCGCTGTGTGTAATTTAGCCATTTTTCTCTGTGCTGTACGGCGTACAAAATATGGGGATTTTTACATTACCTTCCGGAAGTCTGGACGAGCATTGAAATTCCTTATAAGCGGATCAGTCATCACTTCATAAGGACTTACATGCTTTATAATTTAAGTCACAATGAACATGCTGTTTGATTCACGTTTTTCATCATTTATTGCTATGAAGTGTTTCTGCTTATGATGTTTCATAGATGGGTTCTGCATACTTTAAAGTAACGGTAACATTTATACTCAAGTGTCACTGTTTATTTCCTTAAAAACTGGGTACTTCTTTTCGCTGATCTTTCTGACAGATGCTTTTTGACTGATATAAAGCAAATTGATGGGTTACAGTTTTACTATCATCATTGTATTTGCTTGTATCACTCAGTAAATTGTCATGAAAAATCATAGTGTGTCTTTCCCAGGTGTTTCTTAACTTTAATGTAACTGACATCAGTTTTCATTTGGTTCGACTGCATTACTTACCATAAGATATGACATCGTCCTCCTGATTTATTATGTTGGAAAGTTTTTCCTCGTCATAAGACTAGTTCTGTCATAACCCAAAACAATGCTGAATCGGTGAATTTATTAAATTTTAGCAGACTGGTTTTCTAATTTGGAGTAATAAACTACTAATAATTTTTCATTAAAAATTCTACTTTTGTCATAACTAATATCATTAGGCTCGATGTATACTTTAACAAACAAGCATTCCAACTATCAAGACTGACACTAAAATAATTTTTAGGTGTTCCTGCTCTCTGTGCATTACAGAATCTACAGAATATTACATCTTTTAGCTGGATTAAGGGTTTTTTTAGAATATTTAAATTTAATATACGGAAGTATGTAACTAAATATACAGGAACTCCGCAACTCACCTATATTCACCTTATATAATAAGTAGAAGATAATCCATGTTACTAAATAGTATAATATGGGATGGGGAAGTTTTTGAACATTGATTGATCGCATATTTTTTCATCGCTATAGTAACGTCATATTCAATCCAAGTAGAGTTTATTTCCTTTCACTTTTACTATCACATTTATTCCTTGTCCTTAAATATCCTTCAAATGGCTATGCTTTGACAATGATTTTAGTCTAACATTCATATTTTTCTTATTGGCTAACAGAAATTTTCAATCGGATAAAACAATATCAGAACGGGATTTGATTGGTCACTTTTATCAGATAAAGCCTTATTAGGGATTTGTCTAAAAAGAATAAGCATCAATAAAATGTAGTCATTGATTTTGAAACTGAACTTCTTAAAAATATTAAAAAGGCTACTTTGTTTTGTACTGAAGTGATAACACTGTAGATATTCGTGCTGGAATTTTGTTTCGGAAACCCTGTGAACATAAAAAAGCTTACTAGGAAGAAGTCTCTTATGAAGTCAAGCAAACCGGTAATGAGGAATTATACCCATTGTGATGGTATTGAATTATTGATGCTTTATTTCGTGAATCAGCTTGTAGAATACGGACTATTGGATTCTTATCCTTTGCTTGAAGGCTAGCGATTAGGTATTGCGTTCAATCTCATGTGAGTTCATGAAATTCTTAGTAACTTTAAGATGAAAACACAAACTGGATTTCTAAATGGTGTCATCTGTTGCATAAGAATTTTGGTAGCATTAGACAAAGCTCAGGTGATCTGTGTTAACACCTACGTTAAGCAGATGATCATGATTAAAATTTGTTAACTGTGTGAGTTAGCGAATGACAACTGCGTATATACATACGCTAAGATATAATACACCACTAAGAATCGCTGGTAGATAAAATGTGGGTGTCATAGTGAAAACGTTCGGTAACATTCAAAAGTCATTAAGTAATAAATTACTTTGCGATTTTCTGCCAATATGGTTTTCATTTATTTCGCACACAATTTTGGCACAGCATGAGCACAAAGGGATTCACCATTCAAAATAAAAGAACAGCATTACGAAAGTTAAGATAACAGGACGGAGGATGGAAACAAAAACAAGTGGGTTATAAAAGAAGCAGTTGCAAAAATACAACCTTGGAAGCACTCGATGCTTTCGTTTCACTTCTCGATAAAAAAACAAACAAGGAAACTGTTGCATGATTGAGACTGACTTCGAGTTAGTCTGCCATCGTCTCAAACCAATGATTTTTGCAACATGTCTGGCCTCATTCAGGGAGTGATGGGACACCTACAGACGCTAGCGCAACACAACTATCCTTTATACTATGGCGCCACGTCATGAACTTCCCCACTCTTTCCTAGAGGTTCTAAAGCAGATGAACAGTGAGCGGTATGAGAGCTCCTGGCAAGACGTACGTAACATGTATTAGAACCATGAAAGCTGCTGCTTCAGGATGACTGCTTCCAGTGGATGAGGATCACTGTATCCCATTTGCACGTTGTTTTCACTTAATGTGAGCAATTCTGTGAAGACAGAGGTGGTTGGAAACGCAGGGTCATCAAGCATCCTCGGTTTGGAGAGGCTAGCTTTTGCAAGCGTAGAGTTGCCTGCACCAGCTCATTTTACAGCATGGTTAACATAACGATGGCGCCGAAAGTGATTCAGATTGACGTATTTCACTCCACTAGCACCCAGATAAACAAGCATTTCGAAAACGTCCGGCGATTCGCTACGAAGGGTGAGTACATGCACAGGCTCCTACCAACCACCTTGCACTTCGATGGTGCAAAGCACATACCATGTTTACGCGTTGTGAATTGCTAAGTGATTAGCTGCGATCTGAGTAGCCTGTACGTTGATACACAGTAACAAAAGTATCGTCCGCTTCTTCGAAGTCGAAAATGTTTCCATCTAGTGGCGAGTCTATATCGTCACTACGCTATTCTTTTAGGGCTGTTTCGAAAACGGCGTCGATGGAAAAGTTGAAGAAGAATGATGAAATTGAGTAGTTGTAATCCCTGTACATTTGCAATGATGAAGATAGATGGCCGTCAGCCCTAACTCTACCTGAGGTTTTGAAGAGTAAGGCTTTCAGTGTTTTGATTAACTTCACGCTTACTCTTCTATCCAACAAATGATTCAACCATACACCTCTGTCCAGCGAGTCCAAGGTATCTCTAGTGTTAGGAGACACAGCGTTTGTTGACTTGCAATAAATGTAACGGTGCTCAATCGTCTGGCGGATAGTTAAATCAAGACGTGAATGGAGCCGGCCTTTTCCTGGCGGGTTACTTTCTCACTTTTTTGATAGCTTGCGAAACATGATAGCAGCAAACATTTAAGATGCTGCCAGTAGAAAATTGATACCTTGGTTATTATCGCAGAAATCTGTGGTTACATTTCAAAGTAATGGAGCACTTTAAGTATACCATATCTTTCAAAACACCGTTCAGTTCACTGATTAGAGTCTTACTTCTATATATTTCAAAAGAACAAGGGGTAGGCTGTTTTGGGCGGAGTGCCTTAGTACTTGAAGTTCTTTGCTGACGTCAGCTTCGCTAGGTAAGAGAGTGTCGTACAGCCCACTCATCTCCTTTATGATGTCTTTTAAGTGTTACCGATGCTTGTCCATACTTTCTCTAGGTTCTACAGCTAGCTTGGAATCTAGTTCGATTCGATACTTACTTGCAATACTAGGTGCAATCAATTTCCTTAGGCTTATACGTTTCCAAGGACAATTTTGACGACCACCAAAATGCAAGATGTACTCAGCACACACTAAAGTGTGACCGGAGTCCAGATTAGTGTTTTAGAATGAGTGGGAATACACTCCCGTTATCGGTAGCTGATTGCAGTATGATCTATTTGAGTCCACGCTTTAGTTGCAGAGGGAGAACGGCAGTTGGATTATTGTTTGAAGGAAAAGCTCTCAGCAACGTTTTATCGCGGAAATATCTATTACTAAGTAGTGTGTCTTCACTAAAAGTGCAAATTACCTAACATGTTGGAAGACTAAGTCCTGTGAGAGAAATGCAACTTAGTAGAATATTTCCTCCGAAATTTTTTTCTATACGACAGTTCTACAGTAAAAGCTATAAGGTCGGGTGTAGTTTTCAAGACGTTTTTGCCCATTATGCGCTGTAAAAAAGATATGTGAGCAGGGCCATCAGCGCACATCAACTGAAGTATTGAGGACATTAGAAACTGTTGACTAACTGAGAATTCTGTCTACGGAAATCGCAGTAAACGAATTCAATATAAACAATCTGATTTCATATTGGTAATTGTGTTAACATACTATTTACTGATAGACTTATCTTAATTATACAAATTTTTATTTCACCTTTAATGTCTGTAAAACCAATGTCTTCACATACAGACTAGTTCTAATCTAAATTGAGTTAAATCCAGTAAGCTTTTTAATTTTGGATTCTGTTGCAGTTTCTCTTAAAAGCTATCATGTGATGAGTTTTTTGACAACTCTTGTTTTAACAAAAGGTGTACTAGTGAATTGGTTTAGCTCTAGGGAATACACATAAAACAGTGGTCCATTCAACGTTATTATTATCTATGTGTAGAAGAAGCTAATACGTAATGACTCACAACTGAACTAACAACTTTCACTATGAATTTTTTACAGACCACATGTTCGCTTATCGCATCTCACCCTCTTCTAGTAAGTTAGCATAACTTAGCAACCGTTGTCTTTTTTAACATATTTCATAAATCTTATCCTTAATGAATAGAAGGGAAACAAGGTTGAGATATTAGGCGAATTTGAAATCCCTTTTTTTGTATTTTATTAAACGTCATTCCTCAATTTCTACACCATTAGTTTTGCGATGGGAGCCTTATCCCAGTCGGTTAACTGATTATTTAATGACTTGTCAAGTAATGCGCACATGGTGTAATCATAATGATGGCAAAATTCGGTAGTTACGTTATCTGGATAGCGTGACTCAAAGCGAATTTTATTAGCCTTGGTGGATTAATAATGTATCTAACTATGAACATAGAACGCACTATTATTTGCTCAGTCGCCCTACTAAATGTTCACATTTCTTATCCTTAGTTCTTTTTCATTACTCTCATTTCTTAACTCATGCCTAAGCCCATTGAATCACAGGTTCGAAACCAGTTCCACCTACCGATCTATGGACAACCAAAAATAAACATTAGCCTTCACACAGTAGGTGTGATCCATCTTCTACTACACGGAAGTGCATTTTGAATCGATTACTTTCAAGGATTCAATTACTCATGTGTACAGATAATAAGTTAATACAGACAACTCGTATGTACAATAGGATAGTAAAATGTGCAAATAACACGTCTGAAAGAAGTTAAATACAAAATGTAAACAACACAAAAGAAGGAAAAAACTACCAAAAACAAACAAAACTTACAAAAAATAAAGTTGCAATACAAATTTAAAAAGTCACTGTACACATTGTGATATATATCAGGGAGAAGTAAAGGGTGAAGAGATAATGAGTGGATCAAAATATATGATCTGAAATGATTGCTTAAGTCGAGTAAAGCAAACTAGTAGCGGTTGGGGGTAACAAAGGCTATGAAGAGATAGGGTGGCGAAGAATTTGAATTAAAATGTAAAAGAAATTAGCAAACAAATGGTCTGTTAAATTTATTCTGGGATATATATATATATATATATATATATATATATATATATATATATGTATTCAAAAGTTAACTAAATGCAAAGATGGTCACTGAAAACAAGTAGTCTTAAGTAAATAAAAGCATTCAGCTGTAATTCACTGCTACATTACTGTTTTTAATTTTGATCCCCCATTTTGTCTCAACACCAAATCACCGTTGGTTATTGAAGGTCTCGGTATGATAATTAAGGGGTCAAGTAGACGTTTAACATTGGTAAAATTCTTTTCCAGTTCCTTGTGATATTCTGCCTGATCAGGACCAATTAATGATTCGTTTAAACAAAGAGCTTCATAAGATCTGAAATGAACGGAAGGGTAAATGACGGAATAATTATTATATAAAAACTTCCATGGATTATAACGATTAAGAAGGGAAGAAATTATGTGATTTATTACCGTAGCTCAAAATGAAAGCATAACAATTGTTAATATATACTTCCGATATGAGTGAATACTGATATTATATATGCTCGACGTTTATCCGAATAGCAGTTTTATTCTAAGAAAAAACAGGAGTATTCCTTGTCTTTCCAAGCAGAAAAGCGGATTACTTACTACATTTCCTGAACACATGTAAAGATGATTCGTAATTACTGGATGGATGGTTGTTTGCTATTTAGCACATTTCGACAACTTAGATTACAGTCTGATAAGAAAAACTTCCGTTTATATTGAAGTGATTAGGTGAGATATGTTCAGGAAATCGTGCTCAATCTAGGTTTCGTGCTTGTTGATGCATGTTAACAAGTTATCTCTGTCAACTCAGGGGTACCAATGTCTCTAAGATACAATAACCTGTACTATACAGTAATTCAATCACACGTTACTACTGAGCTTTTCGAGCACTACACATTATCTTATAGAACTAAATAAAATGCAGCGACTACATTGTACTTGACCAACAGAATTTTGTTAGTATTAGGACTTGACAAAAAGATGTCAACCACTCTATAGTAAATAACGGCTGTCAAAAACGTCTTTCTTACCAGTCTAAATATGTAAGTATCATGGCTAGCGCTATAGAATCATCCGACTTGTCTATATCATAATACTAGTGTTTATTCAATTTTGAGATTTGTGGGGATTTGTTGATTTCAGGTTTGTTTCATCGTGGACTGACATCAGTTGGAGGAACACTGGAAACCTGGGAATACTAGACAGCTGTTTTGTCCTAGTATGGGACTTCTCAGTACCAAGGATCCACGACCCGCCCCCCTATGGGATCGAACCCAGGGCCTTCAGGATCCACAGCCAGTACGTTACCATTGGGCTACTGGCAGAGGTAGGAAATATGGACCATTAGATTCCGACACGCTGGCTAAATGGTAACGTGCTGTCTGCGGGACCCGAAGGTCCTGGGTTCGGTACCTGGCGAGGTTATGGGTACGCGCTGCTGAGGAGTCCCACGCTGGGACAAAACAGCTATCCAGTACTTCCAGGTTTCCAATTGTTCTCCAACTGATGTCAGTTCATGATGAATACCAGCCTGGAAAGCTTCTGTTGTTAAAATGGGGCGACTCTAAAGGACACCTTATCAACGGTCAAAATAACCAACTAGGTTTCCTTATTTCAGCTGGAAGGACGGATTTTCATAAGACAGAAAAGTTTAACTGGTTCTTTCAGTTGTTGCTAAAGTGGTCTTTAAGGTCACTCGTTAAAGCGTTTTCAGAAACCTTAAAGATGTAGAAAAACGAATAAAAAACACCTAAAGAAGCATATCTAGTTCGCAAAGACGTTTTAGTCGACCATAGTAGAAGTTGGACAAAAAAATAACGAAAAAAGTCGTTTATTATTCACCATTCCTGCACAATTTTTTGATTCTACTATGAATAATTTAGGTTTTTTATCCATGTATTGAAGTGGATATCACTGAGTTACTCTGTTTTGAAACTTTCAATAATGTTTTTGAAAAAAATAGTCCTTGTTGAGCACAAAACTACTGTTTATGTCAACCGTAAAAGTGGCAACAAGTAAAATAAATAAAAACTCCTCTAGTTATGCAGAAAGATGGAACTGATTGACTTTAAACAATCTACACTAGAAAGTGAAACTGTTCATAACGATGTGTACTTGTCGGTCTGATCCACACAATATCTATTATTTGATTAAGATCATGAAAGTGTTTGAAGACGCTCAGAAGGAATGTTAAATTATATTCTTGTATTATAAAAGTGTGGATTGAAGATAAAGGTGATGAAAGAACAACTGAAAATTGTTATCCTTAGATTCCCGCTTTCGACTAACTGAACATGACTACAACTGATAAGTTGCATTCAAATACTTCAGTGCAAAATATTATAGGACTTTCGGCTATCCATTACATGTTAACAACAACAACAACATGTGACATATCTAGAGCTTTCGATGTCTTGATAAAGATGGTCCTATTTCTTTAAGAGATTAAGACTCGTAAAGGCTAATCAAAATCCACAGTGCTGCTGAAATCCATATCTTGAGAATTCTTAACAAACGAATCAAAATGTCAGCTTGTTAGTGACATCCGAAAGTAGCATAACAAAAGGTAGTTTAACTGTTCGCCGCAGGTTTGCAAAACTGTCGGCTAGTGTTCGTGATTAACCAGCTTAGTTGATAAGTCTGTTATATTAACAGTGATAAAATATGGAGGTTGAAAACCCATAGGAACATGAATACACAAACATACATGGACAAGATGCAATAGAAATTACTTTATAAGAAATTGCTGAAAAGTTATTCGAAGACGATTTTGTACATTTTCATGCGTATTCGGATCTAGAGTTGTAAACCCAGAATTGTAATCTGGTAGTAAAGATTTTAGTGGCTTGTTTTCATTAGGTCCAAGAAATGTTGTTGCCATTTCAATTGGTCCTTGATTAACCACAGCTCCGATACATCCCTAAAATAAAAAAATAAGTTACTGAAAGTAATATGTGAATACAATGAGAAATGAATGATTTAGCCTGCACCACTGAAAAAACCTCAGAATTTGAGATTCATATGGTAGTTGCAGTATTATTCAGCGAGCATACTGAATGGGAGCGACACAGCGGCTTCTTTAGTCTGAGATAGGCCTTAGCGTTTTGAGAGCTTTCACGGTTAATTACTAACCGTATGTTACACCTTTTCGCATAGCGGCATAGTGGCTGAATGCATCGACCACTTCACTTATATGGGTAGTTATTTAAGCCCAAAGGAGCCGGTTGCTGATGAAATCTCAGCTTCGACACAGGAGGCCTGTTTGGCATTGCCAGGCCATCTCTGGAGTCGACTGGAGAGAATACCTGTTAAAGGATGGGTATGCTGATCCACAGTTTGTTCTGCCCTCTGAAATGTGTTCATTAAAAGTAGAAAATATGAAGTGGCTACAGGATTTTGACCATAAGTGTCTTCATATCGCTGCTCCCATATCGCTAAATCGCCATGTTGGCAATGGAGATCTTAGGCGAAGGGTACTAGGTAGGACAGATAAGTCAGTCGATGAGGTTTTGAACCCTCACTGGCTGAGGTAGCTTAGACATAAGTTGCACATACCGAGCCACCGTCTACCTCGACGTACAATCCTAGAGGGAGCCGGATTCGGTTGGGAGGGGGTCCAGAGTAACTAGGCCAAGACGTGACACTGATCAGTAAAGATTTTGACTGTTGGCCTGAGCCGTGTAAGAAGGTGCGGACTACGTGACTGGGGTATTCGAGGAGACAGGAATCAGTGGTTGAGGATTCTCGGTGGTATGGCTAAAAACCGGTCATAATGGCGATGTATTCACTCTTTAGCGTCTTCTAATGCTTGGATGTTTTGAATTACCTTCATTTTTTTAATCCTTTCTCCTCAAATACATCTTTGCCCGCTTGATATCGGGCTTTTTATCCAGTTTTTTGTATACTGCTGTGAAGTGAGGCAATTTGAGGCAATGCACTTGTATGTGAGGCTCTACGTTGACTTTTCCTGTCTAGTTGTCTTTCTCAAGTTTTTGCTCAAAGGATATTGACTTGTTATCGATATCATAGTAAACCCATTTCAAGTCTCCAACCTACTAATCTCTAAGTTCCTCTATCTGTAGTAAGACCAGTATACTATGGTTAAGGGTCAAGTAAATGTGTTTTTAACCAAACTTACAATCACTAAAATTCAAGATCTTATCAAATAGTGACTTGTTGGTGATGTCACTTGCAGCTATAAAACGTTTTAGGCATTACAAACAAGTTACACACTATTTCATACAAGGCCGATATGTCATTAAGTATGAGGTTTGTGATAGAGTAGAACCAGCCATCAGAGTGAAAACACCACTTACTGTGTGAAGACCTACATCTTTACGCTATTTGTTATGTTTTCGATTATTTTATCGTAGAATTTAATACCGTATCCAGTTATTTAAAGCGCAGTGATTCTTTTATTGAGTGATTAGGAAAAAGAAGTTAAGTAGAAAAATACTTCTTTGTAGAAGGAGTTAGCATAAATTTTGCTTGATTAAGAACCTTAAAACATGCAACTTACTTGCAATATCATTTGTAAATATTTAACATCAGGTGGATCTGTTGCCAGTACCCGGTCTAACTGTTCAACACGACGTGTTACATCCTCTAAGGCTACTTCAATTGGAGTCAGAGTATGTGATTCGCTTGATACAACTAATAAACGTGTTTTCATGTAAGGAAAACAACGAGCTGTTGTCAGAATGTACTTGCGCTTGTATTGTGTACTCAAACTACCATGACTTTGTCCATCTATTGTGAAAGGTATGGAATGAACAAATCGCTCTGGAAAAAGAATTTGTAAAAAAGCTTGCTGAAACATGGACATGTGTATATATGCAAATTGCGAATAGAGTAATCACAAAGTAAACACATACAGGATTTTATCATATGTTGCGCAAGTAAACAGTATATCCTTTTGGTTAAAACGCAATGAAAAGATTTTAAGTAGATGTCACACACACAAAATGTCCAGTTATCCACATCATCAGAGACTTAAACAGTTGTTTGAAAAATACACAGAATGTGATGAGAAATCTCACCATGGTTTCCTATGGGAACCAAAATATCATCAGACACTGTCAAAGATTCCTGAAGCGGAGAACGTGTGTATACTCGCACTAAGTACAGCGAGCAGTCATCTTTATTTTTTAAGTTGAACAAAAACGAATGGTTATCATGACTCTTGTACACAATTTATGATGGAAATAAAACATTACAGGCCACTAAATACACCTGAGTTTCACTTAGCTAAATGCTTCGTCGGATTAAGGGTTCAGTGGAAGTAATTAGGAACTTCTTAAGGTAGCCAAATGCCTCTGCCATAGTTACGTATATCGGCATTAACGTGAGCTCTACACGGGATGGTTAGGCGGTGTTCGGGCTACTGGAAAGGAAAACCGGGGATGGTGTATATGCCGGTGATAACTGATCGAACCCAGTTACGCAATGAAATTGAGCCTCCACTTGGCTCAGATGGATGTCAACCAGTCCACCGTCAGAGTTAACTTAAGAGTGAACGCAGTAGATCAGATCTATATGCACAAATCAGTGACGCGAGTCTCCACAGCTTGGACGGCTTAGTCAACCGTTCGGATTCTGCCCTGAGCGCTGGGAGTAATGCGACCGAAAGGTAAGGGAATCCAGCTTCTTAATTCCGGTAGTCACTGTTGTTGAAATGGTCCTCAGAGGGGAAGGTGATTTGCCTTGTAAAGGTGGGTGGTGAGACGCATCCCACCTAAGTCTACCTATGGGGAGATGAGTACGGTTAAAGGATCAGAAAACCCAGAGAATGTGGATGCATTGAAGTCTGATAGCTGGGAGGGCTCTGAGATTACATTAATCAGTTTTGAGAGGACGTTAACAAAGTGTTCTGATAAGTGTTCGTTTTAATGTGGATGCGTTGCTATGATGTTTCTTGTTCGGTGAGGGAACCGATCCTTAAGGCTATCAGATAATAATGTCTAGGAACTGGAAGCTGAGCCGAAAATTAGGGTAACACACACACTCTCTCTCGAGCTAGTTACTTTACAGGATCATGAGTTCAGCGATACAGAAAAGAGATATAATAAATGATTGAGGTAACGGTTAACTGGTTAGATTTTCAGAATAATCTTCCAACAAGCAAATCCAAAGGATATTGTTTTGAACATCAATAAAATAAGTAAAGAATAAATAATTGATCATCAGCTGCACCGAAAGGCGATTAAAGTGCAGCAATATAAATAGTATATGGTTACAAGAAGAAATGAAAAAGTGAATAAAAGACAGGTTCTGAATATGAGAATGTTTCATTCTCCTACTTCAACCAAGTGGTTATTTAAAGGAAAAGACTATTGTCATTTTCTTTCAAATTTCTACCATCTTCAGGATCCAAGTTAGTTAAAATTCTTTCTGCATATGGCTCAGGCAACGGTTTACGACAACTTACCCTCGCTCAAAGTAATCAACGTAATTACAAATCAGCAGATAAAGTAGCCGGGATAATCTAACACTTGGTTAGCAGTAACACACAAGAAACCTGTGTGCCACTGGTACATTGTTTTGAATCATCTCTTCTACTCATACTTTGTCGGGTTTGATATATTTCAATTTCTAATTTTAAACCAGTAAATTTGATTGATATGCGAGTATTTCTCAGATCTGCAGCTAGACAGATGCTGTGTGAACAACATTCAAATAGGCTTACAAGAGTAATATTCGGTCAGACCACTCTGAATGCACAAAGTGTACTCGATTATAGTCAAAACTCATAATAATTCCTGAAGTTAAAGAAGTCCATTGACCTGGTTCTAAATAATAAAAGTCAACTATCATTTAATTCTAACTCATTAACTGATAACTATCCAGTGTAGTTTGGGTAGACAGATTTCCCACCGTTAATTTCCTTCATGTTTCGATGCAGTTCAAATAAGAGAATGGGATTAAGTGTCTTAACAATTCACTTACTTAATGCATAGTTGCAATCAAATTCAGTTGTTCGTCTTCGGAGCTCAAAGTCTTCTAAATAAGGTTCCACAAAAGTGATTTGTAGGTAAGCCTGAATCAAATCAAGATAAAAGACGCAATCATTTGAAATATGTTACCAGTGGAGTTTTTTACTTTTATAATGAAAGGACTAACCATTTTCACATAAGACGGCGAATTTATGTGAGACGGAAATTGACATCAACGTAGAACCTCGCGCATAAGTGCATTGGCTCAAGTTGCCTTACTTCACAGTAACATACAAAGAATAAGTGGATAAAATAAGAGTGATATCAAAGTAGAAAAAGTTGTATGAGAAAATAAACAATCCGAAGATAACGGTTCGTGTAAATATTCAAGCTTTAGATATCAAGGAGTGAATTCATCTGCGCCGTTGTGGCCAACGTTTGGCTGTCATCAAGAGTTTTCAACCACTGATTCCTTTCGTCTCGAGGATTCCGGAGTGAGTGATATCTGGTGTATAAATTAGCTGTTAATTAGGCGTGTGTACTTTATAGACTCAACATAATACTTTCAAATGAATCATGAGTCGGTTGTAATCTGTAGTATGAAAATTTGAGGCCGATTTTTATACAGCAAGCTAGAATAAAAGACCACCAGATAAATACTAGTGAGCATTTGAAACACCAAGATTTCAACTCGGTCAGACAAAGTATGATTTTTGGTTGGAGTTTATTGGGGGGGGGGGGGGGGAATAAAGTATTCTTAGCGTCTTGTAAGCTGGATAACAGCTTCATAAAGTAAATCGATGACCTCTTAGAACTAAACAACATGAAATTCGTCACTCTCCAGTGACTGATCAATACATGTCATGCAGTACAGGTATGTCTAACCGCATTCAAGCTGTGGAAGTATTATCATCCGAATACTTGATACTCAGCTGATCCACAGTTCACCACAAAACAATGGTATCTCCAGCCTTAGATTAACTTTCTTATTCAAAGCATGACTGATACAGTAATAGCTATAACATTCAATACAGTTGAATCAACATTAGTAAGAAAGTTAATGGAATCAAGCAATAATGAAATTATTTATAAAATACCTTATCACAATCCAGTTGTTTCTGATCAACAACATTAGAATCTTTTATAATAACTACTTTATCTTGACCAAATTTAGCTTCATAAAACGTCTGCAAAATAAAATAAACAAACAATGATGCACAGTGGTGAGGGTGAATCACATTTCTAGATACTTTTATATGGAAACATTATGGGTACATTTGAAATATTATCTTACGTTGATAGGAACTGAAATGATTTTCTTCAGGTATGTTTTATCATGTTGAGAATATTAAATCAGTAGTTTTCAAATGATGCAGTGTAACAACATACTTGGAACTAGCACATGAATAGTCATTGAATGTAAAAGAAAAAATGAACATCAATAAAATATGAAGCAAAAATGCTATCCAACCTTGATCAACAATTCATAAAGGAATAGATAAGAAAATAATGCTATTCTTTACCAATGAAAAAAAAAATCACCTCGACGTTTTTAGAAAGTATACTTCGAGTATACTTTCTAAGTTTATGGTCAAACTGCTTACATATTGAGTTAGTAACATGAAAATTAAGATGGAGCGGGTCACAATAATTCAGAATAGCAAGGATGCAGTCTATAATTAGCAATGAATTGGGAATCAGTGGTCATAACTAAAATCAATAAGCATTGAAAGTTGTATAACTGGATAATTCTACATTATTAAAGACTTAATATCTTCAGAGTGTGTACTCAATGATACGATTACTTAGACCTACACACGCACAGATTGGTTACTACGCAGACAAGGTATCTTTACCGTTATTTCCTAAGAGTACAATTGTAATAAACAGCCTACAAACTATTTATGGATAGCATCAAAACCATTTCATTACTAAAGATGGTAGTAAAGAATAGAACACCATAAAAGATACAATATCGATACTTTTAGAACTTAATTGGAGAAATGATGTATTATTTCTTTTCTAGTGATATTTTAACCTCTACATAACTTGTTTATAACCTTTAGACCATGTATTAAAGCAAGAATATACATTGCTGCCAAACCCAATAAGTTCATTTGTAGACGTTTTGAATGAAAGCTGTGCTAATTTTACAGAATCCTTAAGATGTCCACTGACTGAGTACTTTGCCTTAAGTCTTCAAACACCTATGAGGGAGCTATTTATCGTGACCTAATGGACTTATATTGATATATTTCACTCATCTTATACAACACGGCAACCCTTTGCGAACGCTAACATGCAGGCAGCATGGACAACAGAGGTTGTATTGTTTCATTTGGTCGTCAGAATTTTCGGTCTATCATGCTCAGATTTGTTTTTTGCTGGAAGGAGTCATTCAGACTTATAGTGAAGCTAAGTCAACAAAAACCTCACCCAAAACAAGAAATAACCTTGAATTTTTGCCCAGGTAAAATCACATTGGTGAATAAAATAAACGAAGTAGTCAAACATTATCAAAAAGAGACCTAGAGTTGCTGAGTAGTGGTACAAGTTGCTACACCTCGTGTTAGTATGCCAAGATAGAAGGCATCAGGATGAAAGATAGGTAAATACCATAGAAAGCAATCAAGACTGGTGGTAAGAAGTAGAAAGGGAAGACGAAGAAAAGAATTCAACCGCCAATTTTAGTTGTTATATGAACTTCAAATTGGTGATCTTCATTTGCTTATGTGGTTCTGACCAACAGTCTGAAACTTTGTAGACAGATGTTGCATTTTAGTCTGGCTACCTCTAACCTCTTTCCAGCCCAAGCTTAATTCAGATAACACTGTGATGAGGCAGAAGGTGACTAGACATATGCAACAAGTGTCTTAGCCATTTGGGTTAATGTTTCACAAACTCATCAACTGACTTAACTCTTTTGACCGAACCGCTAAGCCTAACTTCTACGTTACTAAAGTCGTGTTTTTATGACATTATTAATGATATAGGGGTGACATTGACTGAATAATAGGTAAAACATGCTTGCTAGCACCACGTATGTTTAAAATTCTGTAAGGACGTGTCTTCGCTAGATATAAAGCAGATATCTCTCAGTTAACGAATTTCTTGATAGCTTGATTGATGTTTCACCTTGGTTTCCTTACGAGCAAACGTTTTGACGTCAATCTAGCTGTTATTTTGACTGCAGCTTAGCAAGGAAGTGCCAGTTTGAATGAATAGTGTATAAGTGGTTGAAATATTGCTTCATTTGAATACATAACGATAAGCTAATAAAAAACAAAGACTCACTTGAAGTCGATGAGTGATTTCAGCCAATTTTGTATATGGAGCTTCTCTATATATGAAATCATTACCATTTAATTCACCAAATAAACTACCATGGAAACCAACACGGAAATAACTATTGAACATTTTTTTATGGTTCTGAAAGAATAGAAGGACAGATTTAGAAGCTGTAACATCGTTTTATTTTTTACATGGCTAATGGTTACACATTTCACAATGCTACAGAGAAGTGAATTTAATGAATACTACTCATTATTTATTCAGGTCATCGATGTTACACTCTGATTTTCAATATTTATCGAATCCTATCAAAAAAGTGCAAACTTTCACTGGAAAGTGCGGTTTTGATTTACTCATTTTATCCCACAAATTCAAATAATGAGGTCATAAGCAACCAATAAACTATGGAAATAGGTTACCAATGAATGCAAATGTCAGACTCAGGATTTCTAATTTGCGGCTTCAAAATATGTAGTAATGGAGTATGTGTTTGATTCTTCTAGAAATTCTTCCTCAACAGAGCATTTTAACTAATATTAGACCGTCCTCATGAACGCCATTCAATCTAAAAATCCCTGATAACCGAGATAATCCAAAAAACGTTGAAATTAATGTCTCTGGAACTACAAAATGCAAGGTCGAAGTTCAGAAAATATGTTTCCTTGAGGTGGGGGATATATCTTTGGAATCACTGCCAACGAGTTCAAAACCTATACTTGGTGCTTCTTGTTAATCAGATTTATTCAAATGTTACTAATCATGCTGAGGAATATTTTTCAAGATGCAATGATTAAGCTAGTTTTGAACAGCTGAAATACGGTTAAAAGTTGCACGAATTACAGGTTGAGACCTTATGGATAAAAATACAATAACATGAAAAGCTTTTCATGAAAAGCTTTCAATTTTACCTGAGTTTTATTTAATACAGCATATGCATCTCTTATTCGCCCATGGATTTCAGCTAGACGTCCATAATCATTACTCGACTGCAACAGTGAAACAAGTCGAGAATATAAAGACGGCACAATTTCATAGAAGCCAGCTTTCGAAAATGATTCTGCTGTCCAGGAGATGAGTGCCATAAAACCAGGTGTTGTAAAGTGCCATGAAACATCTAAGGGTCTGAAAGATGCAGCTAGATCGTGAATTATGACAGGTGTAGAACAACTAAAATTATCGAATACACTCGTTTTAGGGAAACCACATGCACAGCTTTCTTCAAGTATATTTAAATTTTTCACAGCATCAGCAATATCTGCACACCCAGCAGTGGAAAGTCCAGGTGGGCTACAATTCCGATTGATTAAGTGTTCAGCTACTATAGCTGTACAGTGTGCCAAACACTGAGAAGCTTCGGAGAATTGAGAAAGCTATAAAGGAAATTCAAAGCAAAAACAATGGTTATTAGGTATGAGAAGATATACGACCTAGTATAAACTCACGTTTTTACTTCAAAATGAATATTCCGAATAATGTTACATATCACCTAATAATTGTGTGAGCGTGACTAAATCCCAGTCAAACAAACATCCTACTGCAAATGTGTACACCAACAAGTTGGAAGATTATGAGTTACGAAATTCTGGATAAAGTATGTATTCATTCAGAATGCAAAGTATCTACAACGTAGCACATACTATGTAACCTATGAAATAAAAAGGCGAACTAGTTCGTATAATGCAGGACCCTAAAAAACACCAAATCATATACATTTCCACGTTTTCGAGAGGTGAAATCAAACAAAAAAGTAAGTAGTGAAATAGTGAGGACAGTGAGAAAGTACTACATCTCAAATAAACACGTACCGAAGCAAGCAGCTAAAATTCGACAAAAAGTATAAAACACAGTACTGATTGGGGGTAACTGAGACATGTTCATTGTAGATGGAGGACGTGAGGAAGTTGAAGGTCCCCAGCATACATGTGCATATTTCCACCCTTATAGGTGTCTTTCAGTAACTTTTATTCGCCTCATCTTAGTTATCACACCATAAATTCCTATTACCTTAAGGTTTTTAGACGAAAGCCAGTAGTTGCTAACTTCGCTAAGTTGGACGTTTTTCGGCTTTATACAGTGGTATCAAGTCATAGTTTTATCATTGTAAGACCATCGGAACCTTAACATCACTCTAGCAAATAAGTTGGCTTGGTCGACGACTGGACGCAGAAGACGGGTGTTTTAAGCATAGAAGTCCCACAGGATAAATCCCTTCTATATAAGAAATAAAGTATAGTTTAAAGTAATAACAGAGTGGTCTCACTGCACGCTGACTAAAAGTTCAGGGACACTGATGACTTAAAATATACCTATTATTTATTTGTTTTATAATTCAACTATCATTTAGGATATTGATGACTAGCAAATGTATTTCACATATTTTAATATGATAACAATTCGAATAGAGAAACATTTCAAAATGAAAACAAAATTTAGAAAAAAACCCCATTACTTAACTTGACGCTGTTAACAAACAAAACATACTTCATAATGCTTCTCAGCAATCTGTAAAAGCCAGTATAACCGTAGTTCTGGTGACGAACGACTTCGATGTGATATAGAATGCAACAGATCAATAACTGTAAGTGTATCCTCATTTGATATTTGTTTCTGATAGTCATTCAACTTTTTTTGTCGATGTATAGCATTGATTGTATCCTGTAATTTTAATGCATCATTAAGCAGTTGCTTCAAGTTATCCGCTAACTGATGAACTTGAGAACTGAAACTTGTATTGGGATTGTTTGATATAGGCGGGATTGCTGGAACCATATTTGCTGTTGTTGTCATACAAGTGGTATTGTAATCATCATCATAATTATTCAATGATGAAGGAGATGTTAAACTCAATGTTTCCACATACTTTTCTGAGTTAAATAAAGTTCCTCTATTATTATTGTTTAATAATGTAGTAGATGCGTTTGAATCATCATCCAATGAGGTTAAATGCCTTAACTGATACAATGAGTCATTTAAAGATGTTTTAAATTCTGAGATAGATAAACTAGAAGTATTATTCCTTTGGTATGTTTTATTTAAACGTTTCGTTAATAAATTGTTTGATTTTATCACTCCGTCGAACAATTTTGCAAAGAATGAACTGAATGTAAAGTACAAATGTACTTTGACAAATGACAAACCCTTTATTAAAAGGAAAAAGTATTACTGAAAAGTATAGGAGGAAAGATATAAAAAAAATCATGAGGCAAAAATGCAATACAAATAAAATGATTGTACAGGTAAGTTTTAATATAATCTCACCGTGTTTAAAAAATCAAAACAAGATTTTTCTGAACGTTTCGCTGTGTATGCCACAGTTCTTTTAGTACAATCAATACAAATAAAGGGCAGGTTGGACATTAAAGTGTCACAGATGAGATATTTTGATCATTCCATTATATGTAAATCAAGATTGATCTGCTTCAAGCTAGCAGTGCTTACATTACAGTTTGGCAACGAAAAGTAGTACGGGACCAATCTGTTACATCGTGTTGTGAACAGTTAAGCGGTCCATGAATTTCAAGATGTCGCAGTTTTCTTATAACCTGAATTTATCATATAGACATGCGGGAGGATATAAAAAGCCAAATACGCAACTCTTGTTATCCATATGTAAATCCTTTTCACTCATCTTGACTGGTGTGGCATTTTAAAAATCATCTCTTCATTCTATTTGTTTTCACTTTCCTTATTTCAGTAGTGCATTATGTACTTAGCAGACATATGTGCAGGCTTTATTCATACTATATGTGCGGGAAGAATTTTCGACATACCTTTACCATATATTGATAGGAAGCGGCCTAAATAGAAATCAATATTTCAAGTCATCAGCCACTAAGGTAGAAGTTTTGGACTTCAACCTTCATTTCATGTTTCTGTGTGGCCAGCAAAAACCCTATTGGGTGATTTCGTCTTACAGTTGGCCAATCAAAATAAATTTCCAACTTTTACCTAGTGATTTTATGTGTTCGTGAAAATTATATATATGTGATGTGGTCTTGTTGAATGAAGTGTTTACCTTACAGTCACAGGCCGGTCTTTATCTTCTGATTTTCGCAGATCGAAGGTATATAAGCTTCTGTGGAAGAACAGTCACTAGTTGTATCCAGTCCAAGTGTCTCACTGCGTTATTGTTGTTTGCGTTACTCTTATTTTGACTCACTCGGTCACTTCAATATTAAACAAGTGTATTCATTTTTTTGGTCCTCTATTCACTTTTGTGCAATAACTGCAATATTCTGCACTATGGCATAAGCATATAATTACGTTTTGGCGGTGATGAATGATCTATTGACAGAAGTTACACAAGTCACAGCTGTATTTCAATGTACAACATCAACTAAACAAAAAAATATCCTCACCATAATACTACTAAACTTTCTTACTTAAGGATTAAATTAAGCGAAACCCAGTTAATCAGGCCACATAAATACAACGTTCCTGCTAGGTATGACAAAGTCAACTGACATTATTCTATCCACATTACGTAATGTTGATAACAAAGACGTCAACGGAGGCAGGAGATTATACTGTCAGTTCAAAGTTGATAGAAATGACCTTCTGAACCTAAGTTCTGCGTTTGTTAGCTCCCATCAGCAGATCAAAATTGAAAAGTCATTTTCCCTCGGACATCTTCATTACCACCATGTCGGTAGGATCGTTTTGTGAATATAAAGTGGTTGCAGAAAGGGTAACAGATGTAGCTATTAAAAACAATGGGGAGATCGAAACCTACTCACCACTTCCGCAGTTTATTCACACGACTTCATGAAAGGATACTGAGAGGTTCTGTATTTGTGTGTTACATGCTAGAAGTTAATAAGCAGATTATTGTATAGCAAACTCGATTCACAGATTTATGTTACCGTTGAGGAATTGATGGCAATATTCACATCCGATTTCCATAAATGTTTTTGACACATACAAAGTATATACATAGAAATTGATAAGAAACATCACTAATGTAAGAAGGAACATACTTTCGTCAGTGTATAATAATTCTTTATCAGGAAGTAAAGTGTAGCAATCGCATCATCACGAACAGTTGGGTCTTTCATGGTGCATAACTGTAATAAATGATGACAGGAAACTGCACAAAATTCCGGGTTGTCTTCAAACAAAAAGCTGGGGAACTGAAATACCCAAGAAAAATAAATGTAAAAGTCAAAATAAAATTAAAATCAGTAATCAGCTTGGCTTCAACTGCAATTTTGAAACAGCCATGCAAGCTGACAAAAAAAGATATATTAAAAGAATACATAGATTATTATCATTACTATTATTTTCCCTAGGGTTTCTAGTGGAACATAGGGCTTCAGTACCACGACACCATTTCACTATACACTTCTCTGCAGTCTTCTCATCCTGGCTCCACAACCGCCTGCTCACAAGCTTTCATTTCTTCCTCACACCATCTCCTCCGTGTCACCCTCGCCTCGGACGCCCAACTAGTCGCTTCCCCTTCGGATTCCACTCGACGGCCTGGTCTGGCGCGTGACGTCCCCAGTCGGTCTTCTCAGTGTATGCCCAATCCATCTCCACTTTCATCTACTGCATATTTGTTGAGTGGTAGGTTCTTGGTTGGTTCGTTGGCAGGCCAGAGTTCCACCTTCCCTATCCTTCCCGGCTATCTGATATTCACTATCGAGTGAGCGTAGGCACCAGCTGTTGATGAATGTCTGTAGTTTGTTGGAAGTGCTTTTCGTGACGCGCCAAGTCTCTCAACTACCATATAGCAGCACTGACTTGACATTTGTGTTGGAAATCTGGGTCTTGTTCTTTGTGCTGAGTGCACTAGATCTCCACACAGAATTCAGATTATTGAAGACCTGTCTTGCTTTTCCGATCCTGGTTTTGACATCCTCATCTGTGCCTGTTCCGCCTGCCTGTAGTTGAAACGATGCTGCCTGCCTAGATAGGTGACAGAGACTACTTCCTTCAGGTTTCTCCCGTTAATGGTGATTGGTGTTTGTTGTTGATGCTATTATTGGTTGGGTATCTTCATCATCTCTGTCTTCTCTATGTTCACCTGAAGTTCCGACTTCGCTGCCTTGCCTCTTCTGTCAACTTGTTGGTTTTAGCCTGTAGATCAATGAGTTTGTGCGGCAATAAACATAAATCATCGGCGAAATCCGAAAGTTCTGGGCTCTTTTCATCGGTGCAGCGTATGCCCGTTTTCTCGATCATCATTTTTTGATGTATGATCCAGTCCACCGCAATCAGGAAGATCATCGGTGATAGTAGCAGCCTTGTCTTACTCCTGTCTTCACTTCAAAGGCGTCAATGAGATTTCCATTGTGAATCACTTGGCGTATAGCGTCGTCATATAGCTGTTGAATGAGGTTGATAAAGATTTGTGGCACTAAAGCCGTAGTGTTGAAGCAGCTGCCTGCCAAATTACTTCTCGGTCAACGCTATCGAAGGCCTTTTAAAAGTCGATGAAGTTGAGGTAGAGAGTTGACTGCCATTCTGTACTCTGTTCTATAATGACGAGTAGCATTGCAATTTGATTCGCAAATGATTTGTTTTTCCTGAAGCCAGCCTGTTCCGGTCGTAGTTTTGAATCCAGCGTATTCTTTAGTCTCTCCAGCAAAATATTTTGCTTGGGGTGGACAGCAGCATGATTCCTCACCAGTTCTCGCAAAAGCTTGGGTCGCCCTTCTTCGGGAGTTTTGCAAGGTAGGCCTTTCTCCAGTCTGCCTTAGTTCTGTCTGGTCCTGCTGCTTTACTGGATTTCAGCAGTTTTATGGCATTCTGCTTTTGTCAATAGGCTTGCTTTCAGTGGTAATTTTGCCGTTGCTGGTGGTATTTCTGGACGAGATGGAGCGAAAATCATTTGAATATGTTCACAAACAGGAATAAATGTGAGCATGATGATAAGGAAGCAATAATAAACTAACGAAAGATTGAGGATAAATTATGCTGAATATTGACGAGTAGTGAAATCTAAGACTCATGTTTCATCCTATGGGGATAGTAAATAACAGGTTGTGATATCAAATAAGATAAATGTTTCATCGAGAAAAAGAAAAAATTCCATGAGTAGATGCCAAAATATTCCCTACATGCTAAATACTTATTATGTTGACCCTATAGTAAGTAGGTCAGGATAGAAAGCGGCTGTACATATTTTTCGTGTTGATTCCTATGGCTTTTAGTAAGTGACTTTGGAAGTCACCTTAGGAACTGCTAATAGAACTAATTCAGCTTTCTTACTTTATCCGAAAAGGTAGTATTTTCGTAAAATGACGAAATGTAATTATTTAATCGTATAAACGATTACCTAGTCTAAATTGTGCGCAACAAAATCTCAGAACAACTTTATTAGTTGGTATTTCATATGAACAAAACAAGAAATGATAATAATTAAACTTCCTTGGTTAAGTTATTGATGGCTTTCAACAGCTCAAAAATTGAAATGTGACTTTTAATCTAGGTGGATCTTCACCATAGTCATCTTTCATAACAGTTTTTACCAAAAGTAATTGACAGTAGCCGTAAAACTGGGTTTGTCTTATGTTAGCATTTAACCATAGTTGTTATACAAAACTTTAACTCTAATTAAATCCTCTTTCAAACTTTACCCCTCTTCACTTAACACTAGAGTAAAACCGTCCAGTTTACAATCGTTTCCTCTTAGGAATAGGTGAAAACGAATTGGTTACTCCGGTCGATAATGCTAAGTAAAACCTACAGGTTAGCATACTTATAATTTTTGAAAAGCAAAGAAAACAGTACAATGGGATAAGGTGAATTCACTTCATTTCGTGTGGTTCGCAAGATTCACGGATTTCAAAGTTGGAATTCAATTTAGAAACGAGTTTATCGGAATTAGTGCGCAAAATCGTATTATATCTCAACCGTTGATATTTTAAAATATTGTAGCATGAAAATCACTTCTTTTAATCATGACAAAAAAGATTGAACAAGTTGACAAACTGAAAAGAAATTTAGTTTGAGGTTTATAGAGGTTTCGCTTTGAAGTTAGTAATCATAACGGAATGACATCAGCTGGGAACCATTGAAAATCTTAAAGTACAATTGTCTCCTCTGAGTATTGGAGTCTTCGGCAATATACAATCACGACTCTGCCAGTGGGCCAACCAGTCAAAAGTGAAGCAGATGTCAACTGAAGATCTTGATGGTTAATCGCGCTGTATCACGAATTGATAGAAATGGGAAACTGTGAACCATTGAACTTCAGCCGAGTAGTTGAACGGTTAACGCGTTCGCCGTGGAACCTAAAGGTCTTGAGTTCGATCTCTGGCGGGTTCACGGGTGCATACTGCTGAGGAGCTCCATGCTAGGAAGAGCTAGCCATGCTCTCACGTTTTTCATGGTTTTCCCAACTGGTGTCATGCATTGGTAAATACTACTACACTGAAAAGGAATTATATGAATCACAAGTTGGAAAACCAACTAGATAATGTCCCAAGCATGCAGATACGTATGCTACGAATCTTTTTGGTGCGCATTTGTCAAAACTTGGAATAAAACTATTTCATATTCCATAGAATGATCACTTTTACTATTGATATTAAAAATAATCAGATTTCTTTCTTGAATGTTCCACTTCCTAGAAATGAATTTGGAAATTGAAGAGGTCGGCATACATACAGCTCATTTGAAAGCTAAAGAAAACTCATTTTTGTGTCCTTGTCGCACTGTGACATAATAGGAATTCGGTTAAGTGGTCAACCAGTAGGACTAGGAGGTATGGTATGATGAAGTATTGCATAATGAAACAAATACATTGAGATAAGACGGTTATCATGACAAGTTCATCAAGCAAATAAGTTGAAAAAAGTTTCATAGGTTGAAGTACAGATGGTTCACAAAAGCCACTATACGTAACTTTGTGATAAAAGAGCAGCATGATTGCGGAGAAGTTGACAACTTTCTAAAGAAGAATCCCAAAAATGACCTTTCCTGCTGTCATTTAGTGGGAAGGTATTCTTTATTTGTTTAAATCAAGATGCATATATGAGTTCATCTGTTCCTGTTGAGCATGATAGTAGTTTGGTGTTCTCTGAGCTCTGATAGTTTGTCACTAACGTTTCACTAACAGGCTTAGTGACATCTTCAGGATTAACTTCATGGAGAGAAATTTATCTCGAATGCACTATGTGGTTTTTTGTTCGATGTGTGAAAAGCACCTACCAGTATGGTGAAGTAGAGGGAAAATAAAAATCATTACCATTTTCATACAAATGCATCTCAGGAAAATTCGCCTTTCAGTAAACATTAGAACGTAATTCTCAGTTGTTCATCAAATGCCAAATCGACAGCGTCACGTGTACGTCTTCGTCATTTTTTAAACAGCCAGAACAGTTCTCATCAGAATCACGAAGATACAGTTATTTGTGCATAAAAAAAAATCTGGATACTTGCTCTTTTCTGATCTTATAGTACTGCGAATACGATTTAATGGTGTTAAACTCCAGTTATTCCCGTGTGTATATAATAAGTGAAATTTGCTTGTTTAATTCGTTTCTTCTGGAATTGCAGTCTTACGTGAAATGATGATGATTCAATCCTATGAAGAATTTACCAAAAGCCCACATGTAGTGGTCAGTATTTCCTATTTAACTGTTTTCCGCTCATTCCATATACGCGACATATGGAGAGCTGTGCTGTACTCCGAGAGGCTAGTTTGAAGTGAACTGGAAGGCTTTCGAAAAACTTTGTCAGATAACGGATATTGACAGGTGTTTATATTCAAGAAAAAAAACTCCTAGAAATATGTGTCCTGAAAAATTTTCACTTAAGCAATGTTTAAAGAGAAAATAGTTTGAGCTCTCAAAAGAATCATGCACTAAATACGTGTATCTAGCCAACATTTTCTGTCAAAGTCAAGAAAAGTAGATCAAGCGTGTTGACTCAGTATAGTAACGACAGATTACAAGCATTGAACAGTAACTGATACCCACTGCATAAGTGGTGAGTTTCGTGCTCCAGTGAATAACGCTTTGGTATTTGAGGCGATGAGTACTGGGTTTGAGTCTCAGTGAGAACAACATCAATCACTAGGGTGCGGGTACCTCTAGCTGACGAGTCTCAAATAGAAGGAAACGAGCATCCTAGATTCCTCTGCTAATCATCAGGTAGATTTTGAAGAAGGCAGTTGTTTATGGCAAAGCGCCGTGTTCTGAGAAACTTAATTGGACACAAGATCTGTTCGAGCTACCTCCCACCATAGCCGTCCATTTATCTGCACGCACAAAAGCACATACTCTAGAAGAACAGGAATGGCTTTTGGAAAACTAACGTCTGAACATGCACCGAAGAACTTGTCAGTGAGAAGTTCATGTCTGTTAGGCAGACATAAGTAATAAGCAATAAGTAAAAGTTTTGTGATAAATACCATGCTCTGCATTTAAGAACCAATTTCTGTCATTAATGAACATAGTAACAGTAAATGTTTACGCTTTGTGAAGGTAAGGACTCTTTGCTACCGTGAACCCAACCCATGTGTAAAAAAATCAGGTTTTGGTTCTCCTTTCACTAGCTGTCATGCCTTATTGGTTCCTTACTGCTTATCATCTTTGCTATTTTGTCCCTTACTCTTACATCTTATTGTTACTCATATCTTTCTTAGGAATGTGTCATATTCCTATCCAGTTTACTTTTAACATTATTTACTCAACTTCACTACTTGCTAGATTGAATTCCTAGAAAATCCTATCTCCTCATTAGCTTTATTGTTTTTGTCCTTATTCTATTCACCTCTAACACCAGTTTCATCTAATCCTAATTATACACTGCTTAATAATATCTCTTATTACTTTGAAGTGTACTTTCATTCATGTTATTCGTGATATTTATAAAAAAAAAACACTCTCTTGCATCATTACTGAAATCGACTTGTCATCAGCATAAGAATCTGCACATATTTTCATGTGTTTGATAACGTCAAGATCTTCATTTACTTTCCTTGTTCCTATATGAACTAGATTACGTGAGTGTGATTGCATCATAGAATTCTATCGACTTCATACACTGATTTTGACATTAATTCATTTCTAAATTGTAATCTAACTTAGAAATCAGTACATTCATGGTTGGTTTAGAGGTGAAGTGAACTCACCAAATCATACAGTGTTTGTTCGTTTTCCTTTATAGAAATTTATTCAGACAACTATTGCATGATGTTTGTTATTTGTTTACAGCAAAAAACACATTTAACAATTGATTTTCAAAGATAAACAGATAAACGCTTGAATAACTCACTCGAGATATGACACGTTTTAAGCAAAGTAGAATACGTCGATAGCCCGTTACACTTTGATGAAGGCTTAAAGCGTATAACATAACACGAATAATGCAACTGATAAGGCACTGATTTGAGAAAGCACTATTGTTACTATTGGTATCATTATTATTTGATTTCTTGTAAGGCAGAATAAAATTAAATGGATAATTATAAAATGTGAACAAAGTTAGTCCAGGTTGACCGTGTGCTGTATCCGACTGCCATAACCCCTAAAATAAGGAGAAAACAGAATTCTTAGAGTTAGAATTTCACGAACGGTTGCAATAAGACTGAAAAATAGGTGCAGGCTGATGAGGAAGTGCAAGACGTGCAACTAAAATAAATAAGAAGTCAACATGCCAACTTCCGTTTCATCCGAAGGAAAGTATCAAGGCTGTATTATTTAAAGTTAATGAGTCAAGTGAAACATCGTTTCGTTTATGAGATTTGCGGAGAGATTTGTGATTTCAACTTGGTATTCATCACGCACTGACATCAGTTGAAGAACCAACGAAAACGTGGGCACACTGGACAGCTGTTTCGTCCTAGTACGGGACTCCTCAACAGTATTCATCCCCGACCTTCCTGGGAGTGAACTCAGAACCATCAGGTTTCGTAACGAAAATACTGACCATTCAAACACTAGATTGTAATCCCCTGGCTCACATTTCCCTACTTCTGTTAATTCACGACAAAGGATGACCTTCATTCAGTGCCACCGTTGTGTATTTGTCCTCACGTTTGACTTCGTTTTTACCACCAGTCCCTCAACAACAGCGTTGGATGATGATAGCGCTATGTTTTGCATTGACAGAAGTAAATAAATGTAGACCATCGGATTCCAAACTAGTGTCTCAATGGTAACGTGTTAATCTTGAGACCTTTGATTCAAACCCTGGTGGGGTCATGCATGTGTACTACTGAGGAGTCCTATAATGAAATGAGTGAACTGGCTAGACAAATTGGAGATTTTGTGTTGGATTTTAGGCTACATACTACTATAAACTGATCCAGATAGCTGAGTAAATCACAAATATGATATCTCCTAGGTTTTGATAGTAAACATGGCTTATTTGCGTTGAAAATAACTGAATTTAGAGGTAGGATGAAAGGCAACATAGACAAGCGCTTATCTCTGATAAAAAAGGAACTAAAACTTTGGCGGCATCAAATCATGGGGCTGAAAATCAAATCCATAGGTCTTTTGACGCAGTGTCCCTTCATATCACATCCATAAAAGAAAACAGGCCATAAAAAGAAAGTAAAGTTGCCGAAAGCTGTCGTAAAAGTTTGTTGTAACTGCTTTTTTCCAACTACTACTACGACTCTTTCTCATTTCTCTTTCTTCTTCTTTATGGTGCTTTTTGAAATTGCATTTTGTATATTTTGCTGTCTAAGTTGTACAAGGTTTCTGTGTTAAGAGCGACCAAAACAAAACGACTTGCAATTAAAGGGTCAACTGAATATCATACTAACTTTAACCAATAACAAAATATCGCGATACATTTTCTTGCAATCTATGTATTAATTGATATCATTTACTAAATTAAAAATAAAATGCAGCTGGAAACAATGCATGATAGAAAATGATACAGGGAGATGGCTAGGCCAATAAAATGTCGAGTATGAAAGATGCAATGTAGAAGAATTATGTGCATGTAGCGCTGTTTCGGGTCCCTAACTGGCAGAAATTTGAAGTAGTCAAGGATTAGAAACGTCTAATTGAGGTGATGTTTTTTAAACTTTTTAACTCAATGTTCTATTCATCATTTTCCTCTTCTAGAGGACAGTCAAAGTAGAAGTGAACGCTGTCTAAATACATGTAACACATGTCTTAAGTAAATAAGTTAAACGCAAGTTCACAAGTTAACAGAAAATTTACTTTCACTTCTACAGTAATTTCAATCGGCATTATGACTGGTTGTTCAAGTGCGCGGAAACAACGGCACCAAAACCAAATTAATTGCCTGGAAGATGAAGGGGTATGAAGTTACAAAAGTATTTAAAATAAGAGATTGGGCTCAAACTACGAAAGAGATACAGTAGATATTCAGTATTGAAATAAATTGATTGAAACAATTAGTAAAGTTGGAATATTCTTACCTCAATAGAAGAATCTAACGAATTATAAATGACCAGGATGATATCATTAAGGATGTCAAATCTCCGTAGAAAAGGAATATCTTGACGTAAACTAGGACTTTTCGTTCCATTTGTATATGACTCCAGAGGAAAACTATTGGACTTTGTGAAGTAACTCTCAAGTTCTAATATATTTGGTCGAGAATAACAATGCTGGTTTGGATGTTTATTACTATTATTAGGATTCAGATTGTGATTAGACATGGAATCATCAACTTCAAAGAACTTTGTGTTGATAATTGGATCCCGTGGGAAGCGTTTGTTAGCATGATTATTAGGCGAATTTCGATCTGAAAAAGAGAATATAAATTGAAAAAGATTACTGTAATTCATGTCAGGATATGGAATATCTGTGTTATGCAAGGTGAAATTAATGCTTGATAAGTGAAAATGTAATTTGTAGGAAGAATTGAGTTATTGGAATACTAGAGACAATTAAGCGGTTATACTGTTCTTGATGCAATATAGACATGAAAACCACATATCGCCGTTGGAGTTGGTTCGATTACTTTGATAATAATGATAGAGAGTGGCTAGCAGTGGAATCCAGGATACTCTTTGTATATTATTTGGGAGTAGTCAGCTGAATGTACCTGCCTCCCAAGCAACACTATATAAATATAAAGAGTAAGACTATTTGTCATATTCGAATTACTAAGAGAAAAGTGAATTCATTCCATATGACAGTTTTTCAGTGCAAATCCAAAGATTTAATGGAATGTAGATAACAAAGCAAGTTCCTAATAGAGTCCAACTGAAAGTAGAGAAAGGAGAGAATGAGAATCACATGAACTTTATATTACTACAGTTTGCTAAAAAATTTTAGTAATGTGAAACGGATCATGAAAACAGCAGCAGATGATACTGAGTTGATCTTTCGGTAAACTCATGCAGATGTGGTGATCTAAGTTTAAGGAAAAGCCATCCTATTCCTATGAATCAAACTCTACCAACCGATTTAAGAGATCTAATCGCTGACTAAGTCTCAGTTTCAGTGAAATTATACGGAATTTGATAAGGTGATTGTATATATGTGTGAGGTCTGACTATCCAATAATCGCACAAATTAATTAGTCAGAAATTACCATCACCATACAAATAGAAGGGGAAAGCAACTGGTTGATCAGTACAAGTTGCTAATCCGAATGCTATCTCATCACAGTCTTTCTTACAACTTCACTATTTTCTTCAATGAAGACAAGTTTACAAATCAAGACTAACCCAGAAAGCTTAATTAAAAGTACATCCATATATTAGATTCATTTGGATATCATATAGTACGTACAACAATACTGATTTTAAAACCTACCATTTGACAGTTTCACTGGTGAAAGATATGGGTTTGAGCCATTTTCATACCCATTCACAGCAGTCTCGCATCCTAAATGATTATCGTGATCCGGAAACAAAAAGTCTCTTTGTAAAGCTGAATCCTTTTCCTCACCAGGCTGCAACACATAACACGATCAAAGAAAAGGCGATTGACAGTTAGGTAATGACTTTGAGAAAGATTTCACTGTATGTTGTGTGGATAAATATCGGCAAACTGTACTTTAAAACTTTGTTATACTCGTAAATATAGGTTTCACTTAGCTCACACAATGAGTTCAGCTAATTCTAAGTACCTTGTGGCTGTTTACACATATGCCCAAGGAAATGTTTCACCGAGTCAGATGACTTCTCAACAGTAAATTAGATTAGAAAAAACATAGAACTTTTATATGAATAGCAATAAAAGTTTATAAATAAACTATCGGATGTACTGTATCTGTTTAAGGCCAAAAATATATCCAATAGTAGGTTCTCACTGAATGATTTTGTGAATAAGTAGCTTAGAATGCGAGTTTCTGCAATTAAGTACGGAATGCCAAGTGGATTTGACTTATATAAGTGGGAAGTTTTAAATAGAGTTTTAGGGAAATAGTCATATTTTCACTTCAATATTGAAGACGTGACACATTTAGTGGATGGTCCTACTAATAACCTTCGGTCTTCTGCCACCTGAGTAACTGTATATCCAAGACTATGTTTTGGAGTTGCGTTACATTAATGGGTAAAGTGAAATAAAAACGCTATCGCGGCATTGTTCACAGCACGTTTTCATTTCGCCTTCAATAATCATCCGGTATCAACGATACAAGTCTGCGAAATCATGGCTACCTCAGATACCCTCATTAATTGTGCGCAAAGTACGAACTCTGTCTGCTTCACTTCACTGTATCCTATTTTGTGGCTACTTCTGAACCTTATGCTGTCAAATTATTGCTACGTGAGTAGTATTATGATATACATTTCACTTTGTCATGTGAAGGCCACTAGTTTGATGTCTTATTATTGTATATTTGTGTTCAGCATACTATGTATTTGCTTTTCTTGATGCTTTCTGACTGCCACGTTATTTATCGGACCTATTCTGATCGTAATCTCTCTTGCTTAGCCTGAAATTTCAGGTATCTTTCATTCCCAGCTGTGGCATGATTTCAGTTGAATAACGCACTCTCATTTGAGAGTGCTTTTGACGGTGTAACAGACATTTAGACAAATGACAATTCGAAGTTTGTCATTTTAACACCCATGGTTACCGTTTTCAATGAGGTAATGCATTCTAGACAAAGTCAGTGTTTAGACTTCAGGAAACTACACGCAAATTGAACGTTCAGTTTCATTTTAACGTTGGGGTCAGGATTCATGGCGAAATTCTACATGACATTGATCTCTTTAAGAAGTGTTGTACTTATCATGATGCATACCCAATGCCTGATGATAACATTCCCCCTTATCAAGTATGACCAATATTGTATTGTTATGCACCGTTAGACAGGAAAAGTAATGATTTGTAGCCAACAGTAGTCACTTATTCACTAGGGTAAAACAAGCTTAAATGTACAACCTACATCCGTGTTTAGTTAATGGAAACATATATTTCGTGTTGCAGATGATGTTTTGTATGTCACCGAAATATTTTTTGTTAACACTTCGGAAATTAGATAATTTGGCTATGATAATTACTAATTTTGGTGATACGGCCAATGCTTTTGCTGCATTTCATGTAATAAAAAGAGAACAGTCATATATTTTGCCCATGGTAAAAGAAATGATTATCTAGAAATTTCTTTGCTTGATAAACCTAATATAGAAAGCTCCTCTCAGGAGGTTTCTAAAACATATCAGACATTCCATTGAGAGTATAAATTGAAACCTGATTGTAAACAAGTCCCGAAAAAATAAGTTTTAGCATAGCAATAAGAAACCGAGTGCCTAAATACCTTAAAATCTTGGAAGCGATAGATGCCGCTGTGGTTTTTGTGAGAGGCCATGATGTTACCTTAAACTTTAGAAAATTGAACAAAATCAATTTCAAAGAATATCTGATAAATTACAGAGGGGTACTTGATGTTTCTTCTTGAAGTAGATTTTCAGAGTCATGTACACTGTGTATCAAATTTTTATTTTCAATCATGTTCTCGAACTCGTTCAACTTTTATGGCCAGTTAGTTAATAGATGGTGGTGAGACGACAGAAAGCAATCATGTCCTGTATTATATGACTTTTTCGCTAAGTTCGTCTTCATGACAATACAAAGAAACTCTGGAAAGTTTCCATCCATTGAAGAGTTCTTTAAAATTTTTAATTTTTTCACTGCACTACTGGAACTGTCACAGTAAATTCTTGATACGCTTACATACTAGATACCCATTTAATTCTCGAAGAACATAAAATGACCGGATATTTATCTCAGCATTGAATTCGTAATATAAAAAAATTTCTTTGGTGATCGTGCATGCCGCTTCATGATTACAAGATGAAGCTAGGCGTAATAAAGCCATTAGAACCTCCAGTAAATACCTACTACTGCTTATCGAAAAGAGAGCTGGTTTGCCACAAGGATGTAATTTACAGCCCAGTAGACAGAAACAGAACAAAATAAAACCACTCCAACTACTACAACACTTTTGAAGACAATAGGCTAAAAAATACCTTTGTCTGAAACGTATCCAGAATAAGATAAATCAATAAGAATAATTGATTTCGCTCCTTAATGCTAGCTTGACGCAGCCATTCATGATATAGTTGGTCAGGCAAATATTTAAGAATCCAAACGATACTGATAAGTAACCGCTTCATTGTGCAATACTTCATAGCCTTGACATAATCCAGCTGACTGTGCAATATGGAACTATCATCTAAACCATCAGACGACTGCGGTAAACGGCAACTTGGTGAATCTTTTATGGTTGAATTTATATCTGAACCAGTTTCTGAAAATTTAGAAGCCTTTGTGCTTCGCCTCATCTAAAATGCAGTAAAATGCAACAAAATGGTACCGAAATATGATAACAGTGAAAACAGTGAACTCAATTTGTGATCAAGAATTAGCAAAGCAGTTATCTCATAACTTTTAATTAAGTGCTAAACATTAAATGCAGAAATGATTCCACTCAGATATATTTTATTGCGTTAAACAGCTTACTACAGATTCGATCGAATGCTTATGTAGAGGCAAAGCGTTTTCTATGCAACCCATCTCCGTAAACTATCCTGCATAGCTGTTTAAAGAGGAGGGTTAAGTCAACAAAAGGTAATGGTACTATTTTGATAGTTAATAGACTTCTGATAACAACTGCGATAACGCAAGTTTTATTACTACAGTCCTAGTTACTTCACCTAGTGATTTAAGTCTTTCCTTAATAATTTACCAAGTGAAATTACTTTCGAAAAAACTGAACGTCTGGAACCCACATTATGAAGGACATTACTAACATAAGGTCTAATAGAGAACCGAGAAATCCTAAACTGATCGCTTTTGAGTTGACAATCAATTTACAAATTTTAGTGCTAAAATACAAGTTAACTTGATTCCTGAAAAGCTCCCTGCTACATCATGAAGCGAGTTTCTTTACGTCAAAGAGTTTTATGTGGGAAACTTATATTCATCGTGCAAAACATGAAAAACGAGGTCAAGCAGTAGCATCCATAAAATTCTTTTTCATTTCTAGTAATTTAAGAAATGAGATGGATTCTTTGAAAGCCATCCAGAAAAGTTACACAGTGCTGTAATGACAAAAACATGCAGTCCATTTTACCATCATTATTATTTGTATCATATTATGTGAAATATCCAGACTTAATGGATCACCTTTGAGACAAAATTTATGGTTTACTGTAAGGTGGACGTAAACATGCTATCGAAATGTCCGCATATAATTCCTACATTATTGTACAAATATAGTTTAGAAACGTAAGATGCATGCTTGAAAACAAGTCCATCTGAAAGAAGATTGCATTTGTCTATGATAATAGAAATAAGCACATATTTCCATCACCTCGAATTTTCGTAAGCTTGTTGCATGTTCACAATTAATAAACAATTAGTAGTTGGAAGTAAGCCAAAGACAAAAACAAGACTACAAAGAAGAGAAACGGCTGCAACTGATGTTTTTCGATTTAAATAAAATACTACTAGCAAGTAGAAATAATGTATATGTGAAAATAATTACTGAGACAGCCAGTGATTGACTATCATAATAATTGCTTAGCTCGAAGTGTGACATCAAGTGAAGGGTTTTGAAAGCAATATTTTCCGGGTGATCTCAATGTGTTGCAGAAATTAGTTCAACATAAATTCACTGTATTGTCACTAGACCTTTTCCTAACTGCTGAAAAGGCTTGTTTCGAAGTCATTTGAGATATTGTACATTTGATTAACTGTTCAATAAAAAGTAGGAACACTTAGACTTGTAAGCAAAAATAAAATTATTTAATTTTATGTTATCCAGTCAGTCGTTAGCAGTTGTAAATCCCAATAGTCATCTGGGTAGAAACTTCTAAATAACGTTAAGGTTACAGAAGGCGAATGAATGAAGAAAAACAGAAAAACGAAATCATTTGTCACACCCTAAAACCGTACTTATATTAGTGACAGATAGTGGCTAGCATGGAATCGAGGACGCACATTTCTTCCTACTGGAGATTCGTTGGCTAGATGTGCCTTCACACTGTTCCGATGAGATCTGAACACAGGACCAATCGCTTGAAATGCCGGAGTGTTATCCACTAGACCACTTCTTGTACTACGGTCATAGTTTTTCATGTTGCTACTTGTATTATGTCGTCAATAGTAATTGAAAATAGAAACACAGGCAATATGAAGGCAGCTACGCAGGAGCCTATATGCTAGTAGAGACAGATCAGTTCGGTCCATTCAAAGACAGGAAAACACAAGTAGCAACATAAAAACAGTACTTGGTTCACACATGATGAAACTGAAAAGAGAGAAGGATTAGGAGTGACACAGAAAGTAGGGGATGCGTAATGTGGAAGACATAGAGATATGAGAATGAGATGAAAATCAATATGAAAGAATGAAAAAGCAATCTGCTTTTGTGGAATAACATCACTGTCTATCTCCAAAAGGATTGAGGAGTTGATCATACTTGTCGACGTTAATACACCCAGTTGATACTATTTTATAGTTATAGGTTTTGAAAAGCATGGTTTCGCAGGCATTTCTTACGTATATTCCCTATACTTAGAACTTCAACGGTATCAATTCAATGTGTTCCATCTATTAATTGTCTTTTCATGGTGCTGCTAAAGATTTTACTTCTATTCAGCTATCAAGCCTATTAAAACGTAAAAGTTTCATATGAAGAAAATTTTCTGAGTCTTTGTAACTCACTGACCACTGCAAATGCATGTAAGTCCATAAATATACTTCAGAGGGATTTAAGTACGTTATTCACCCAATGCATATGGATTAACTGAACACGTGTCACACATTGATGCTCATTTTTCGTTAAAAAACAATTTTTATCACTGTGTTCTTAATTCACTGACATTTGATAAAAGGTGGTGAAAAAAAACAACATACTTTGTTCTGAAAATCCAGTTTTACTTTCAATGAATCAAATTTTCCGTAGAAATCCCTGCATGAAAGAATTATCACATATTAGGGAAAATTATTAAGTCAAAATATCTCTGTTTTTAAAACAACAAGCAGAGGTGGTGACAATTGTCTGCACCCTTTCAGACTCTGATAAACTACTGGTAATGAATCCACTATTCAGTCTAGTGAATTCTTCAAAACAAATCGAACAAGTAAAAATGTATAATTGCGTTCCGAATGTTTCAATTGCAATGAAAATAATTGGCATCACAGAATCTAAATGCCACTTCAGTGACTATTGAAAACTACCCTTTAAGTTTTGATATTTTATGAAAAACGACCTATTTCAACGAAATGAAAAAACGAAAATAGTTACTTCAATAGTCATTCATTGTTCCCAAAAATACAAAGCTAAAAATCTTTTAAAATCATTGGTAGCCTACAGACTGTATTAGCTTATGTTAGAACGAAGACAATTATCGATCTGTTAATCACCTTCAGTCACACGCACAAGTACAGTACAAGCAAAAAGACTGGTAAATATTATATACACGATGTATATACAAAGCCACATGTTTAACTTATTGAAAACAGAAGTACATGAAGATTTTTATGCCAACTTAAATATAAATAACAATGAAAGACAACTTTAACTATACCTGGACACTAAGCAATATAATTAAGGGAAAAAATTGAACACCCATTAACAAAACCAAAAAACATTTGAACAAGAGAAATAACCAACCACTGAACGTACACGTCTCATTCGTCCAGAAGATCGAGTGATACTTCCGAGATCATTCGGTGAAGTGGTAGTTAATTTCTCAGATGTTGTATCATTAGCGCATTCTTGTCTTTGCTTAAAAAGGCTTGTATCGTTACACTGAGGTCGATTCAGTTGCCAGGTTTTGATGAAATTTGGTAAAATATCACATGCAATATTGAGTATTGGTACATAGAAATAAGCTAACTGAGAAATATCAGAAATTGACTGAAATGAGGAATGGTCTTCTGACAATTTTTCTGATAAATCCAATTCGTTATTTAATAATATACTCCAAAGTAGGTGAACTGCACGATTTTGTAATTCAGAAATACTGTTAAATGAGAAGAGAATTTGAGATGAGAACATTAATCTGAGTAAAGGTAGATAAAATGGACTATTAACCTTGAATAAGTTGAAAGAAAAAACATTTTCTGCACTAAAATGGATTCATTCCATTTCACACATTCTCAACACCTGCAAACAGCGTAAAATTACAGTCATCACATTGGATAGCTTTGAATGCATATCACGGATGAATTGTTGGGGGTGGGATAGAAGTTGGACATACGCAGCAAACTAATGTACCAAGGAGAAAAATAAAGGGAAATCAATGATAATGGATAAACACATACGAAATCAACGTAGAACTTCATACACATGTTTATCTGTTCAAACTATCACATTTCATTGTAGTATACAAAGAACAGATGAATATAATACGATTGACATCAAAGTGGAAAAAGTTGTGTGAGAGAATAAACAATCTGAAGATGACAGTAAGTGTCAATGTCCAACCTGTAGAAAATGTTAGTGAGTTAATACGTCTGCGCCAGTGTGACTGAGTTTCTTCCAGGTCACCAAGAGTACTCAATCACTAATTCCTGCTACCGTTTTGCGGACCCCAGCCGGGCAGTCTATATCTCTACACACGACTCAGACCGACAGTCGCCATCGATTGGTAACACCTTCAACCTTCTTCAAACTTAATCCAACTTCACCCTAACCAGTATTGCATGTTGATGCAGGTAGTGACTCGGTATGCGCAGTATATTTCCAAGCCATCTAAGTTGACTAAGATTCACAACTTCCTCAGTCGACTTGCCTAGTACCCTTAACCTGACCTCAATATTGCTCACTCGGTGATTCCACCAAATGCGAGCATCGCTACGAAGACGAGTGATCAAACCCTTCAAATTGCTTCATGTTTTCTACTTTTAACGGCCATGCCTGACAGTCGTGTAACGGGACAGAACAGACTTCGCAGTATGGTCGTACTTTGAAAGATAGTTGGATATCTCGCAAATCGACCCCACAGGTGACGCAGGTTGGCAAATATAGAACGGGTCTTCTTCATCAGAGTTGATATTTCATCAGCAACTACTCGTTTGGGTTAACGCAACTTAAGTGAAGTGGTCGATGCATTCAACCACTGCACTCCACATCATCAGGCTGGGAGTAATTGCCTACCAGTCATGCCTACAACCTTATTTTATATCTTACAGATGAGAGACGTGTGCTAAACATGGACAGATTTCTGCTCGACGCGTTCATAAGACCCTGTATTTTGTCAGTGTCTTCACCAAGCAGGGCAATATCGTCTGCATACTTTAAGTAAACCAGATAACCTACAGGGAGTAGACCAATCCCTGTTAAGTCATCGGTAATTAAGCTCATGTCCATTAGTACGTCTATATCGAAGTTAAATAGGAACGGTGACAATGGGCACCCATGGTAGATACTAATACGTACTTGTACATTACACGAAAGGAAAATCTCCATTCACTCAAGAACGAAGACGAAAGAAGTTAGTGGTAAGTAAGGCAAGGTAGCACTGAGAGGTTTCATTGTGGCTTAATTAGCTAGCCCTGGCTTAAAAAAGAAGCTGTTAAATAAATTCATACAAAGTGGGTAAACAGATTGGTGTTTCTGTAAGTAATATTTGATATCGCTTAGTTAAATTGGGAAGTCATTGTGGAAACATAAAAAGTACGATTGTGTTATTTAAGGATAATCTACATAGAGTTCTATAGAATAAAAATTGTTCTGCAGCAAGTTGGTTAAGTGAAATAAAACATCAGTGTACTTCATTACACGAAAAACATTTTGAAGTAATAGATATGAAGGTCTGAAAATAGGGACTTGCTTTTCTATAAATTATTAGTAAATTGTATTTGGAACGCTCAAGAGCCAGTTCCCACATCGCAAATCAAATTTTAGCCAATACAGTTGAAATGGTAAAACATCTCACAACTTGAATGAGAGTCACCAAATATTGCTAAAGGTTAAAGACAGTGATCCGACAGAGATACTTTTTAGTTGATGAACAAGAAGCAGCTTCTCTTCAATTTTCTTCAAATAGAAAACATATCACGATGCTGCTTCTGTTATGTAGTCATTGACTGGACCAAAGTGACCAGTCTATATTGCCGAATGGGCTACAGCGTGTGTGCCTTGATATTGTATGTATCTTGAATTTTTATATTAGTGATAGATAGTGGCTTGCAATGGAATCCAGCACGCGAGTTTCGTTCTACTTGGGACTAGTCAGCTGGATGTACCTGACTCCCAGTGAGCGGTGTTGTTCCCACTGAGACTCGGGCCCACTTCAAACCCCAGAGCGCTATATACTAGTTCGCTGAATCACGTTAGTTACTTCTTGTGCAACTGAAATAGTTTATATCATGCTACTGGTATTAGCCCTCCGTTGAATGAAACGAATTGATCGGTCTCCGTCGACTAATGGCTTCCTACGTGAATGCTTTGATATTACCCATCCATAGGATCGTAGAATGAAAAAAATGGTAGAAGTATGTAGAAAAATTAAGGCAGGAAGTTGCGTGATAACTTTGATATGAGTATGAGCAAAACATAGTCCTTGAAATGCCATCTAGTAAATAATACTTTATCACTGTGTGCTACGTCAAACAGACTAATTTAATATGGAATTCCATTCTGATGCAATGCCAAATTTTCTGTCTATAGTAAATTATAATTATTATTTGTCCTTTGGGTTCCTAGTGGAACATAGGGCTTCAGTACCACGACACCATTTCACTCTACACTTCTCTGCAGTCTTTTCATCCTGGCTTCACAACCGCCTGCTCACAAGCTTTCATTTCTTCCTCACACCATCTACTCCGTGTCACCCTCGCCTCGGACGCCCAACTAGTCGCTTCCCCTTCGGATTCCACTCGACGGCCTGGTCTGGCGCGTGACGTCCCCAGTCGATCTTCTCAGTGTATGCCCAATCCATCTCCACTTTCATCTACTGCATATTTGTTTAGTGGTAGGTTCTTGGTTGGTTCGTTGGCAGGCCAGAGTCCCACCTTCCCTATCCTTCCCGGCTATCTGATATTCACTGTCGAGTGAGCGTAGGCACCAGCTGTTGATGAATGTCTGTAGTTTGTTGGAAGTGCTTTTCGTGACGCGCCAAGTCTCTCAACTACCATATAGCAGCACTGACGTGACATTGGTGTTGGAAATCCAAGTCTTGTTCTTTGTGCTGAGTGCACTAGATCTCCACACAGAATTCAGATTATTGAAGACCTGTCTTGCTTTTCCGATCCTGGTTTTGACATCCTCATCTGTGCCTGTTCCGCCTGCCTGTAGTTGAAACGATGCTGCCTGCCTAGATAGGTGACAGAGACTACTTCCTTCAGGTTTCTCCCGTTAATGGTGATTGGTGTTTGTTGTTGATGCTATTGTTGGTTGGATATCTTCATCATCTCTGTCTTCTCTTTGTTCACCTGAAGTTCCGACTTCGCTGCCTTGCCTCTTCTGTCAACTTGTTGGTTTTCGCCTGTAGATCAATGAGTTTGTGCGGCAATAAACATAAATCATCGGCGAAATCCGAAAGTTCTGGGCTCTTTTCATCGGTGCAGCGTATGCCCATCTCTTCATTCCACACAGTTTTTGCATGATCCAGTCGACTGCAATCAAGATGATTATACGTGATAGTTGGTGACAACCTTGTTTTACTTCTGTTTTCACTTCAAAGGCGTCACTGAGCTTTCCATTGTGAATCACTTAGAATGTAGCGTCACCATCATATAACTGTTGAATGAGGTTGATAAAGGCTTGCGGTACTCCGTAGTTTTGAGGCAGTTTCCAAATTACTTCTAGGTCGACGCTTTTGAAAGCCTTTTTAAAGTCAATAAAGTTGAGGTAGAGAGTTAACTGCCATCCCATGCTCTATTCTGCGATGATGCGTCGCGTTGCAATTTGATTCGCACATGATTTGTTCTTCCTGAAGCCAGTCAGCCACCTTGTTCCGATCGAAATTTTGAATACAGAGCAGTTTTCAGTCACTCCAGGATGACGTCGCTTAATATTTTCCTTGTGGTGGACAGTAGCATGATTTCGTGCCAGTTCTTACAGAGTTAGGTCGCCCTTCTTTGGAAATTTGACAAGGTAGCATTTTCTCTAATTCGCAGGTATCTTTCCTTCCTTCCAAACCTTCTGCATTAGTAGCGTGTGCATGTCCGCTCCTGTCTTTGCGTCTGTTTTCAGTATATCTGGAGGAATTCGCCTTGTGAATATCCTTGTGTTTGTACACACTGCCACCAACCAACAAATCACTAAATGCGCAGAAATCTGCAAACAGTTCTCTATTTTCGTTCATTTCATCGACTGCTCCTCGACCCATGATCAGTTCTCTCACTGTGTTGTCCACTGACAGTTTGGCATTCATGTCACCATAAGCATCAGTTTTGATGTCGCCAACTGGGGTAGGGTCTTATCCAGTACTAATTGCAATTGTCTGTAGAATTCCTCCTTCTTCTCTTCATCTGGATTGTTTTTGGGTGCGTAGCGTGGCTTTGTATGATTGTGACTTTCCTTTCTTTTGAGTAGAATCATGCTGTTACGATCCTTATCCTGGAGGAGGTTGGTTTCCACTTCACGACAGAGAGCCTTTGATGTTTTTTGAGACACCATGTTACCCACTCCCTCAGTGTGCTCGTCGTTGTCGTCTGTGTGACAATATCGGAGTAGATTAGATTATTGACTCTTCAGTTGCTAGTTTGGAGAGTCCACTTCCATTCCACCTGCTTCCACAGATTCCAAGCACTTCCATGCCACACCTCCTCATCTCTTTTGCAATCTGACCAGCCTTGCCAGCCAGCTTCAAACACTGTCCAGACATCCCGTGTCCCTATGTTTACTTTCGCCTTCATCGAGTGAGAGAAGATACAGCGGACGACTGGCTTCCCAAAGATTTTCACCATCAGGGTTTTCCTCTCTACGTTTCTAGCGAGGAATAAGTTTGTTTTTATTTTTTGTTTTCTTTGTGGTTTGATGTTTCTTTAGCGATTGAATTGGTTTTACAGGGTAGGCTTGCTACCCCTAAACCCAACTTTCCCTCTTTATCTTGACTTAGGATCGGCTAGCAAACTATTGAACTAGTAAAGTAGGCGTGGTTTTTATACTAAATTATTGTCCTAAAACTAACACGTATTAAAACTTATAATAGACACAGAAGAAAAAGGACTGAGACCTACTCAGATTTTAACGCAGTCATCAGTTCATATATGACTAGTGAAATCAGAAAATGTTTATTTCCATTATTGCTTTTTCCATCAGTTTCATTTGTGAATAACTGTATAGAACTATTGTTATTAGGGTGATGATAGCTATCATCAGTTCCATAGAAATCTGGTTCAATCGTCGCCAGTGGGATATACCTCATTTTTACTTCATGTCTTGTTGGATGACTGCCGTTGGGAGTAGGTAAGTGTTGATGTCGTTGAAGCAGTTGTTCACACTTTACTGGTAATGAATCAACATTCAACTGATAGAAGGATTTATGCGAACATACTATTTGTAGCAAATCTAATTTGAAATACTTCAGTAATTTATCACCTAGTGTTTGGTTCAGTACCTTATCCGACAGAAGTTGATCCATCTAATTGAAAAAAAATAAGAGAATTGAGTAGAAAAAAAAAGCATCAGTATTTGTGACAAAAACTAAACTGTTAAAAAATGACACGAAATAAAAATTGGTTCAAAACTATGAGAAAATGAGAAAAAGCAAAATTTCAGACAATAGTTTACCATATCAGAAAAGAATACGTTTGCAGAATATGATGACTTCCTTTTGTGTTGCTACAGTTTCATCATACATACACGTTAATAAGACCAATTATTTAAAATAGGTTTCGGTGTATTGGAATGATAGAACATCAGTTCGTAATGAAACTGTTTGGAAAGCAATTATGAACGACAAAGTAGATGAATGCATTCTGCGAATCTTTTTACAGCTTATATTTTGGTGGAATCTATTTCACACCATAGTTTGTCATAAAGTATTAAATGAACATTCAAGCTACATTTAAAATAAATAGACAAAAGCAACTTTTGACGTCATTTTGCCAAAATCACTGTATTTAGATGATCAAAACGTGATATTCTGAATACAATAAGAATAAATTGGTTAATTCTGAACTGATTTTTATAAAAATGTAAGCCCTCAGACCCTTTCCTAATAATTTTTATATTCTAGATTATGTCTTGGTTATACTACTCAGTGAATTATCTCCAATATACTAGAAATATCGACCCGATTATTGACAGAAATGCTCATGAAAACCTTACAATGTTACATTTTTTTCCAGTGCTGCTTGAAAAACAATTTTAGATTTCTTCATGATTAACACTTCTTCCAACTTCCAAGTATGTCTACACTAAATCAAAATATTTGATTTCATTATTTAGCATGTAAATGAAGAGATTAAAACGAAATGCGGTGAATTGACTACATTTTGTGAATCTATTTCTTTTCGCCTTTTTATAAATTTATGCAGGGAATGGAGTCACCATTGAAATACTCGGGTTATAAATAAGACGAAGCAGGATTAGATTACGTACATAAAATGATCTCAACGGAACACACTGGTTAACATTTGCTAAAAATAAGGTTACCATAGGAATCATTAGTTCTCTTTAAGGTCGTAGGTATTCCTCACTTAGCAGTGACCACAAGGACCATGGGAAGTTCAGAGATCCATCACCATCGAGTTGTACCAATCAGCTCATTGCGTAAACTATTGACAACAATGTACGCGTGGTTGATAGTCTCCGATCAAGAGTCAACGCATCAGGCTCGTTAGAAATTCCGGTTATCATCTGAGAACTAAGTAGCATTTTTGGTATTCTTGATAAAGTGGGTTTTAAGTAATTTTGATCGAAACAAGTCATTTTATTAGTCAAGAGAAGGACGGACAAAGATCCTGAAGACAGTTCATTTTGTTCACAATAAGTAAAAAGTGAGTACACAAAGTAGCAAAGGAAAATGTAAATTTCGTCTTTTTCTATAATCCTGTCAGATCTCATTGACAGCAATTTTGACTTAAAAAGTGAAAAATATTGTTGTGAAAGATTATATAGACTCATAAGTGTTTTGTGGTAAAGTAAATGTATGATCATAGTGAATAAGTGAAATAAGGGAATCATATGAGTTGCAACCAGGGTATTTCCGGTGACAGGATTGACATTAGAGATCATATACTTCTTGATAATAAGCAATATAGTTCTCGCAAATTTAGGTACCAAGCAAAGGTACTTTTCAGATATAGTTTGACGTTCTTAATTTATATCGCAAACCAATAAAGTTTAAGTAAGAGGTGCAAGTTCTCGATAACAAAAAGGTTGATACTCTCTTTAGATGTAATAAATATTGTTCTGCTTAAATTGTAGAGTTTGCCTAAAGGTTTGTGAGCAAGGCAGATTTACTTACATTGTTCCAATAGTTTGCTATTTCAGAAAGGATAAACTCCGTAGGCAGGAAAGAGAAAAGGTCATACAAGAAAAATGAAAATATTCGATTGACTAGCCGGTAAGGCTCCCATTGATTTGGATCTGGAAGACAATAAAACACGAACTACAATCATATGAGGTAACATACTGAATAGCAAGAACCAAAAAGTGCGGTATACGACTACTTATGCAGCACAGATACATGCGGTAACGATCAGCTGAGCCTGTAAAAACTAGCTAACTGATATTGCCGAAATTTGATGCGTAAAACAATGGGAAGTAACACAAATCTAGAATAACAAAATAAGGAGGCTGAACATTTATAATCGGTAAACCCAGTAGTAAACTCTTTATAGCCAACTTTTCTTACCGTATACGTTAAATTATATGCGTTCGGTTTCTCAATAATTAAAAAATACTTTTCAAAATGGTATTTCGATCGAGATTTCTGGTGTTTTGGTCAAGACTGAACCACGTCTAGTAATACTACTTCTACAAGCTGACACTTCTAACAACTGAATCTCCTCTAAATGCAGCTTGAATAGTGGTTTAAACCGTTCAACTTTAAGCTGAATGAATCAGATTACAAAGTACCAAAGCAATCAACCGTTGCGGACATCAACAATTAATTCGAATGATTTTCGATCAAATAGACAGTTGTACATACACCATAGTTCTTATGTTCACTTTCTTGAAACAGTCTATGATTTCAATGAGATCTCACTTTGCAGTCTCAAAGTTTTGATCTCCTAGAGAAATCAAGCCAACTTCCCATTGTTACCACGCGAATGTAAAGCACTTACTTTGTTAAATGGAATGGCTTTTAAAAGATGCATTAACCTGCTGTGGAAGATCTCATAATTCTCTGTCTGCATGAGTATATCAATTTATAACACTGAAGAATAAACTTGCTGTAAACTATAGGCTTCCACTACCCTGACACTCAGGTGAACGGATCCAGGTCACCATTTAAAAATGAATGCCATTTACAGAAACAATTATAAGCTGCACTCGTGCTAAAATATGATGAATTGAAGACATTACTGTTCGTAATTTCGATGAGTTGGCGTTATGTGAGCTTTAAAAAAAAGTAATATCCAATCATAAAGTGTACTTAAATATTATCATCCTCATCTTGAGATACAGATGGCCTCCATTATTGATAAAGTTTTTTTATCCGATTCAGGAAACACAGGAAAACATTTTGTAATGGATTCGTTTCTGGATGATAAAAGATACCCAGTGTGTTAACTTATTTTATACTGGGTGATGAATGAAGGTGAGATGAAAATCTGAACCGCAGCCGGACTAGAACCAGTGACCACCGGGTATGCAAGAAAACTAAGCTGAATATGTTAATGTTTCACGAAGAATAAAGGCTTTTTAATTGATCAAGCAAAATGAGGATGTACCCAGAGGTCAAATTCTACTCACAAAATGCACTGGCATCCTAATATTTTTGTTAGTCATGCCTTTAAATACAATTGTGACCATGCTGCTGCAAATATGGATATCTATCAGTAATTCGAAAGGTTATTCTGGCGACCACTAAAGTAAACAATTTAGTTTATGTATATCATATTATATGTATGCTGAAATTCCATCTGAAATTAAAAAAAATCTATATAGTTATTTCAACAATTCCTGGGATAGCCATTAGGCTACCCCATTTGATATTGGATAATGGGGTTTATTACACTGATTTCGGCAGATGCTAATAACAGCTTGTTCTCCCGACTTGTGTTCATATATGAGTGACCCTAACGAACACACACGCGACGATTGAAATAATCAACTAAATAGATTTATTTCAACTATAAAAGTAACTTCTGGCATAATAAACGAACCTAGTTTGTTACAGCAATCGCTAATAGGCCCTACTTTAGAAATACTCGAATATACCAATTACAACTACAAATTTTAGTTTTTCCTGTATGGGTAAGAGGTTTTTAATCTTAGTTACTTACGAATCTTAACTTCAATACTATGAATATACTAACGGAAAACTTAAAGTCGTACACAAATTAACCATGAATGACAGATGTTAGGGCTAAAAGAATCCGGATAAAAGGTAATGCTGAGTTTTACCAAGCTCATTATCATGTACATTAGTGCTTTGAGACATTGAAATCCTCTGTTTTCAAGCTATTAAACCTACTATATTTTACCATGCAATAGAAAAGTTAGTGAAACTAGGAGGCACTACATCATAAGAATTCAGCTTCCTTGGGCTTAGTTTGTTTTAGTGTTGTTTTGATGAATATGGTCTATGAGGGTAAAAATGCCCCCTTTTAACAGAAAGTCAGGTAGGAAATTATCCTGAAAGATGAGATTCAACCTCGGGATTCAGCAAAATAATTATGAAATGATAGACTTTGGCATATTCATCTTCAGCTGCTATTGTGTATACTTAGAAGAGAATGAAATAAACATATAGGCTAAGAGCCTGAAAATTTACCAATACGTAAAATTTATATCTAGCTCAATATCTATTTTCCTACTTAGATTCAGTTTCATCAAATCGTGGCATACAACAATTGCTGCGGTTAAATATTCAATATTTCTAGTCAGCTCGCATACGGCTAAGTACTGCCTTACATATCAAAAGTCCAAACCACATAGCAATAAATTTAAGACTTTCTTTTACGATATTTAGAATAAAAGATTCGCACTAAATGTTTTTTTAAGACAATTTGAAATAATGAAACTTATTCAACGATTATCTTAGGTAAAAAGTTTCAGTAAATGAACTTCAACTTAGCAAGGTTGATATCCGAGTTGACAATCACTGCTTCTAAACAAAACATGACTCTAACCTTCTGATTTTTCAGTATGCTGACTACATACATAACGAACCATGTATTCTATCAAACATGTATTGAATGCAGTTAAATCTTCTAAGAAACACGGATTTTCACGAAGCGTTAAAATGATTTTAGTTTCATTTGTTTTCCTTGTCAAGTACCAATCCTGTGCTAATAAGTGAATCTGAAATTACCAAAAGATGAAGAACTTTTATGATTTTAGAATTACCAATATTTGAAAATGTTGACAAGTTGAATCAGTCAAATACTCTTCACTAAATTGAAACTATAAGATGCGAAGTACAATCACAAGTGAACAATCAATTGACTATTCTTAATAATGTGATTAGTTTAGTATGCTTTTTTTTCTTAATGAAACTTAAACTTCAATCATGGTTGAATCCGTCGAACAAGTATACGTGGATTCAGCATATGATAAAATGTAGAATACATTTGAGCAGAAAAATCTGTCCAACGACGTATTCCATGCTATACTGCCTCACTTCATTTTCAAACAAAGAGTCAAGTCTACTGTTGACTAGTATATTTTCTATACTTCGTCAACAAGGAGTTGACAAGAGGTCAGTAAGTTTTACATATGAATAAAATGATTTTGTTCGAAAAAAGACGAGATGAGAAAGGAGTACAATTCAAAAGATGAAATATGTGAAGAACTAGAAACAGACAGATGTAGAGAAATAGTAGTATAAGAAACACACAACAAAATGATAACTGTAGTTATCTCATATATTAGGAGAATGAAAGCTGTTAACAGAAAGATAACAATCAGTTCACCCATAGGTACACAGGATGGTGCTGTTTCCTTAGTTCTATCTTCTATAAGTGGAACAATGATGCTATCAATATAGTTCATCCTCATTTTGCTATTTAAACAACAGATGAGATGAAAAGAAGCTAAATTTATCAATCTATTATTTTCGATCTGGACTTTATTCAGCAGTGAACCTTTCACCATTCTCCGCAACACATTACTTAAATTATTTTCAAAAATTAATTTTGTTGATAGTGTCCTAAAATTCCTAAGCAAATGGTGAACCTAATAAATCATTGTATTGAAAAAATGTCCCCTGTTAAGTAATTCCAGCAAAGACGCTTGCATAGACGTATAGACGTATAATGGGTAAGCAAGAAGGCTAAGGTGGAAATGTTAGTGTTTTACAGAGAATAAAGGTGTTTTAATCAAACAAAATGAGAATGTACCCATAAAAATGGTTTACCATGGTTTGAAGTATGCAGTCAAAGTTTCGACTTATTTCTTCGCCTATAATGATCACCTGGTGGAAATGTTTATGCTACTGAATAAGTAAGTCATCATTAAATTGATCAAAAAGTGTACAAACTAAAGTTTACGCAAATTTTTCAAGAGACTGAACTTCCTGAAAGAATAACTAATTTCCTAACCAATGGTATGGAATGTTGTAAACATAAACTAAATTCAAAGTTTACAGAACCTCATATAATTTCACCAATATGCTTCATTCATAACACTGGGTATGACTCAGCCTTTCACCGACTGAGGGGACAGCATGACTGCTTAGAAAACTTTTAGGTTTTAACCTAGTTGATGAAATAAGTAATACACGTTTAAGCAATCTCTATCATCCTCTCTTCTGATTTATCACTTCAAAGCATACAACATGGTTCGAAGGACTAGATGACGAATGGTTGGAGGAAACACAAGGAACCAAAACACTTTCAACGGAGCTTCGGGTTCAGAAAAACATTTTTCGAACTGCTGTGTATTTTGAGTTTCAAATTAAGTCAACAAGCAATGTTTTGATGAGAGGAACCCAGGCATAAAACACAGTCACCATTCATCTTCTGAAACGGAATGCAAAGGTACAAAGTTTCTAAATTATATACGTCTGCTATATGTTGCGAATATTATTCAAGATCATGGACGAACATTCTATTACAGGAAGGAAAGTTCTAACGAAAAGCCTGTTACGTCATTTGACTTGAATGACAGAAGACTCTTAATTCCAGGCCGGAGAATTTAGTTTAAGAATTTTTATCGTCCGAGTTTTCAGATTATGAATTTCACCACTCCTAAATTCATTTATCGTAGTGATCTTGATTAAATTCGCTGAAAAATTGTCCAAGCAATCACTAACGATTTTTGAGTGAACATTCTTTTTTATGCATACACTTGAGATTTTTAGTCAAGTAAAACAATAAGAGCGTAAACATTATACATGGCATAGATTTTAAGAAGTATACGTTGTTTGTACTCAAGTCTTCGGTGAAAGTTTTATTGACCATATCTGAAGCATTATTTGCGTTACAAAACTTCAGTATTTTGAAATACAGAGAATAAATTCACGGAATACTTACTAATAGTTTGTTTATGATGATCGTAATACGATTTCTTATATCCGACATGAACTGGGAGATTTCAGAATATCATATTACCAAAGTTTAAGTGCTAAAAACGATATCGAAACCGTAAAACTTAAGTGCAAGGCAGATACTCTGTCTTATCATATGGTGAAAAATCAATCAACTCAGCTTCGGTAAATTCATTTTTTTTAACAAGGATGGTAACATTATGCACAAATAACGTGATAAGCAACGTCTCTTCACAGTCTCAAGTCTGGTAGCTGCGAATAGTTCAACGGCTATTTTATAAGGCCGACCAGTGAAAAATATTAAACTGATGTGATGAATTCAAGCAAAATCACCAATACAAAATCTCTCAGAAATCTGTCTAGTAATATAAATCCCAGGGTCAGCACTAAAAAAGCTTAGTGTAGGATTGAGACAGTGATAAGTTCCTGTATACCATATTGACTAGTATTAGGACTTTGAAATTCAGACGTCAACTAAGGATACCACATGTGGTAGCAAGTAGTGAACAGACTGCTAGAGAAAAAGGGTCTTTGAAGGTCTACCGCGAAGGAGGAATGTATATGCAAAACATTTATACCATCTGGAATATTTTATATTTTATTTGAAGTTAGAAGGCAATCAGTACTTTTTAATTACTCAAATACATAATGCAACAGATTGAAATGACTGGTTCCCATAAATAACCGGCATCATGCTGCCACCATAAGGTTTTTAAAACATCACAGTGAATACTATTGATGATTACTTTGGAATAATTGTTTGAAGGGAAAAGTCGATTCAGTTCTCAATTACTGCCTTGAAAAACACTCAGAGCAAATTACTTTTTGGCATAGTTGGTAGTCATGCGATTCATTATTTTCGATACGATATTTGACGAACTGGTAACTACCAATCTTTTGAAGGCATTCTATGTGTTGTTGAAATAAATTCAACACAGTGATTATATTAGGCCTCGAAAATAATAATGTTTATTAGCAGGATTATCATTCTGTACATTCGCACATGACAATTACAATTTACAACCTCGACCTTACTGTAAAGTTTCTTCTTTCTTATAAACATATACTATTACTTTATTTGGAGTCAACAGCATAAAAGTCTAAGACTGAATCACAACCTTGAAAATAATTAAAAAATTTCTTACTTTCGAATAGACACCTCGAAAAAAACGATTGTAATATTTTGATGAAATTTACTGCTTGCTTCCTAAGTTATATGGCACAGTCACTGTGCAAATTTATGACTACTTTCTGGAGTGTAAGAAACGTGTGTCAAAAATGTACATTTAGAAAATAATATCAATAGGTCGTGCCTTTGGCATTCATATGCCTTATTTTTTTTCTAAGCGTAAACAACATAAACCAGTAGATAAAATAAAAAATAAATCTGTTCAATATTTGACTCACGAATAACTCCAAAAGAAACCATAATGAAGGAAAAAAGGTATGACTGCTTTTGGAATCAATAAGTTTTGTTCTGAATAGATAGATTCTAACCAGTTCCGTTAAAATTATCTATAGATATGATAGAGTGAAAAAAGAAAAGTGATTGTACCAAGGAAACAACTATGCAAATTCAAGGTGAAAATAAATATTTCACAAGAAAGAAACACCTTTTGCAAGGCAAAGTTAAATCAAATTCATTTAAACCTATTTTTTGGATAGAAGCATGTAAACAATGCTATATCAACGTGATTAAAGAGTATTTCATAACAAGTAAGTATTGAGTTTCGAAGGTAGTTAAGTAAACTATTGGTAGTATAAGTGGGCCTTCGTACACCAGTGTTTGAAAGGTAAAATATTCTATGCTTCAGTAACTTCTAGAACCGAATATCATTCAGCTAACTGAATTGAAGTTACCGTGTTCTGTAATCACCACTGGAGCGTTCTAAAGTCACAGTTTATCACCTGTTGTAAATAAACAGTATGGTATGCTTGAAGCCAGAAATCATTCTGCTATTGGAAGTCAAAAGTAATTCTCAAGGGAAACTTTTCTCAACCTTATGATCATAAAGACAGCCATAAACATGAAGTTCATCATCTATAGTCACTCACTGTTCAGTTTCAACCTTCTGACAAATGTGCGCCTTCAGGAATTTAAATTTACAGTGGTTGTAAAGGTTAAACAAAGCATTATGAAATGATTCCCAATTATAACTTCATAGTCTATCCTATCATTTGTTACATCAGTTCACCAAAAGTTAAGAATCATTAATATATTGGGTAAAGTTCATGTACCTGTACAAGTTTCAAATAAAACAATTTATATTTTCAACCTAAAAGGTTTATTCAAGAAAAACCCTTAAAGGAAATGGTTATATGACGGATAAGCGACATTTAGGTTCATCATTTGTGGCACACTGTATAGATGCTGCTTCCTATGTAACCACAAGATGAAATTATTTAGCTTCAGACATGCTGAAACCTTATTCAATGAAGGCCAAAAGATAAAATTGCTAAGGAAGACAAGCCAAACAGTGTCTACAGAATAAATTTCAGGAACTGCGAAAATCACTTCGTCGAATACAGTGGTCGCTCTTTTCGTAGCTGTCTACAAGAATTTCACAAGCAGTGAAGCTTTCTGGCATACCTTCGTTCATATCAGTGCATATTGACAACTGTGGAAGTGAATTTGACTGAGAAAAATGTGGAAATCGAGTTGATGAAGAAAATTTATGGCTGAGGAGAGTAATTTTGATGATGCCGTGTTCTCTGAGGTTGATGGTTTAATCGTGGGAATTTCATTGTCAATCTAGACAACAGCAGCAGCACAAACTTATGAAATTTGGAAATCCTGGATAGAGGAAATGCCAGAGAATTTTTAGAACAAGAAACAGATATACTGACACTGACCCAATCTGTCAATCAATAAGGAACAACAATAAGGTCAAATTTCAGGTCATCACGACAACCAATCAAAATAAGCAGGGAGAAAAGACAGGACCTTGGCAGGGACAACCAACCACAAACAAAGTCATTAAACCAAGCCACTAAATAAACTGTAGTGAAAATCTTGTACCTCACTTCTACCTGAAGTTTGTGCTGATTGTTTCGTCTAGAATGACAGTAAAAGCTTCATGTTTAAACCACCCAGCTCAGAGAACACAATACTATCAAGATCATCCTCCTGAGCTACATATATTCTAGATCTCATAAATGGTTTACTATTTTTAAAAATATTCAGTTTACTAGTGTTGAATAAAATTCCCACCTACATTATGATAAACATCAACATACTTATAGTACATACGGACAATAATTTTTAACATAAACGAATAAAAAAGAATCATTATTAACTATTCAAATACTCAGTTGCTGGATAAATAAATCTTTTTCAAAAGTATTTATCGAATTCGCCACAAACGGCAAGTAAGCAATAATAATAAATACCACTTACATTTACTAAAAGACTTTTGTCTATTTCCTCAGCTTTTATCAGGTCTGCAACCAATGGCAGTCCAAATAATGGTTGTCCGGAAAAATAATGTTTCAAGGCTACAGAAACAAACACAAAGAAAACTAGAAATTAATAAATCAGCGGAAATTCTATGCACAGGTGGTAATGACACAGAGTGACATTATTGCCTTTTTGAATTTCAGCCAGTAAACATTCGACATCAAGCTACATAACATTATAGCCATCAACCTACTAGTGACGAACAGAAAAACGATTCAGATGATATGTTCCATGGAGTCAAATCACGCAAACACTGTTAAATGTCTCATAAAAACGAGTAATCAATGATGGTTGGTGGATAGCAGTGGGATCCAGGACACGCGTTTCCACTCATTCGGAACTCGTCAGCTGGATGTGCCCGCCTCCACGTGAGTGATCTTTTCCCCACTAAGGCTCGGACTCAGGACCGGTCGCCTGGAACGCCGGAGCGTTGTCCACTAGGTCATCAAGTCATGATAGCTACTCCTTGTGCGATGACTATAGTTTTGATGTTGTCACTTGTATTTCCCCGTCACTGGTGGGACCAAATTGATCGGTCTATATTGGCGCATGTGCTCCTGCGTGGATGCTTCGATATGGCCTGCGTTTTGACTATATTTTGTTGATGGGTTGTAGATATCAGTGGAATACAAGTCATGTGGATGTATCTGCTTCCTAGGGAGCGATGTTGTAGGCACTAAGAATAGAACCACTAGATAAAAAGTGGCTATCGGGATTCAGCGGCCTAGTAGATAACTCTCTGGCCTTTTAAGTGATCAGTCCCGAGTTTGAAACTTGGTGAGAACGACATCACACTGGGAAGCAGGTATATCCAGCTTACGAGTCTCATATACGGGGAATCGCATGTCCAGGATTCCACTGCTAGCTAATATCCATCATTACAATCAAATTGAAACGACAGGCAATATTGAGGCATTCACGTAGAAGCCTAAAGGCTAACAGGAATCAGTCAACTAGGTTCTATCGACAATGAAATAATACAAGCAACATACAAACGAATAATTTCTACGTATTTATTTCCGTCTATGAATTTGAAAAGAATTCTAAGAAGATATTTCGAAGTATGCACTGTGTTTTGTCGTATTATCTTCAGTTGCTGGTATACTATTACTGATAGTAATAATCAGTTACAAGGAGATAATCAAATTTTCGAAATGACAGTGGAATGAAATAAAGTAAGAATTAAGTAATTACTGTCTTTTGTTTACTTGGCTTGAAGGCATTTTTTATCACAGGCTGACAGTAGTTGAGAAACTATTGGTAACCTGAGAGCACATAGCGGCTGCTTGACGCTCGTTTGTGACTCATGACCAGTGGGCACACATAACTCCGCGAGCAACCAAGCACAGGGATGCTACATCTCATGGAGAAAATGGTACCAACCAACTAGGTTGGAATTCAATGGTTCACATTTTCCCGCTTCTTTCAATCACTGATTCAATGCGACCATCATCGAATGCTACTGACGAGTAGTTGCCTTCACACGCCGCTAGGTAGATCCCATAAGTCATGGCTTCTCGTGAAAAGTTCGAGAAATCCATCAGAAAGGCAGTCAGTAATGAACACTGGACTCGACTCAGTTGGTGTTTTTCAGGGATTGATTAGTTTTAGTCTGTGACGAAAACTATCTTTAAACCTATGAATTCTCACAAACCACCAATTTACCCAATGTAGGTCAGTTGTAAGACTCTGAAAGAAAAGAAACACATTATCCTATGTAAAACTCGTCCTCACTGCACTGGAATCAACAAGTTACACAATTTATACAAGACAGTTTAGCGAAAAAGGTTTTATTTCCGACGAATCATTTTCAAACGCTGTATATCGTAATTATAATCACAAAATATATATCCATGAATAACTAATGGGCCAATAGAAAGTCATCCAAATCGGCCAATAAAGTCACAGTCTGATAACAACTAGGAGGTCAAGTCGAATCATCGGACTTTGCTTATAAGACTATAGCAAATAAACAAAGAAGTGAACAAACTGTTTTAAAAAGACTGCAGCCAAGGTTAACTTAGAGACTGAGTGTATCTTGGCTGTACATAAAGACCGGGCTTGTAATTCTGGACTGCAAGAGCTTTTGCTGTATTGAGGTGGCGAATACGCACTCTCCTGACTGTATAAATGTTTTTGAAAGTAGACAATCGTGGAACACAGTGACCAGAGATGACCAAATGCTTGGAAACTGACCTGTTGACAGCTTTACACTGTCCTTCAAACAACAATGTGGGATAGTGTTCGGAGATACGTTTGAATAAAGCACGCTCTGCGTGGCCTATGTAACCGGCTTCACAAAGACAGATGAGGTAGTGAACACGCATGGAGGTGGCCCAAAGCGGTAGTTTATCTCTTACACACTCTGGAATCAGTTGTTGACCACAGAAAACAATCCGAAACTGAGCAAAAAAGGTCATCTTCAGTACGTTTTACAGTCGTTACTTCAGTATCTCTCCCGATGCATCTCCCTTAATCCAATGTTTGTAAACGGTATCTTCTCAGGAACCATCAATATAAATTTCAATGCTAATCGCTTAATCTGTAACAAATTTTATGAAGTGTATTCAAAGCTGTCATCACTGCTTAAATAAGACTGTTTAAATGAGAATTCAGTGCGCCAATAAAGTATTTCCTTGTAATATGCAGAGCTGAGAGTTGATCATGTCATGAACTGTAATCATATCATCAAAAGAAATGACGTTATTCAGTACATTTTACATTTAAGTACTACAATAGGTCATAATTCACACGACATATTACATACTTCGGTATTCAGTAAGAGTAAATGTAGAGATATAGTCCAATTGTCATAGCTGAACACAGTGATCACCAAAGCCGTGAGTTATATTAATTGGAAGTTCCCAGAATAATGATTATTGTTATTTGGTGGTTAGCCATCGGAAGTAATAAAACTACGAAAAGCAACAAAATAAAATGTATCTAAACTCCTTTCCACACCACTATCTTCGACACACCGGTAATGTGCTTAGTTGAAAATAAACGTGCATATTAACTCCATAATCTACTTCCTCCAACTAGAACCACTACAATAAGTACTTCAATAAGCTTTCAAATTAAACGTTTCTGCTTGAATGCTACAGTTTAGTTTAACAAGTAAAGTGTTCGACATAGACACTATATATATATACATATATATATACGCACATAAGTGTGCTCTCGATACAAATAACAAGTAGGGATTAAGAGATTCAATTTTTCCTCCATCAGTTCAAAGTCATTATTTATGCAGAGCGTCCTCCGATGGCATAACTGACTAATTTCGCTATGTGTTGTTATAGCAGGATGGTCATTAATGCACATGCTAGGCAGTTATTTCAAGTAATAGTTGTCCTGCAGGAGGTCAGTCGCAGCCCAAATAGCTTAAAGATAACGAACGACCCTGAACACAGCACTGGGTAAAGTGGGTTCAAATCTTTCATCCAACATCAGTCCCCTCGAGGTTGCAGATAAGTCTTGCTGACGGATAACAAGGAGCATAAAACCTAGATTGAAATATTCTTGCTGGTTGCCTTGATTCAAAGTGTACCGCGATGCTTATTTGCCTTAGTGATACGCTCTAAAATGATCAATGGAATTCGATCAAAGCTTTCGACTAGATTAGACGAAATTGGTCACTCTTCAGTCACCAATCAGTGTAAGGGTTACCTATATTTATCTCAATTAGCACTCAACTGCAAAAGTTTATGAAACACTTAGTTTTAGTGCAGGTGGTTTGGAACAATGAATGATACCTTCAACTAATTATTGATAAGCTTGGTTATGCAACTAAAAATTACACTGACTTTTGGCTTAAAATTATTAACAAATCTACTGGGTGCATACTTGTCTACCCAGATTAAAAGAATCAAAGTGAATGTACCCACTCCGACTTCCATAACTGTTAACTGTATAAAGTTCAGAAGCAAGGCACTCAGTCCACAAATATTTGATTTTTAATGAGAAAATTTGTTGTGAAAATTATTTCTTGCAATACACTGTTAGTTTTGCGATTGAGTGTTAGTTAATGAAATTTTTTTTTTAACTAGAATACTAATCAGAGAAGTGGCGTGGTATAATATAAACAACATCATAAAACAAAAGTAGTATATATTGTTTAATGTATGCTTACCAGTTTCAGTTGTCAAAAAGTGCGATCCAGTAAGATATGAAACTAAGAGTTGATTTCGTCCATGTTTGTCATTCAAGTGAGGAAAATTACGTGTAATACGATTTAAAAATGCAATTAAAAGTTCTAAAGCGATTAAAGCCGGTTGATTAGGCTCCATATTTTCAGTTAAATTAGAGCCCTTCATTTTAATGGAAATAGTATTTTTTATACAACTGAAAAGCAGACGAAGAAAACCGTCAAGAAGAGGGGCAAAAAATGAAACCAGTTGATGAAGATTTGCTTCATTGATATACGAGAAGAGTTGTCTAGAAAACAAAGTCAAATGAAAAACAGTTTTATTTTGCACTGGGAAAAATATGAAGATCTGCATAAACAGATCTAATTGACGAGTTTATTACCACAGCTATCGTACGTAAGAAAAGTCAGACTAAAAACAGTAAGTTTTAACAGGCATTCACAGCTTCATTGAAAACTGACAACATGGCAACAATGGCTTTATTCTGGTATGTGTGAGAGCAGTCTAGATGACCTATCAAATTAGGATGGTATTACCGGTAACATTTTGCATAATCTTTCTCCGGAGACCCTCAGGAAAAAAACTGTTTGCTGAGTGTCTATGTCAATGCCAGTAGTTGATTCTTCAATGCGTAAAAGACAATTTGGAGCCATCGGGACTCGTCAGTGTGTATCTATAAGTTAAGTTGCCCCTGGTGGTTTCAGGATCTCACACGCTAAATGCAGCTGGAAACACTAAATTGTCTGGCTAATAAAAAGTGAAAAGAAGACGATATTCAGCTTTGCCGTCGAGAAATTCGTAAATTCATGACATTTAGCTCCTCTCGAATGTATCAGCTTCAACGTAAACATCTTATTGCAATATCTGAAATGTTCCAGTCAAGAAAAAATTACAATCCAAAAACAAGTAAAAATAATAAAAAGTTATACGAAATGTCAGAAAAGTGAATTTTTGAACAGAACTGAAATTTCGACTAAAATTATTTATGAAAAATACGAATATGTTATTTACCGAACAAAAGCCTTGTTTGAGAAACTTTGCATTGTTTGATTGATTCGATTCAAATGACAAGCTGACAGGAGACATTCTAAAGAAGCATTTTGCATATAAACACTAGATACAACTGTCGTAGAGACAGTAAACAGTTCACGGTGTGCGTCAACCCATTTACAAGCATCCATACAAAACTGTACAGAGATGAGGAAAAAAAAGGTGAATTAAATAGGATTTCAACAGATGTATATTTTTAAACAGGATTTGTGATAATGTCTGTCAAGTTGATGCACCTATGATAAAACAATTAAATGATAATTAAGAAAAGTTACTAGCTAAAAGAAAAAAGCTAAGAGTTTCCAACCTTCTTTAAGATAAATATTACCCATATCAAAGAAAATGAGTTGAATATTCTCTTCATAAAAAACATATTTCAGGACGTTTATGCGGTAAAGCAAAAATTATCAATTTCAAAAACAATAGAATTTAGAATGCCAGACACCAAGTGCACTATATGACTTCCTGAGAGGTACTGATGAATTAAAAAGTGATACATGCGTCTAAAATAATTGCATCCAATTAGATGTGAAATCAACCCCGTATCATCTTGTTACCACTTCATTGTAATAATTTCTCATTTTTGATTGTAATCCAGCTATCATATCTACCATATGACAATCTCCTGTTTACATAAACATTAAAAACACAGTTATCGTTCAGTTTAATTTGTAGACAAATTATTTGAGGTCAGAAATACAAATTAAACTCATGGTTAGTGATATTCAAGAAAATGGCTGATAATATCAGACATAGACAAATCTATGCCGTTTTTGATCGTAATTTCATGGGAATTGGTAATATACATTATTTTTTGTTCCTTAAGTATCGGTTAAGCGTATGCTTTCCCCTTTTATAAAAATGGAGATATCCTTATTTATAGTTACCAATTTCTCGCGGTATCAACTTCCACTGGAATTATTTATGTGCAGTATGATGAAAATTCTACCTACACTAAATTCTTAAAGGTTTCATGTTGTTTTTCTCTAGCTGACTGGAATACGCTCAAGATACAAAAAAAAACGTGGTGTAATGTCAATTTTCTAAGAGTACTGCTGAAAAACGCTAGAAGTTATCATTTTATCTTTCAACAATTCCATTTCACAGACCGAAAACAGTGAAAAATAGACGCAATAAAAGAAATCATAAATTCCATCTAAAAAATCAATTTAGTACATCTAATCAGTATCCTATTGCTAGCTTTGGTGCATATGGATGATTTCGATGAAAATTTCTTTATTACACTGAAAATATTGACTTTGCTAATTTCACATTAAACTACTATCAGTCCGTAGAACCTTGTGGGATACAATGTATAACTTATAGGACATTTTTGCGTACAGTGAACAATTTAAAAATGTCAAAACCATGGGCACTGCTTTTGATAACTTAGTTTTATTTTACGCAGAAGAAAGATACCATCGTGAAATCGACTGACATGTATGCCTAATTAATTTCATCCACCTAAATAAAAAGTATTATATTATGAATTGGAAATTCATAAAAACGTGTATAGGTTTACTGAGGCATGTGATTTCTCGTTGATTATTATGCTAAACCGGATTTATCAGTCACTGCTGGAGCAAGGGCTCCTTGAATAGATGCTCAAAGATTGCCTCAAATTTCGTTTTGGTGTAGTTAACTTGATGATAACTAGCAGCCTATTCAAGCTTCAGTGGAAGCCCGATCACTTGTTAGGAAGAAGGTACATCCAGTTGATGGATCTTAAACATGACATAAAATGTGTTCTGCATTCCAGTGCCAGCCACTATCAAAACAAACTAAACCAAAAGCATGTGTAGTTGACAAATGCAGTTACAAAAATCTACTACCGATTCATCTCATACAACAAAGCTGTAAAATATATAATTCTTAGAAAGTTCAAGAGAGCAAATAAACCTTTAAATTTTGTTTTTTATTTACAAAAGGTCATAAGAATCGGAGACAAAAATCATTTTAATTACTATTTTTCTATTTGCTACTGATGGTTTCATCAACTTGGTGCTAAAACAGAATTTCTACTATTAAAGTTTATATATGTTAACTTGGTCAGAGTTTTCTTGCATATATAATGCTACGCTGACGAGTAGTTGGAATAAAAGTAACGAACATTTGTCGTGCCTTAAATGTGATAAGATTATGAATTATCACGAAGAGTTTGCAGGTGTCCACATAATAATTATTCACATCGCACGTGTGTTGACTTTATCAGTTTACACGAGGTGAGCTAAAACAAAATGAAACTTTACTTTCTTCATGTATTAGTGCTTAAACTTCACATTATACAGTATTAAACTATGGCTCCAGATTTTTCAGTTCTACTGCATTTCCTGTGATCAAACGGAGGATTTACAATTTTCCTATAGAATCTCTGATGAGAAGTCCAGTGACCCAGCGTAATTACGTTGAATGTACCATATAATGATGAATATTTTCAAAATGTCACACATTTATACCAATCAGATCCGAGAGTGATGATCACAAGAAAGGAGTTATATGTCACGGCAATTTACGTGAATGCTATCCATAGTAACTTGAAGTTCAGTTAAAATACGGTTCCCAAACAAAATCCTATCACACAGATTTCAAAATCATTGCCAAAAACCCAATCATTTGATAGATTTAATTACCTTTTCATTAATTGACTTAATATCCGGCTTCAGCATAGCCAAGGCGGGAGATGGTTTCTCCACACTGACCAATAAGCTAGCATCGTTGTCCTTCAGCCATCCTTGTTCTAAGAGTGGCAGCCACTAAGTAAATATAATTGAAAGGATAACGTTAATATATCCACAGTTATAATATGATCTGAATTAGTAATGAACCTATTAACGGCTAAAACAATAAATAATTAGCTGGAAAAGTTGGTAGTATTTATAATAGCAGAAATTTTTCAAATAAGCTTTCTCAAAGTTCAACTGGCGGCACAATGAATTTGGTTTTGAAAAACGATAAAAATCTCATGACATGACATTAAAGAATAAGTAACAAAGGCTAAGGAGTAGTGATAACTGTGACCTGCAGAAGATCATAGTTTCTTATTATTCTTCAGTTATGATGAAGGCGATTGAGTTGCAGGCAATATTAGCTAGCCGAATAAGAAACGAATCACTGTTACTTCAGAGCATAACTAGATTTTTCCAGAGTTATTTTGATTAGGTATCAATTCATTCAAAAAAGTACACTTACATAGACTCATAAACTTGAGTTCAATGATTAACCTAGAGTATCGTAATATTATGTTAAAATCAAAAATTGCGTTTTTGTCAGCATTGGTATAACATGTAAAATACCAGTAACAACTGATAGTTGAACGTTGTACTATAAGTGGCATTGACAATTTCATAGTTGAGTTAAACTACAGGTTCCCTTACAATAGAAATGAAACAATACATCATATTATTCCTCACGCAAGACGACCACCGTGATATTATGACATCTGTACGTACCGTGGGTGTTTTGAATCAAATCCAGTATACCCTCTCTGACAATCTTACTGCTCACCCTAAACGATGGCAAGCGACATACTGCTGCTACTATTAACACCTCACATTACGGAAAAAATACGGATTTCCAACACTTTTTTCGTTGGCAAGATGAGAATGAAGTTAAAAAATGGAGTACATTGACCTACATTTAACAACTGCAGGTATTCAGTCACACTCAGCGGCATGAAGTGCTGAATAGCAACCCAGTAGCTTTGATGATTCAGTGAACTTACGCGTGAGAAAGACCAAACATATAAAAATATGCTTATGATAATATCACACAAAAACCAGTAATCACACTAAGAACATCCTCTTATTACGACAAATATGAAACAGTACTAATAAAAGTAACCAGTAAAATATTGTGAAATTTTTTACAAGCAACTGGAAAAATAACTAGAATATAATTCAGTTTGGAGATTTTGTACGAACTGATTGACTTCAAGGTAGTATTCATCACCGACTGTTATCAGTTACTGGGATACTACTTCGCAAATCCACTTAAAAATAACCTCCGCGTCTCACTTTCAGTCGTAGAGCGACAAACACATTCGAATGAACAGGATAATTAAGTAGTTGATCTTTATTTAAAAAGGGTATCTAAAACCCTTGATAACTATATTCTGACTTGTATTATCACATAATTTGGATTCAGTCACAATTTGGTTTGAAGCGGGTGGATGGATGTTTATCAGGTAAGTGGTAGACGATTGAACCAAACAACTTGGAAACCAGATACTTCACTCAAAACTTATCATTACCACATTTCAAATTCAATAGTTTTGATCACCTTGCAGTGTTTAGGTGAATGCGTGGTACTGTTCTTCTAATATGAGAATCTGCTCATGTAACAACAGTCAGGCGGCTGGCTACCTATAATTCACGTGATTCAGCCTTCATGAAAGAATTCCTCAAAGATATAGAAAGATAATTTGATTCTTTGTCATCTAATTTGGATCCCTGAACCATTCGAAATATTTACTAATTGACCCATTACAAAGAACCATACTTTGAAAAGAATATACAAAAGGTTTTTCCAAAATGCAATATCTTTATCAAGTTTTTTTTCTATTCTAACCCTCAATAAGAAAGTTTTAAGTGTGAAAATGTTAGTTTTTGTATTGAATTATTTCATGAGGAATTTAAGGTACTGTTGACAGAATACAGATGATGCGAAATAATGGAGTATAAGTGCTCAAACAAGAAGAAAAAATCATCTATGCTGGCATTCATATATCGTGACTTTCAACTACAGTAAACAACGGGGGAAAGTTTATAGTCAAGATAAATCATAGCACACTGTTACGGAATCATCAACATAGTCCAACTGATCACTGCCAAAAGTCTAACTTGCAGGTCAATAGAAAGCAAAATATAAACGAAGTACTTCGCCAGGTAAAGATTTGTATCACTAAATCATGTGAAGAAGGTACTATTTCGACTAGCTCTCTGCAAACAAGACGTCATCACTTAATTATAAGAAACCTACTGATCCCCTTTTATTTCTATGCACTCATAAGATCATAACTCTTATTTTCTTAGACACAAACTATAACGCATAAATACTATAGAAAAAATGTTCCCGATAAGGCAGTGACTCATGACCATCAATATAATTCGACACTTTATTCACATTATAATATCTGACATCCAATTTAATAAGATATCTTTTTAATGAGACTAAAAAAGTTGTTTTTAAAGAAAAATACCAAAAGGTAACCGATGTAGCTGACAGTTCTTCAGTCTCTGGCAATGATCAGAGTTCGCAGATTAGGTTGCAGTGTGACCACTAAGCTAAATAAAGTGAAACTGTGGTTCACTGTATTTGGTGTCACATGACAAAAGCAGATCGGCGGAAATACCTGGCCTGTAGATACTAATTACCCAAAAGTATTGGTATTTCCTTAGTTATTCAAACCTGTATCATCAAGAGCAGAAGTGACAAACTTTATCATCAAGTAAAATAAGCCACAAACAGATCCTACAAAACTGGATTAAGTCTACGAATTATCATCCACAGTTCAATTATTTAGGCCGATCTAAGTGCTCATTGTGGAGCCAAGTCTGTGTGGTCGACACAATGAAAGTATAAACTCAATTATACCAACTTTTTCATAAAAACAGATTTCACTTACAGAATATCCAACTACAGTTTCTAAAGATGCAGTTGATTCAACTTTTTTCGACTGACAAACTATGTGATAGAATGTAAATAATAAGTAGTGTTTTTCTTCCAAGTTTGCAGGCAGCTGGATTTTGATTTCATCGTAGAACTCTGGAGTTCTGAAAGAATATCAAAGGGACAAAAAGATACACAATTAGAGAAATTATTTACACTTAGCGATCAATGCATATGTGACAGTATTTCTTTTCAAGTGGCAAAATTAAGAACAAATGTAGTAGAGAATATTTGTAATTAACAGAAAACGGTTTCCAGGTAGCTAAGTTGTTGAATAGAAACACGAGTACAATCATTAGTGCGAACTTCAAGTGGGTAAATAAGCACACGCAATCTGAATAATTTTAATTAATATTTCGATTTCTTTACAATGAGAAAATAGGTTACCAGCAAATCTCTATGATAGTGTGATTTTCTCAAATATCGATTTCCCAGTTAATGGCAAAGTTATGCGTTGAAACTAACCTAACTTGTTTGATTCTTAGCGGTAATGCAGTATCCATATTTACTGTCTTTCCACTAGATATCAAAACGCATCCTTCAAACGAGGGGATCATCTCACTTTTGAATGTGATTCGTACTGGTAAATCTAAGATATAAATGACATAAGATATAACCAAAAACGTAATATTTTCAGTTTAGTGAGCAAAACTACTACTGGTTGGTGTGATTCAAAACCAGTTTTGCATTCAGAAATTCAGCTTATGAAAAATTGCGGGAAACGTAGATGGTATCCTTAAAAGATCCATCCATATAATTTTGGTACTATAACACAATAGTGGCATTTCTTGACCGAGAGGCAGCATCAACTCAACTGATTGAAATGTCTAGTGTTAATGTCCTTCACTGAAATGGATTCCACATAATAACATCACCCTAAAGAAGGCTCTATATTCGAATACCTGTGAATGTGTTTGAGCTTACTACGAGGTATCACGTAAATTGTGTAAGTCAAGTGTCATCTGTTAAGGATGACCGCACTTATCATTTCGAGTTAACTTTGGCATACACATACTTATGAAGGTCTCCCTCTACTCTCGTGACTCAACAATCAATGACGTTTCATCACGTCATCCCTCAGCAGACGACTAGTCCTGCTAAGCGAAGACGCTGAAACGATGCAGTTTCTTTTGAGTGGAAATATGAGAACGTTCAAGATATGTCTCCCATCACTCAAATGCAGATTTTTATTCAACAGCTGGTCAGCGTTAGCGTTCCATCTAGCAATACTGAGAGAAGTAATTGAGCACACTGACCAATTTATCTAACCAGGATGCCGGGTTAGCTCTGATGGGTCAACGATCGATGAAATCTCTGTGCAGATACTAAATGCTAGATTGATTTCTGCCAACTTTCACCAACCACAGTCCAGGTATAATATCTGATTGCCTTTTAAGGGCCAAGTACATAGCACAGAAACTTTATCTGTCTAACTATGTGTCTATGATACTTGGTCACAAAAGGTAGAAGAAATCAGAAGGCTTCATGTGTTCAACCACTATACCCTTTATTGCACAGAGCGTGTATCGTGTTGTCACCACGTCAGTCAGATGTAAAGCTAGCGATAAAAGAGATAAGTCCGTTGACGAAGTTGTAAATTTTCATCAGATGATACGGATAAAGCAAATATTACGCAAGTCTTTTCGCAATCTACCCTGCCATATAATTTTAGACAATAAAGGTGAAGCCTGGAAAATGGTCACAGAGGATCAAACTAAAACATAGCTTTAGTCAATAAAGTCTTTGACTGCTGGTCTGAACCGTGTAGGAAAATGTAAGCTTGGTGATTAGGATGAAAGAGATAGCAGAGATGACTGATTGGAAACACTGAGCGATGTCATTCAGGATCGATTTAAGTGGTGCATATATTAAGTAAAATGTTCATATCAAATTTTCCCCACTGTTTTACCTCTATCCCTTCCCATTTTAAAATTTTCTACGAATACTGATTATTTTCTACCTTATTTCTTTGATCTTGCTGACTTTTAACTTAATAAAGGGAAGTGATTTATTATAACATTCACCATTACACATTAATGTCACATCTCATGTTGATATAGCGTGAATAACTGAAAGTTATCATGCATCATTTTATAATCCTTTACTGTAAAGCAATCACTTTCCTGAATATAAAGTTGTGTTTGGTTATTCCAGGGAGTTTACTAGCAAAAACTACGAGTACCGGTGAGTTGAGTAAGTCAGGTTCGTTGGAGCTCACGCCGTATTAGAAAGCACGTCCATGAAAAGGCGTTACTATCACACATTATCGTTATCATTCTTAACGAGCAGTGGGTAGCAATAATAGATATTGATCAAGTTATTCATACTTGCCGCTAAAAATATATATAGCTCCATTATTGTTTGTTCGAATTATCTTTGAAAGTATTCCATCAGTTAGTCTAATTTTTATTGCAAAAGCTATCTAAATTCGAAAGGAAAAATCAAATTTAATTTTGATAACCTACTGAAATTGCAAAGGTGATTTCGAATTCTGAAAGAAAATAATTCCCTATCATTTTTAAAATAAGCTGTAGGTAACAAATCAAGTTCAGTTGATAACACTGATAAAACAAAAATAGACAGTCCGAATATATATTCGCAATCTGAATTCACTACAAGATATATTCCACTGACATATAAATTGACAGTTTGTACAGTGAACTACAGAATTTGTTGTTGCATGCCTGCTGTGAAGGCAATTAGTGAGAAAGTAGTCTGGCTAAAAGGTTTTACAAATAACTACTGGCTATTTTATAAAAATGATCTCATACTGCTAAGTGGAAATAAAATAATGAGTAAAACACATTGCATATGGTCTTCAATATAAATGAAAATCGATAAGATATGTAGTGTATGTAAGTATATCAAGCAGTATCTTGTTTTTCAACGACTAATAGTTTTATGTCATTCGTTACACTTTTCTACTGCAAAAATAACCACACGAATCGCTCTTAATCTTTTCATGTTTAATAAGGAAACTGATCTGAAATGCACACCTCTACCATAGAAAAACAATACACATGTTCCTTAAATCCTTAAATGTTTCCCGAACCTATGCTAGATACAAACATTACTTGACTGTCGGTATCTGCTGATGCCACTTTTCAACGTCACGACATTTTTATCTTGACCCAAGTTTACTTAAATGTAAATGGTCATAGAAATCCAAAATTACTAACAGTTTGTTTCAAGATAACAATACCGTTTTCATTTAGATCTCATCAGGCTTCACTCTTGTCTACATAAAATATCAACCAGTCAACGTTATTTGTAAGTCAACGATAACAAGGAAACGGAATGTGTACTTTAGAATGATAAAATTGGTGGTAGTATACAGGGTAATAAGAATTTTCGGAATGATACGACAATGCAAACAACTGTTCAGATAGACAGACAGACATACAAGGTAGGTCGAAGCTTGGTAAAGAACCATAAGGTTGCGTAATACCGAAGGATGAAGGTAGTGAATAAATAAAGTCTGAATTTGAATATAGTAGTGGTATGAAATGGGTGAGGAGAATAAAATAAAAAGACGACGTTGTACATTTTAAAATTCATAGGTAAAGCCATTCATTAAGTTTCCCCGTACTCAGTGGAAAATCATTAGAACCTTAAGGTTTGTCCACTAAAGAAAGGTTTTCAGCATGCAGTCTCTCTGATGATATATTATAATAAAAACATAGATTTATCGACAAAAACAACAACTAATACAAAACTTAATCCTAACGAAAGCCAGTTAATAGTGAATGTTTATTTTATCAATATTGTTTGGTATAGGCAGCTTAAAATATTAAATCAGTAATTTAGTTATTCCAGCACCAACTCTCTGATATTTTTTTTTATACATAAAGCCTCTTTTGAGCACATATTTTATGGATTTGTGTACTTTTCTTGTTAAACCGTATAAGACTCATGTTTTATTTCAAAGTGTATCTCATTCATTTACGCTAGCACAAAAAGATGATTAAATGTGACGTATATTTGGGGAATTTAACATTACAAATATAAAGTTATGATGTGGATTACAGTACCATAATGCATACAATTAAACTCATCAACAGAAATCACATGAATGACTAGTATGCAATCTAGTGAAAATTATTAAATCTATCAACCACTTTTTTCAAATTATCACGCTACAAATGAAATATGCTGAGTAGCACTTAGATTATCTTTAGAATTTTAAAGTGAAATGTTCTGAAAGGAAGATGCGAAAATTTCAATTTCTTCTCCTCCGGAAGACAGCAGAAAAACAAAAATAACATGACTGTACGATATCAATACTAACTTACTTGTTATGATAAAACACCGTAGTGAACGCATCACTTATAAATCTTGGAGAATTACTTTTGCCATATATAGCCTATTAAGAAATTTTTAAAAAATATGGACACATCAAATATGCACACAGATAAAAATCAAAAATAATGAAACAGATTACCTAGATACAAATGAGAATCAAACATCCCAAATAGATGTCTCAAATTTCTCGGAGAGCTTAAATCCAAGCGCTTTTGGATGCCTAGTCAGAGGTTCTATTTAAAAACAATGACTCAGTGGGAATCCAAATGTGAAGCCATAAAAGTAACAAGACTTAGTTGTATAAATTTCGCTCACTATCACTACAGTGAGTAGAGTCTAAAATATTGTTCATTAATTATCTCTATGAATTCTGAGAGTACGGCAATTAGTGTGTGGTAGAGACAAAAGTTTTGATCCTGGTAAAGTGTGTCAACAAAAATTCAACAAAGTCCAATACTATTCACATTTTAATACGTCTGAATGATTGTACACCTGGGAAAATGATTGATCAGTAAGTCTGGAAGTAAGACGGTAACAAATAAGCTCTGGTCGTGATTTGCGCATATTGTACGAGTTGATACTGAAGAATACAATGTATTTAGCACATTATATTTCAAGGTATAAAAATATCAGCCAGTTTAGTAATAATTTGTAGCTTTAATGAGAAAAAAAGTGATGAAATTATAGTTGGGTACTCAGTTGATGGTTGTAATTATCAACCAGCTCAACAACAAATCCAAACCACCGATGGTCAATGTTAAAAGACTGGGTCGAAACAAGAGCTCATGAAAACTAACATATGTCCATTAGTGAATTAACTCGGTAACAGAATGTTAGTCTACCCATGACAACTAAAATATCATAACTAAGCTTTCATGCAACATGTAAATAAATTTCAAGGTGGAATTCAATGAATATTGATTATTCCTTGAATAAATTACAGTCACTCATCGCGTATTTATTTAAGTAAGCTCTCCAAATAATACTTAAACATCTCTAAAAAATCCAAATAGCCTGCAAAATTATAAAAATAACTTACTGGAAGCACTTTAGTTACGGTAGAGTCACTATACATTAACTGCACACGAACAGTAAGATTTCTGGAAGGAGCTTTCTTTAAAGATGGAAGACTAACACTTCTTGGATAAACATATAAAAGATTTCTGTGAGAAAAAAATGACCAAACAAAAGGCAAGAAAGTAATATAACAGAGGGATATATTTGCATGTCTACAAGTTATTGACAAAACATTTTTCAAGAATACACTGCAAATATACTAACTTCATCCACGAAATGTTTACATACTAGGCCATGAGCCAAGCTTGTTGACTGAAGGATTATGATGCTATCTCGTTGTTCAGGCAGGAGTAGGCAAAATAGGGTTGTGACTAAGGATCCGGTGCTCAAAAAATCGAATTCCTTAGTCAATAATCCACTCCTTTATTAAAGAAACTGAATGCAACACTGTAGTAACAACTGGCTAATTGATTCTGGATAAAACAATAAATGTTGACATAAAATTCATGATCGAGTTAATGAAAATGATCTAGACTTCAACTTCAATAATTTAAGAAAACAAAATTTATATAAGCTTCTTTAATTATATGCATCGGATGGAATATCTGATCGTGATCTTTGTCGCTACGAAAAAAGTTTTGTCATCTTCATATGAACTTTGATTTCAACACTGTTATCATTTTAAAGAAAATGAGTTATTTAATTGTACTTGAGCTATCACTATTTTAAAAATCTTACTCCTGTTGAAATATAAATCGATCGTTGCACTTGGATAATGATAGAAGTATAACGGTACAGCCTCAGAAGAAGGTACTCGAACAGACAGACAAAATCAAAGTAGAAATTCTCACAGAAGTGAATCGGTTCAAGTTGTTACACTTCACAGTAGCATGCAAAGAATAGGTGAATAGAAAAAGACTGATATCAAAATAAATAAAGGTATATGAGGAATGAAGATAAAGGTCAGTGGAAATGTTTAAGCACTAAAAGACGTCAATAAGTGAATAAATCTGCGCCATTGTGACTGATTTTCAGTTACTTCAACAACTCCCCAACCATTAATTCCTATAGTGTCAGGGACCCAGCCTGATAGCCTGAGTCTCCTTACAGGGCTGACCAACAGTCAGCGAGTAACTACTTGGTAAGAGTAGGAGTAGGAGTAGTTAACTGGAAGAAATATAATCTTTCAGTTCATTTGTTTTCAGGTAAAACTGATAGCGAAACAGTTGATATTGTTGTATAACTGAATAACTTCGATGAAATTTTTCAGGCTATAAAATTCGTTTGTGTGTCTCTCGGACGAATTATAATGGTCCGTGGTCACACAAATCTATTTGCATAACAATTATAAATTGTGATAATGTTAGTACTAAATAGCTAACTACTACCGACTCTGTTGGTTCTGAAACCTGTCAATTCATGGATAATTGGATAGTCATAATAGAGTTCCACTTGTCAAATTTCCTCTGTAGTGACTTCACTCGAGTAACTGAATGAAGATCTCACAAAAACAAGATACTCTTCCAGTTATCCGCCACTTTTGGATTCCCACCAGTTCGAATAAGTTGGTTCCTGATGAACTCGGCATTTGATGACTTACGTAATCAGTGATCCTGGAAATACATCTGACTAACTACCAAAGAACGAGTGCACTATGCCTGAAAGTAAGATAAGTCAACACATGAGGTCCTGAACCTCCACCGACTTAGATAGAAAGGTTTTATGTATGCCAAGCCACTGCCTAACTCGAAATAAGATCCTAACCCAAACTCGAGTGAGTATCGGTTCATTAAGTTTTTGACTAATCTGTGTTAGATTCTCTGGTTATTTTTATATCTCTCTGTCACAGAATGAGGACCGGCAAAATGCATAAGGAATCTAAAATAATTAAAATCTCGAAACTCGGAGAATTCTAAAATATTAAGGCATCTAATTCATTGGAATAACATGGTGATATTCTTGATGATTTTTATCAACTAGTGAAACGCTCTCCTACTTTACTGTTAAATATAATTAGAATTGACAGTTGAGCAGAAAAAGAAACTTTTCTAATTTAACATAAACGTGTAAGACATTTATCTACTTCAATCACCTTCAGCTACGACAGGTCTGAAATTCTAGTGAGTAGTCTTAACCGGTAAAATTAATCTGATCATTCCGAATCTGAAAGTGGTAAAAATGATACTTAGATGACATAGTTGTGCTTATCCGTCGCATTCGGTTAAAAATGTGCATTTTGACTTCTTAAGCGATTGGAATATTGTCTCTTGACCATCAGAATATAATTTCCGATATTTTAGTAGATCATGTTAGATAAAGTGTTTTATGCTCGCTACTTCTTTATTGATTTATTCATTTGGCAACCGCTGTTGGCATTCATATTCGATGAACTATTCTTAGGTACGATAGGTTGTGGTGGTATTGGTTTTGTTGGTTGCCTCTTTTGGTGAGTCTTTATTGTTCCCCGTGTTTCGGCATAAAGGTTGATTACAATTAGCGTGTTCTTCGTTAATTTACTTAATTAAATCAATTTATCCATGTTATGTGGGTCAGTTGTATAAATTTATATATGCTACATCGTTTTCGTTCCGTTGGACGTTGGTTAAAAGTTTTAATTCTGGTTATACTGTCAATCCTACTGCTTCCCGCAATTCGGTTCACATTAACAGCTTTCACCTTGTGGTTTCAGTAGTTGATTCAGATAATACCGATTTCCATTGTTGTTTATCATCCTTCAGTAGAAAATCTGCTGAGAGGAAAGGTTTATTTATTCATTTTCGCAGCCCTATAGATTCTTATCAAGCGTCTGCAAGGAATGCCATCTTTATCAATCTAGGTGACCAAGGGATTTCATTATCTTTAGTTAGGTAGAAGATGAGATGAATTCAAAACAGTAAAATCATTGAAATGAGTAATGATTAATTCAAATTACGCTTAGATTTAATGATTTCATATCCAATCTAAAAGTAATAATGACCACTGATGTTAAGTATGTTACGTTACGCCTACATGCCGAATACCGGCAATGAACAAGATCCATGTGAAGCAGTCAAATAAAACGAATCAACCAGTGATTCCCAGATGATTTTAGATTTTTAATCAAGCAAACTCAGGATTTCACTCCATCAGACTCTATTATTCAGTTATCTTTACAAAAAAATCATGAGCCACTGCTCTTTAGAATGGATTCCTACCAAGATGACAATTCAACCTGGACATCAGCCGAAATATTTAAATTATAAAAAGAACACGAACCAAAAAAAAACCAAGAAATATTCAGTATGTAGTTTGTTTTTATTGCAAACCATGTCTAATGAAAATCTTTTTTATTTATTTAAAAAATATTTTGTGAGTCATCTTAAAGTTCCACTTTTTCTTCATTTTCTGTCTACTTTGTGAAAAAATTCAGTTCTCACAAGCATTAGTACTTTGGACGACAAACATAAGCAATGTACAACCAAAAAATAAAATATGAGATGAACAGTTTAAAGTTATAAACTAGTGTCTGGGTTACATCTACATATACTATAAAGCATTATTCGTCTATTTCTACGTGTTGTATAAACACATACATAGTTGCTTAAATATAGTAGGTGTAAACGACATATATCATATGTGTAGACTGGCTTTATTTAGTCTGGTTTTTCGGGTGTCCATAAGCACTAAAACATAACAAGAAAAGTCTTGACTGTTTATGGTACTTGAAAACTTTGTCTACTACTGGAGAAAATGAATAATTGAAAAGTAAAGCAATCAAAAAAATATTTTGATAGGTTTATGCACTGAATTTTTGGAAAAAGATGTTAATATGCAAAACAGTCAGGAACTGAAATCTGCTAATCTATTATTGTTATAGCCTGCTATGTAAAATGATTAAGTTATTTGAAACATTAATACTCTTTACCGTACAGGCACATCTTCGTAAAAAGCACTGCATGGAACAACAGGTGAGTTATTGTATCGTTCAGCGTTAACAAAATATTGTGGATAAAACTTTATGTCTTTTATCGCTACCCCAAATACTGAATTATTAATTGCATTCGAACGCAAAAACTAAACTCACTCAAGAATCTTGTGCACAATCGTGCAGTAGGAAATGAGTTACACCTATTATAAGAGGGCTAGTGATACTATCTGGCTGACCAAACCTCTGTAGGTGGAGAGGAGTTCGAATCCGTGACCCACTGGTTGATATTTACCATCCCTAGACCACTGAGCCACAGCGCAGCGTTAATGAAGTCAAGTGGGATTCACAATTGTGATTTGTTACACAGGCGAAATCCTACGTCTGAATTCAATAGATTTGACAATGTTTTTAAAAAACAAAACAGTTACTCAAAGAGCTAAAAGAGTTTCAGTTAACTGGTTTGACCAAAATGTAAACTACCAGGGTGTGATTTGGAACTGTCCAATAAACAGGTGCACAGGGACTTCAAGAAATCTCTACCATTTTTAGTGCTACCAGAAGAATGATAACAAAATAACGAAATAAAGTTGGATCGTCATTGACGATTATAATGAAACGAAACCTGAGTAGTGATAAGAGTTGTTATACTAAATTAAGAGCATGGCCTTGGAACATGCTATCTTAAGAAAACGAAACTGAATTTTCGCGGGTAACTTGGAAAAATAACGACGATAACTTGAATAAAATTCTCACGATGGTTCATCCACATTGGTGTTCTGTTAATGAATTTCATTTTCCAACAGGTCAATAGTAAAACAGAAAATTGAACATGTATTTATCACTTTCAGTCAAAAGGATTGATGAACTCCAGTGGTTCAAGTATATGTCTTCTTCTGAAGTGACCTTATAGATCTGATAGTGTTATATAGTGCATTGAGCAGAGTTGAAACAAAAGGTTACTTTCAAGAATGTCCTGAGCATATTGTATGTTTCAATCAAGAATTTGAAAACTAGTAGGGAGAAGTAGTAGATATTACTCAAAGGAAAGTTTACATCGAGAATTTTCATACACAAAAATTTATAGAATAGTAAATTCACGATAACTTCAAACAAAGAAATGGCTATGAAGAAAAATTCCTCACTCCACGACCAGATCTTCATTCCAACGATATTTTTTTCGACCAAAAATATTACTTATGGATGGTTTGTTATTTTTCGAAAGTCTTCAACGTATATACTTCATTCGAAGTAGCAACCAAATGATGGCTTATTGTATTGTTTGTACCATAACAATAATAATATACTACTGATATCTGTATACATGTTCATGTGACCTTCAGCTTCTTTCAATCAAAATATATAACCATTTTAAGCAAGCACACAAAGTTTGCGCCCAACACTGATCATGAAATACTTCGAAGTATGCGATAATTATGAATATGATCTGCCGGATGAAAGGCATGCTACCAATGTGTCACAACGATCCTCTTTGTAAAGATCTTTTGAAAATGACTCATGGACGCAGAAGATAAAACCTACAGCAATTGTGTAATACTCACACTCCTTACATTCCATATTGGAACATTGAAACAGAAGTTAACAAGAAAAAAGACAAATAATTGAAAATGTAGGGACATAAAAATGTAAGAGAGAAAATAAAGACATGCAATAATAAAGCACCTGTCATAGGATGAAAGATGTAAATGAATAGATTTGCGATACTAACGTTGATTCTATCATGTTCGTACTAAACGGAATCTATAGCATGCTGTGTATCGATGTGGGATGGCTTCAGGCTTTATTCGAAAATATATGATGTTCCAGTTGACTTTTGCGAAGCATGAAGAATAGAGCACCTATGGTTACAACAACACTTAATTGGGAATTCAAATTTTGAAATAAACATTCAAGGAGAGAAGAAAGGACACAACCGAGTTATAAGTTAAGGTTTTTGAAAAATAAAAAGTGAAATCTAGCTATTAAGACTTTGGTAATTCGAGTATGGTAAGTGACTTATCAGTTGAAATTTGAAATCGTAAAACAGTAAACTACGAACTGTTAGGAAGAGATTTATCGACTCCTAGTGAAACCTAAGCGTTGACTTGTTTGTGGATCTATTTGTTAAACATCTGTTGAGTACTAGAAAAATTTGCACTAAGAGTAGTATGACTTTGTACCTGTGGTACTCAACAAAATATAGAACAAAGTGACAGCAGTAGTTACAATCGTTTATGAGGGAGAGCAAAATAATAAAACATATTCTTACCTATAAGATGTGAATGGAACCATGCGATCTACTGAAGGCAGTTCGAGGACTTCACGAATCAAATTCGGAATACGTGAAGAAACATCACAGTTGATATTCGTTTTGCTCAAAGAGAGTTCGTCGTCAGAACGAAAAATTGAACCGGTATATAAAAGGCACTCTGGATTGAGTAAAATCACAGATGAACTAACTGAATCATTCACTTCATCTGATGACAAACATGTTCCAGTCTTCGCATCCACGGACTTCAGCAATGTGACAAGATTTTGTGGAGTTGCCCAACGTAAGCGCAAGTGCAATGATATATTAGAGAATGTTTTGAAACGTCTTACCGAACCACCAGTAGGAATAAATGCAGATGAAAGACTTGATGAAAAGTTTGAAAAGCTTGAACTACAAGTATCTGGATTCCCTGAAACACTATTGTTTGGCGCTGACGAGGAAGCGTTTAATCCAGAGTTAGATGTGCATGAAGGTCGACTGTTAATTGAAAGTGTTTGGCGGTGAATTTCGTTGACATAACGAAATAACTCATCATCATTGATTCGATCAGGTTCCTTAAATAAAGAAGAGTGACAGAACAGTAATTAAAAGACAATCAAGAAATTGCATATTATATGTACAACCAATCTATTTTGCTTCATATCCGTAAAATTATATTCACACGGAAGTAATTAGACGTTTTTCGTAATGACAAAATTTATTCCCTCATAGATTATTCACAGAAAAGACATTGTTTCATATCGGTGTGAATGAAAATAATGACTAAGACTTTGGTGATGTTATCTAGGGAGTATCACTTAATTATTGATAGGGCTATCATTACACTAAAAATCATCCGTGAAACTTGCGAAGCTACTCTCTCTCTCTCTTTCTTGAGAAACATGGCTAAGAGATTTAGACTATGCGAACCTTCATTCATTGAATATGCAAAATTACATATGACACTCTTGGTTATTTTAGAACTGAAAATAATTCACGCTAAATATGGGTTCATCTCAAAACTATGAGTAACTTCGTAAGTTTTTGAAAACTAAGTTACGCACAAGTGATTCATTGGCTAAAACACTGAACGTTTTAGTAATACATGAATTTTACTTTGTTTAGTGTATTAAACGTAAATTTTTATTGAGAAGTCTAAACACAACGATAAGTTTTTATTTCGGTAATATTTTGAGCAAAATTACTGCCTGCGATCACACAAACGGTTGGAATTTTTCTCAGCAATATTTATTCATACATTTACCAGTAGGTGTTATATGTGCATATAGTCTTTCCTTATTGTTCATTTATTCAATGCAGTGTTCCTTACAGTTGAAAGTTTTGTTGAATCACCTTTGTTGCATGTGTTACGGGTGATATGTATGAATATGAATTCTGCTCTTACCAAAATAATAACGTGTTATTGTGTGTAAACTTTTCATTGAAAATTCGCTGCTAATATATTAACCAATTCCACAAAGCAAGAACTTTTGACTGATATGTTTTATACTTTAAATGTTTGTAAAGTATTTATACTGCTTGAAGAAACAAGTCCCATCTTTCCATGAGAAGGCCAACGCGCATATTAACTGAGGGTATTATTGTTGATTTTATGGTAAAAACTTTAAAACACCCATCAAAGGGGAGGAGAAATAGATAACTCGTAAGAGAAGTTTCGTTGTGTTTTTAGGGTTCGGGAATTCATAGGAAACGATAACTGATTATGACCCGAAAAGCCCAGATTGACGAATCACATATCTAGGACATTACATAGACTTACTCATAATGATAAATTCATGATGAAATTTATTAATGAGAATGATATTCATGGTTAAAAGGTCTTTCTTGTTATCCACAGCTACCAAATAAAACAATGATAATTATGCAGACATATTTACCAACATCGCGTGAACTTAAATACAAAAATTATAAACAAGTATTTGTTGTCAAGCAAATAGAGGAATGAAGAGCTAGACCAAATGTCTTCAACAGAAATTCCAATCAAAAGTAGCTACAAAGCAGATTATTAAGTTTTTTTTGATCATTGTTTAATGGGTATTAGATTGCAAACTATTGAAGATTACTCCAAAAGAGGTAATGAGGAATGAATAAACTCAACAGTGTGCGACCAAAACTAAGATTACAAAGTCGTCAAGTAACTTTTACCCTAGGTGTGACCGACTAGCGACAAGTAACTAGGTTCTGTGGTGATCTCAAATGAGAGGAAGAACTGTACATCTTCGGTCTGTCAGGTCTAAAGTGATGCAATCAAACTGAACCGCATTCACATATAGTTGGACGACAACTAATAAGACGAAGGAACTCTTTTGTTGATAACATCCTCTTAGTGTGCCAGTAGAAGATAAAGTCTGTAGGCGAACTCATAAATGGAGTTAGCATTTGCTGGATGAGGGAATTTACAACCAATCTAAAGTTTTAATGATTAAACAAGTAATAAATTAAATTCCTTCTTTAAGCTTTTACTGTTTTTGGGCTTGTCACAATTGCATGACATCCGTTCTTGATTTCCTAAACACTTTATGACTTCGGTAACGTAAATCATAACGAAAGCATCATTGCTCAGTATGATTTTTTTTTGATTCCTAAATGACTTTCATCAATTTTTATTTCCTAAATAATAATGTGGATTTTATATTTCAGAAATGGATAAAGCCTAAGGACAAATCGTCTCTGCTTTATCCATACATTTGCTTTATGTTAACGGCCATTATTACTGCTTATGACAGCTAACTTAAAAAGCTCATAAAACAGTTTGTCTAATGTATTTAAAAAGCAAAGTGCCGAAGAGAGTTTCATTATGATACTATGAGATGTCCTCATTGACAATTAATTCATTGGTGTAGCATAAGCCTAGTGGCGATCAGACTGAGAAATGACACCAATAAGTGGAATAAGAAGTTAGATTTTATGAAATGGTTGCAATTATATCTTCACAACTTTCGGTGATAAATACCTCAAGGAGTTATACAATGATCAATAGATACTTTAGTTGATCTCGCTTTAAGCGCTGAATTGTTCATTTCTCTTCTAACTACTAGCAGATGGGAATGTGACATAGTCCAGTTATACTGGTCTAATTCACTGACCTTTATCGTCTATAAGAAGGGCGAGAAGTACTCTAGTAAGAACAATACACAAACCAGACTAACTAACATCATGCCCGATAACTTAGGGTCCATATCTAGATGATGCCTAACTGGAACTCGAAAACAACCAATTAGAGAAAACCAAGTAGGTTTCAGAACTGGATAAGTGTGCTCGGATCAAATCTCCACTATTCGTTAGGTTATGGAACACATTGCCGGCGGCCAGATACCATAAAAATAAAGGGATGCAAACCCTTAATGATATGGCTGAAAATCGGTTTCAATAACACAGGTATTTCCGCTGTTTTACATCTTGTACAGTTTGAAGGCTTTGAGTAACTTTCGGTTTCATATCCCTTCTCCTCCCGTACACCTTTGTCTACTTTGATATAAGTCTTTTTTCACCCACTTGTCCTTGCATGCCATTATGAAGTATAGTAACTTGAAACGGTTCACTTCTGTGCGAGTTTCTACGTTGACTTCCTTCGCTTGTCTTTTTGAGATACTATTCCTTAACTTTATATGTCATCCCAGTTCGTTTATGTATTACTTTTCCATCCTGTTTTCTTTAGAACTCTGGTAAACAGAGGAGGTAAACTTATGTACCAAGCTCTATGCACATATCCAAATCTCGTCCAGTCACAAAGTAATTGATTAAAGCAGTGATATACTTCTATAACAGCTAGCTGTATCTACAGACTGTAAAATATTAAAGCGAACTGATGTTATCTCAAGCTACTGAAAATGAGTAAAAAATCATCTCATCCAACAAATCAGTGGATTCTCAGCTGTCAAAGTTTTATTCAGTTCACAACCAGTAACTCATAAGTTCTTACATTCCTGCTGGTATCAACTAGTGTGATAAAATCTGCGTTTAATAGACGAAACTTATTTAAGTGATGAGATGAGTTAAAATTATTTTTACCACAATATCAAAAAATTCTTAAAATCTTTCTTCACTCTATAGAATATTGATTTGGTTTTCTAAAAGAATAAGCAGAAGTACTTACCTGCTTGAAAAAAGTATTAATTTTTAATTCTGTAGGTGGAAAGTATGCAGAATTCAGCTGTTGACTGGCTGTTGAACACTTTGAAGAATTTTGATGCAGGTGTTTTTCACGATGATTTGTCGCCTTTCCTTTAATTAAATCGTATTTTAATTTAGTTCTATAACTCTCTGGACTATGTGATACACCAGCTGCTATTGATGATGACGATATGGATGAATCACAGAGATTAGCTTCATTATTCTCTGTGGCAATGCGTAAACCAGGTTCTACTGACCGACTACGTGTACTGCCACCAGGATTTCGTTTGTTACGACCAGTGTGTGATTTACTGGGATTTGTGGCTATTCGAGGGAGAAAAGAAGAAACGAGTCATATAAGTACAAAAATAAGCATTAAGTAAATCAACTTGTCATGTCCTGATTAATAGCACAGACTTGTATGATACATTTGCTTCATATATAAATCGAAACAAAAAGTTGTGCTTTACAGTCTATGATTTCTGAAAAGTAAAATACAAATTTTGCTGAAAAAGAATACGATTCTTCATTACGCATACTTTAAGTAAACAAAAAAGTCTTAGCAGTTGTATCACGAATAAAGAGTTACGATGATAATGTTTACATATATCCGTTTAATTGATTTCAGTCGATTGAGGACAAAATCAATGTTTCAGTTTCATGTTTACCACGGATAAAGTAGAAAGAACGTAATAACAAGAACAGAAACGTTTCGTCCTGTAACTAAATCACGATCCTATGAATACAGCTTAAGAGTCATGCGTTTCTGTACGTTGAAATATTGTCCGATATAGATCAAAAGCGAAGCAAGCAAAAAGTAAGTAAAAATAAAGCCTGAAACTAATGCAACTTGGCATCTACATATCTTTGAATTCAATTTGGAGGTTTGTGGGGCTTTATTTATTTATTTACTCAACTATGACAGTGGATAGGAGTCGCACTTTATCATGAAATAACAAAAATAGGAAATATGGACTATCGAATGCCGACCCAGTCACTCAGTGGTAATGTGCTGGCAGCGGAAACTTAAGGTTCTAAGTTCGATCCGTGGGGAAGTCATTGTTGCGGACTAACGAGGAGTCCCATATTAGGACGGAGAAGATGCTCACCACTCCCAGATTTACAAGAGTTTTCCAAACTATCATATTTCATTTCTTAATCGCCCACGAATAAAAAGAACGTGAAACTAGTGATTGGCAACTATCTAATCATGAGGATTTGTCAAACTATATCAACTATAAAATCACGGTGACTAAAGTTATTTTGATTTTAACTGTGTGTCTGGTCATGAAACATCTGATAATAGTCCAGTAGGAGATAGCGGTGATGACTTAGATTTTTACGAATAAGTGTGACACTGGTAACCTATTGACTTTTATCCAGATAACTCTTGCCTGTAGTGCATGGTTTAATTTTACCAAGGAAATGTATATATATATTTTTTTTCAATTTTGGTAGAGCAATTTCATTGACAACTTACTCTAGGTTATGGAAGTAAAAACATGTCATACATATATGAAAATAATTGAGTACTATCGTCAAAATTGGTAAGTTGGTAAGCTGAGATGCACTACAGCCATTCAACTTTTGTTAACATGGGAAATCCTACCACCCATATCACAAAGGAGGCGCGGAAATTAGATGTCCCAAAAGTCTTGTCGTTATCTTGATATGACTATGGACAACGAATTATGTCCGAAACGTAATACGGTAAACAGTACTGCCCCACTTTGTGATATATCTAACAAGCCAACTAAAATGAAATTGTATTCACCTTTCTTTAACGTTTACTTAATGTTAGTAAATATTCATATGTCTAGCTGGATCGCTAAAATGAAGTATGGCAAAACACTTACACCAATCACTTCAACTACTGAACAACCTGAAGGTTTACTTTTTTTGTTCTCAAAGTTTGGGGAATGACTCTTGCCTAAGCAGATGGATGATCATGAGGTTAGGATACTAATTAAGTGGAATATCAAACGTAGTTACCTTTCTATGCTGTTTCCCTAACAACTGTGACTGATCTTTAACTGTCCACCGAGAATTCTGCAGATATCATTCTTACTTCTACTAAGCGAACCATTATACGTCGATTTCAGAGGTTATCCCTCTATCAATAATGTATAAATTGCCTATCTTCCATAGGATTTAAGGCTTTGAAATTTAATATTGACTAGTTTTCTATCGGTAGTTACTGGAAGTTTTAAATGAACTTATTTTCATTTTTGTATAGTATACCTTCATGTGGAAAAAAATAAACAATGACTTACATTCTTTTGGTATCACGTGCGTGATAACATCATTTTTTAGTTTGTCAAATCTGTTATGAGCTTCAATCATAGACGGGGTTAAGTCAACAGCAGTCCATACTAGAGGCATACGATAACGTCCTAAACGTTGGCAACACCAATTTATTGTACTTTTAAGTTTATCTTTACCCTGCACGATATTTAAGGGGAAGACACAACATTCATTCGGTTTTATTAATTCATATTGACAAAAAGTGTTACTATACATGAAATTTACTAGGTGAGTCAATAAAAATATGTGATTTTCCTTACTGCAAAGCAACAAGCTTAAATAAGAAGAGCAATAATTCATTTAGTTTCATATAAAGTTATGAGATCAGTATGGAATTTTTACGATAATTCTCTACTATATATCAACTGAATTTCAAAACGGAATTCTCGAAAGTGAGGAGAAAGTTTACAAACTTCTTTTTTGATTGAGAATCTATCATATATATATATATATATATATATATATATATATATATATATATATAAAGTAGCCTTTTCTAAATTTAACCAACGGTACATATTCTAAAACGAAGTCAAATTGCAATCGATACAGTTGGTGTTCTATAATGCAAACTCAACAAACAGATAACTATGAATCTACAGATAAGGATAAAAAAGTGACATCACTGAGATAATGGACCACGTGTCAAGAAAGTAGCACACTGTTATTCCGTATTGGTGTATGATAGGACATTGAATACGCAATGTAGTGAGAGGTTTACGTCCATCTAACCGTAGGTGTTCTGGGTTAAAATAAGATAAATATGTAAACAGGTGGAGTGTTCAAATCAAAGCATAAACATTGATTGTATCACTGATTGTTTTCAAATGTGTAAGAAGGTGTAAGATTTTCTGCCAAAACGCATACAACTGTAGGAACCAACAGTTTAAGATACTGGGTGATCTGAATAAAACTCATCACAATAATTCAGATGCATTTACTGTTTGCTGTCTCCAGAAAAAAGCTTGAGAATGTTATAGTTTGGGAATTATTTTTTCCATACAAACCAGCGTTTCCTGTATTTTTTTAATACAGCTTCATCCGTTTTCATTTTCTATTCCAATAGAGATATGAAGTTTTACTACTTAGATCAGTAAATGTTGGTTCACGGCTCTACTACTGCCAGTTTCGGTTCGAAAATGCAGTGACTCTGTTTTCAACAACTGAGATGCGTTGGTTCTGTCTTTAGTTATGAAGGAGGTAGGTGCAGAACTAAACACAGCACTTTTTTGAACGACGTTAAGTGGTTGGACGCAATCGACAGCGAGCTCTAGATCTCGGTTTCGTACTGGTTAGCACTGGCGAGTAGAATGAATCTATTAGAAACGTGAATACACGTCTGCCAATGTTGCAGATAAAGCCACTTCGGCTCTGACTGTCCTCTCGTAAGAGTGAGGGACATACATTGTTTGGTGACTGCAGAATAATCTATTTCGGGTTATCTAGTCATACGCGCTGACCGAATACCACCAATCATTTACAGTATCGATTTCCTCTGTAACAAGGAGATACTTAAGTGATTTTTCCTTGCAGATACGAAAAGTAGATCTAGAAGTGCTGTCTAACTAAACATTAACCTTGTTGTTGATTCGCATGTTTTGTATAACATCTTAGATTGGGTTAATGTTAGAACGCTCATTAATTGGTGATTGTCTTGAATACTACTAAACTTCTCAAAATTCCCTGATATTCTGTCCAAGATTCCCTTACTTCCTCAGTCGAGTTCGCGTCTACGTTTTTTACTTCCATTGAACTGAGAGAGGATACATCGCAGCGGTTTACTGCTAGTTGGCGTTTATGCAGATGAATACGAAAAGAGTAGCCACTCTATCCGATAACTTTTGCCTAATTATTGTAATTTATTTTTTAGATAACATTTAAGTTGTCATCTTTTGGAGTAGGGAGATTTCAGTTTGTGAGCTATAAGGATTTTGAAAGACTTGTGATCATCTAAAGCGCACTTCCCATATGTTAACACAACTCATCGGCTAATTTCTAAGAGTGACCAACAGGTTGATGATGATTTGCGTGGGTAAAAGGTGTTTCGAAAGACAGTCACTAAATGGTTTCCTTCTATTCACCAAAGGATTCATGTATCATAAGGTTTCTTCGTTCTCATGAAAAATTTTTCCACAAATCCAAGTCTGTGTTTTCGAATGGCTGCTACCGTCATTTAGGTTTCAATCAATGCCAGTTGATTCTGTAATCAACCTGAGTTACTAATTTAACTGAACACCTAAATATGTGCATTTGTTTCCTCTTTAATCATTAATTCGATTTCGTTATGAAAGATTTCTATTAATTTGTAAGCAATATTCAAACCTTTCCTTTCAATTATGATGAATGTACCGTTAGCATATGAGACTAGAATTTTCAGTTCAATCATTTACAGGTTGACAGCTTACAACTATTGCATTACTGCTTCTGCAATTAATATAGATCATCCCACTGATCCTACTTTTGTCTATTTGTACGGTTTTTGAAGAAATTGGAAATGTTAAAAGATACAAATCAATCCTGTTAAACTTAAACATAAGACCATAATATCCAAGTACGATTGGACAAATTCAGTTGCGTCTTACAACGTAATTCCAGTTCACCTTTCAGGATATGATAAACCTGTTGTAAACCTAAGTTGGTAGTGACAGTCGGATAACAGTATCTAAAAACCTTAGCTCACGCCCTTATACAGAAATAAGAAAGTTTTTTTTAAATATTACTTACTTTCTCATCCTTGTTATATCCCTCAAGGATATCATTTACATCACCTCGTTGCAGTACTTTCTCAACCTAAAATAGTAAAACATGAAAAGTGGAAGAGTACTGAAACCGACTGGAAACATTTGATTAGTAATTCATTGCTTAAATATTTGAGTGTGCTTGAGACTCAATCCTAATTTCTGCATTTGATGACTACTACTTACGAAATATGTAAAGATGGGTAGAGCTAACGACAGCTGATTTTAAACCAGATGTTAGCACAAAACACTTGGTGGTCAATGGGAAAATTAAACCTGGTCAGTGGTTCATTCTTGTTGCTTAGGCGGTTTAATATTGAGGTGCTATCTTGAGGCAGCTGATTAGAATTCAGCTGTAATCCTAATACTTCGTTAACTTCATTCGTCATCCTTAAACTCAGTTAGGTGTAAATCCATTCAAGAGTGCTTCTTTTGTTAAATGGCACTTCCGATGAAGTTAACTTGTAAACATTGTATAACTAGAGTATAAATGCGAATTATTAAGTCCATTCAGCACATTAAACAGCCTGTAGTCTTACATATAAATCAGACATCCCAAAAAATGAACACTAAAGATTTTAAAACTGATCGATGATTAACATATAACGGAACATAAAGACCGATGGTGGTTGCGTTTTTAACAAGTCCTATTACAAAACCAAATGAAAATTAACTTGGCAAACAAGCAATAAAATCAAACCAGACTGAGAGCCTGACAGAAACGGAAATATTTTGGTGTTAAACATTGGGAGTGAATCGGCAAGAAGTGCTACTTCATTTACGTTCCATGCTTGTCGGAACTCATCAGCGAAGCACATCAGTTATCCTGAAGAAACTGGTATGCGTTCACGAGCCAAAGCGTTGTTAATCACAGCTGAAGAAGACTTAACCACTAAGTTATCAATAAAAATAAATAAATATGAACTGACAAATCTTGTAATATTTGGCATAGAGCCAAATACGATATTCACCTGCTAGAAAAATCGATTTTAAGACATATTACATAAAATCTCTACCACACTAATGCTTAAGAAGTCTAGGTACTCCACAATGAACTATCGAATATTAAAAAAAGAAAAATAACATATTAGCAGTAACCCTAAACAGTTATTTCGTAAGGGGAGCCCTATTTGTTAGATTGATGCATTACGCATCAAAGAGAAACATCAGCTTACCAAAAAGATATGCATTAATGAATGAAAGAGACACGTGTTCAAATATTTTCCATGATGAATAGCAGCCCTGCGCATTAGAATCCCACTAAGAGTTTTATATGATATATCAACTAAACGCTGAACCCTGGTAAAATCATAAGTAGGAACATTCAATTATATATAATCACTTCAAAACCTTGATAGTTTCAGTTTCAGTGAGCTTAAAATGGTTCAATTCTGCAGTGACGCATCCACACAGACACCTAATCCATAGATTACACGGGTATCTCAGCGAAGAAATGTTAGTGGCGAAATCTTATCCTATTTACCAGAGCAACTAGACCTAGGCAACCGATCACGTGTTGTGCTACCCCAACATTTTGATTCCCAGCTCACGAACATTTCACACAGTAGCTGACCAGACAAGCGTAAGAAAACCAATTATGTATCCACCCATGTAACTAAATTATTGATTGGCCTAGTTATTTACTACTGTTCATACTATTCATAGCAAGCTTCTCATAGCTGTTGTATGAACTTCTTATATTCTAGTGTCCAGATATCATCATAAATTACATTATAACGTTCATACGTATTCTTAACTGATGTGTTGAACAAATGATGTACGTAAGAAATCATTAGCCTGTTAGGTAGCGCATCTATGTTTAATGAGATGGATGTCAGTTTTGATTCTTAGAAAAAATGATAGCACTAAATTATTCCAAGTGTGAAAAACGTATTCCAATTCACACAAAAAACTGAAGTTCGTTGAACATTCAATTTAATTTTTGAATTACTTATTTATAATGACTCCTTCATTAGATTGTCAATAAGAAAATTGTTCCACTTTAGGCTCTAAATTCATAATTTTATGAATATTGTTTTAGGATGTGTCTCATTAGCTTAGGAAATAGCCTTTCAAGCAGTGAATCAACTTCGCTCCAACTGCTTCGACTCGGGCAACTTAGTGGTTCCATAGGCCCCTACATAACAATTTTGACCCATAACCTAGTACATAGACATGCAGGGGGTTGCGATACACTAGTATTATTATTACTACAGCCAGAAAATAAAAATGCATAAATAATCGCTGATTGGTAAGATTTACCTTAAGAGGAATTAAGATAAAGGAATTGGAATTTATGACCACGATATGATGATAATTTCATATCTTCCAGATTCCGTTTTATTCATTATTTCACTGTGGGTTTCTCATATTGATTTTTATGTTTCAATCGATTCTTAAATTCATTCATCCTATAGCTCCTACAAGTGTAATTTAAGACTGTTTGCAACCGATACTTCTCAAGATAAAAGGTAGAAATTCATTGCATTTCAGAGAATATGTCTTCACGTTAATCAACAGAAGTAAATTTGTCCAAAAATAATATTCTTTTACATGACGCAGAATGGTCTTATGATAAATAAATTTCCTCACTTGCATTTGACTAGTTGTGAAAATTTGTATGTGTAATACAAGACTGATTTTAATGATAACTAAACTTAGTAAAACTTTATATTCTTTGCTTATGCGCTGATGAAAATATCTACTCATTTTTCTTCTATGATTATACAGTTCGCACTAGGTAACATTCAGTGAACTTAATAGATACTTATTAAATGAGGTTTCAAAAGTGTAACTCCACTAAGATTTTAGCGAATTATTTCCTGTCACCGAAGTAAATTCAGGTTAGGATAGATATGAGAAGCATTTTGCCCGAAACAGACTAATATGCTTTGATCAAAATCAGTTACGCCTAATCAGTGATCTACTCGAATATTCTGTGTTAGCTACGCAAAAAACAAAGTGAATGGAAGGAATATATCAACGGGAAAAGTTGAATCGAAAACAAAAGTAGTCAGCAACCAAGTGCATATCAATACAGTAGGTAATAAGAGACACCTATCGTATGAGGAGTAATAATACTACCTGGCAGTTCAAACATCGTCAGGGTGACAAGTTTCAAACAGATGACCCACTGACTGGAAGTTCAGTACTTGAACCAATAAGCCACAGCTTCAAAACACAGAAATTAGACTTAGACGAACAGTAAACACCAACAAAGATTGCATGGTTTTAATTTGACAGTAAAATTCATCTAACGACAGCTTATCATTCTCCCAGCAGTACTTTAAAAACTTGATATTGTGAAATAATTCAAGTGGAACCGATGAGTTTACTGGGTAGGATAAATAAAATGCACTTGAGACTTCTACCTTATAACTATAAATTCATTTTCAAAATTAACAGATCAAATCCTAACGGGTAACTTTTTGGATGTTAATGCATGTAACGTTCGCACAATCAAAGCTACTAGTTAAAGTTCTCCCTTTTTCAGGTTCTTCTTCAAATTCAGATATTATCCTCATATAGGACATTTAACCTGCCAGTTTTGCACTGAAATTCTATTTTCATATATCTGTGAACTTAGTAATATATTACGAACAGTATTACCATTCAAAGCAGGCACTTTCAGTTGACTTCATGATATCCAAATGATCAAAATGGAGTCATAGACGGCAAACCATTCCTATATTTGACCATGACTGACGCATAACATTCACCTTGTAAATTAATCCTTGAACATAATTTTACTAAAACATGTCTACAACTGAGTTACGAGGAAACGTTTGCTTATGGTTAAGAACTAAGTGTCTTTCGGTGTTACCATATTTTCAGGAAGTGGCAACCACAAAATCATCATCATTATATATATATATATATATATATATATATATATATATATATATATATATATATAATTCACCAGTTATGGGAGACTATATATATGATAACTATTGGTAAATGTGTGAATAAAAATTCCAACTGCCGGTGTGATCACGGATAGCAATTTTGCTCGAAATAAGGTCAAAATATGAAAAACAGCTTATTATTGTGTGAAAGCTTGTCACTGAAAAGTTATTTATAATACAATAATCCATTTCATAATGTACAAACTATTGATATATTAAACAACACTGACGTTCTTATAATGTCTGAGTGAAGATTTTGTAGTGTTCTTAGTACTTCTATAACTGATTTCAATCCATGCTGAAAATTAGCTTGGAATTATCCACAAATAAACTGTTAACTGAAGATTTGCATTGGAACAAAGAAAAACTAATATATAAAATATGGGCAAACTTCATACAACACAAGATTCCCACAGCATAATGTCGCTCTAACGCCTCGAGAAAAACTTTAATCAGGCAGTATTTATACAGAACGTTTTAATAACTAAGTGAATTCCTACATAACAATGGACATAATGGTAGTTCTTGTTTCATGTAACATTAATTCACATAATTTACTGGTCATGTTATACTCGGGTTACTCGTGCCGACTGCAAAATTAAAATGGTTCACTAATATAATGACTAGAGAGCCCTGTGTCTGAATTAAACCAATTAATTAGGTTCTTTTACCGTAAAAGAAATACTTAAAATCCTGATTGAAAACTACCTTAGAATATTCCATTCTTTCTGCTATGTTTACGAATGTGTAAATAAAGGAATGATCTCGTCAAAAATCGAAGTTTTCTTTCTTCTCCATAATCGGATTACCTGACTCCAGTTTTTCGTGTATGAACATCGCGAAGTCAATGAAGGAATTGAACTTCATTGGAAACTAAACTGGTTAATTAAAATGCATAAGTTAGTCTGGCTGCCAAAAAATAAAATGCAATCTTCAAATCAGATCACGCTGCAGCATGGTTCAATTCATCAAGCTTCTAAACAAACGTTCCGTAAAATATCTGAGTGTTTTATGGAAAATACTGGCAGATCAGCATATACTAGCCTTCTAGACAAAAAATACTACTTCTGGACCACTCACCATCACATAAATAGATTGAGTTTTTAAGGGCTCCATTGATTCTGTTTTTTAAGCCATCAATATATCACGGAACATTTCATATTTGCTGTCTTTACTAAAGGTGTTTAAGGTGCATGAACTGCTTATTTTACAGTTATTAGTATTTGAATCCTCTTTTGATTTCAGGCTTGAATGGAGCCTCAAAGTGTACTGCAATAATCAACTAACCATTTGTATATTTCAATAAGAAGAATCATCAGCAAAACTGGTCAACTTTTCTGTCTTCATGACTTTGCACCACAGATTCAAAATAAAGGTTAACATACTGTAAGAACAAGGTATTTTTCTCAATCCCGAGCTTCACCTAGTGATTTAAGTATTTTATGCAAAGAACTGTAAGGAACGGTCAGGCATTCCGGAGCGAAGACTGTACGAAGTCAGTTCCATTTACATAGTTTAATTCACATCTTTTACATACACGATGATAATAATAAATAGATCTGAGTATACAGAAAAGAAGTTATACTCTACAATACTTATGAAAGCATGTGTAGTTTAGTAGTGTTTTGTTTACCACATACATCTCACAGTGATACAGAATTTTACAGAGAAAGATAAGGAATATACTTTATTTAGAGAACCTTATAGCACTGTCAATATTAGACAGAAATATATTTGTTCCAAAAGCGAATTAATGAATTTCTGGTAAATTTCAGCCTAATTTGAATAACTGACACTGTTAATGTAGGCGGTTTCACTGTAAAAAAAAGACACCAGTGAAAAGGAGCGAAATCGATATTTCACCTCGGTGAAAAATAGTTGTTTTTGAAAATCTACATTATAGTTCAGGGAAGATTTAAATGAACAAGGGATGTACTTTTCAAAAACTTCTTCCAGTTTTCCAGTTATCTGTCCAAATTGTATAACTTCGCGATAACAATAGCTATATTTTATTCGTAAAACAGGGTTTTTGAAAGTAATCGTAATTTCTCTGAAGGTGCAGTTGAAGATTAACTCAACTGTCATTCATACTAACATAGATACACATGTTAGGAAGGCCAAAGATGATTCATTAGTTACTAAAATGTTAGTTAAACTTTCTGAGAACAGTAAGTGGCAGGAATCGACAGACATATATCATCAGAAAAGCAGGACCATTAAAAACACACACCTTGTACAATTCACATGAAATCCAACAAGTAAGAATACCATATTGAATGAAAAAAAAATTCCAGACAATTTGAAGCATTAACATACACCAGACAATCCACAAAAGCATGCATCCAGCTTTCACCTAAAGAATTTCAAAAGCAGAACTATAAGAAATATTCAGTACAAGAGTTTAGTTATGATGAGTATAAATGCATAAAACACCGAACAGTCTTATCTGTGACATCAGTTTTGTGCATATGAACTAAAGGTATCTTTTTTATTTTCTGGTTGTATGGCACGGAAATCTGAATATGCAAAATTTATCAAAACAGAAACAAAGTCACAAGTAATCATCATAATCTGACGCAAAACAGCATGTTTCACTTTTAATGATGTATACTTTTAGTAGAAATATGCATATTTCATCTAGATAGTTTTCAATTACTCAATATCTAGTCTTTTCTTCATTTTAGCAAAACAAAGGTGTTTTGAGTAAGGGTCAGGTGTACCAAGATGAATATATGAAGTCAAAGGTAGTTTTCATAGCAGGTTGATATCGGTTGAAGAAATGTTGGAAGGCTACTAGAAACGAACGACATTTCCATCTAACCTTGTGATCTCTTAATATTGTACACCGATTAATTCGCAAGGAAGCGTACGAAGGAGTGTTATGTATTTTCGTGAACATTTTTCCACGCAACTAATGAGATGCAATCCTGATACTCCGATTTTTCTGCGTCAAACCAAGCCTTGATATAACATAACTACCGTACTATGCCATCGGCGTGTAGTACATGTAAAAATACTAGATGACAAAATATTCAGATGTTAATTTTTCTGTTTTACAATTATTTATTGAAGTTAGCTTCTGCAAGCGTATTGCAATAAAAAGTTTAATTGAAAGAAACTAAAAATGACGATTCTTTTTGAAGTAACTAAGAGCCAAATACTGTTGACGGTCTATAGAAAGACCAGGTGACCAATACTGTTTAAAATTGGTGAAAGAAACGTGTATTGATAGAAACTGCTTTGTAGATATTGTACACAAGTTATGAATTACAAATAAATATATACAACAATAGTAGTCAACTTCAACTTACTCTAATAATCAAAAATAACCCGCCTTTACAGCAGGAAATTTTACTTGGGTGAAGAGTCTGCTTTTCATTCCAGTTTGAAGCGAATGTTAAAACATCTTCAAAGTCAAATTCATCACCTTTATCTGATTCGCACTCGTTCACAGAGCCGTTTGAGTTCAACCCAATTTTGTCACTGGACCCTCCATTCGAAGATGACTTGAGGTTACTTTTTGCGTTAGAGCTGTTTAGGTCGGTTGCATTGGATAATGAATAACGACTACTAATTCGAAACAGACATGTTTGTGCTAGTGAGCTTGCATCACGATAAGCTAGTTGCTGATTTGTCATGCTTCCAGTTAATAGATTCATAAGCTTATTTGAATTTACATCAAATGGAATGTTTCGGTAACCTTTTGGCGTGAATGAACATCATATAAAAATGCTGATCCAAATACAGGTTCTAAATTACCATCATCTAGTTTAAGTTGAAGAAAGTCTGCCAAAAGATATAGGGTCGTATTTAAATGTTGATTGGTCACAGTGAATGGTTCCGAGGGCAACTCACATCCAGGACTTAAATGTCGAACTTCAAGAGTATTAGTCTACATCGAAATTTGTAATGAAAACAGGAGTATGTTGTTCAGCATATTTTTTTAAATACTGAAGTGAGAGAAATCAATATTAACGCTTGTCCACACTGTTAATATTTAACATAAGATCTTAAATCTATCCGTGTCCTAAAATAGCACTTAATCACTGTTATAAAACTGGCTACATTAGACATATACATAAAATTTAAACTATCTTTTGCTTGTGCATCCCACCACATCACGATACTGCTGATCGGACCAACGTGCAGAAGAAAAACACTGAAATGCAGTGACAAAACAATATTATGCGGTATCAGCAGTTAATTAACTTAGTAATCATGAAGTAAGATAAACTCTAAATATTAATCTCCACTTAGCTGTCACTGAATCAAAATTTCTGAAACAAAATCACCAGACTACCAAAGAACATTGATCAATACCGGTAGCCAGTTCTGGAACGTATTATGTATCTGTGAAAATATCGCAACTGGACTTCAGCTCCGAAGAAACTGCTGAGATGCAATAAATGAGGAGGAGGCTACAATAACCATGTTATCCTCGTTTGCACGTGTCCCTCAACCCTCTATTTAGCTCCTTATCACAAGACATAAAATCATATCAAGTTTTTTGGACCGATTACTTAATGTGCTTAGAAATAGTGTAATCTATATTGGTGCCCCAGGCAAAACAATAGACGTTTCTTGCAAAGATTTCCGACAGAAACACATACAGAGTGAAACACGGATTAATGAGGACGATTACAGACACAGAGCAGATAATCAGATATGGTTCTGGGCTGTATAGTGTTGCTATTCGCCAGTCTTGAATATGCTTTGAAACGCTTCCGGCCTAGGCTGCACTGCAAAGTTCAAAGAGGTTATTTTCCAATATGAACTATAGAGACAGGACATATCATGGTGTACCCATCCTAATCAAAGGGACAGAAACTGACTGTTCAATTGAAAACGATAAGGAAAAGCAGACGTTATGGCTTGATATTTCACTGAGACCTTTAAACAGGAACACCAATTAAAGAGTAGAAATATTGACACCCGACAGAATAAACTCAGTGGACATCGACTGCAATGATTTATTCAAGGCGTTAAGTACTATTAACGTAGAAAAATCAACGAGACTGGATGATTTGCACTCAAGGCTGCTCAGAGAGCTTACCCTTTGTGTAGCCGCCTTACTGACTACTATGTTTAGAGTCTCTTGATAAAGCCACACTCCTTTATGATTGGAAGGAGGCCAATGTCACACCTATCTACAAGGCAGGTGACAGACACCACCCATCAAACTATAGACTGGTAAGTTTGGCTAGTACTGTGGTAAATCCCGCAGTAAGAGTAACCAAGAAAGAAAGCCATTACAATCCATTCAGAAAGCGACATTCTATCACCTAGTTTGCAGCATGACTTTCGTAGAAATTTCTCTTGCTTGACAAGCCTTACAGTCAGAGAAAGTAGGACTAGGTCCAAGGATGATAAAATACATATAGATGTTAACGTCATACACTTTAGTAAGGCGTTCGACAAGGTACATCAGTCCAGTTTGCTCGGGAAACTGGAAAGCTTCGGAATCACTCCCAATCTACTTACATGGATCAGAGTTCCTTGTTGTTAGGAGACAAAGAGTAAGGACCAATTCTCAACTCTCTTCTTGGATGTCGGTAGAGAGTGGAGTGCCACAAGATACAGTCCTGGCCTCCTGCTGTTTCTCCTACACATAAATGAACTGACAAATATCAAAAAATCCCCTATAGTTCTCTACGCTGATGACGCAAACTCCTGACGAGATATTAAAAATGACGAGAATATACTTCCACTTTGGACAGACAGTTTACCTGGTCATTGAAATGGCAGATACCTGTTAATGCAGGTAAATGTCTGAATAGGTACATGGGGCACACAGATGACAACACCTACGATATTGGTGGGACTCGTATACCTCCAGTACTGACCCACAATGACCTGGGATTTATAGTGAATTTTAATTTAGAGTCTGTCAGTTGGTCATAGCTCGGAATTTCAGGACACTGGGTATCATACAGAACGTCTACAAAAATAAGTAGTGATATGTTCACTATCTTACGTACATTCTAAGTTAGGTCTAAACTAGTAAACTGTACAGAGATGGCAATTCCTTGTCTGAAAGGTAACTCAGACCTTCTGAAAAGAGTTCAGAGGTCAGCTACTTGTAAGATCCTTGAGATGACCAGCCTGACCTACGAAAGTCGACTTAAGGAGCTGAACCTCTTTTCTCCTCCTTACCACTACGTCGTGGACTCGTCAGAGGACACAGCTGGAGAATACAAAAGCAAAAGATAATTTTTGTCTCTGCAGACTACTGGTTCTCGTACCAAGTAGTCAACTTCTGGAACCGACTTACAAAAAAAGTAGTGTCCGCATAATCAACTGACTCGTTCAAAAGAGGACTGAACAGAAACAAAGATCTACTGCAAAAGGATTATTATAGGCTCATAGCCTTCTGTCCTAAAACAAGTCTGAATCTGCATTTTAATTGACTAAATGCACCATAACCTTACTTGAGCGCTAAGTATCCAAGTGACCACTCAATCATAATCCACTGGAATTAAAATTTAATTTACCTTTAAAAGATATTTAAGCATTTTCTCTGCCCATTGTAAAGAAATAATGCAGACATATGAACACTCAATAACCTCACATGCTTAAGAGGATTTTCAGGCAACAAAAAAAGGTACAACCAAACTCTAAGTCAGTTGAAGAATAACCGCCAAATAATGGATAGAAAATCAAACTATCACAAACTATGAGTTTTCTGCGTTCGCACAATCAATACTGGATATTGGATAAGTGCTTAAATCTACGTTTAACTTAGGAAGAAGAGGAGGAAAAAACCCACCAGTTCCGATGGCTCAAAAAGGGTTAGCAGTGACTTTTTAGGAGCAAGTGAAAAATTGATCGGTGGTATGAAGGAGTGAAAAGCACAGTATGGTTGATCGTAGTCGGTCGGATTCCCCTGGGTAATATTTTCCAACTTCTTAAAAAATTTTGTGATGCGATTTTGCGAATTACCTCTGAGGTGCTCGAGTCAGCTGATCTATTCACTTTTCGAGAGTGCAGATAACGATACCTGAAGTTACATCTAAAGATAATAAGGCAAAAGGGATAACTCACGTCTTGAAGCATTGTATTGGTGCACAGTATGATGATATACATTGCTGTATATTTGGAGAAGTAACAGATTGCCTAGAGCAGTGGAAATCAAGTTTCTGGGTGAACTTACAAATTATCTGGGATGGGTGAAGGGAAACAGCATTTGTTACGCTTGACAGTGATACAAGATATTATGTCATCGGCTTTGTTGCTACTGTACGTCATTGCATCTAACACTTCACCTGCGAAAAATTAAGTTTCATAAGCCTTAGCAGCTGTTTGTGTGTTGGAGCCAATTCCTTCCTATGCATTAAAAAGCATCTTCAGTGAAAAAAAAAAACATTTAATTGACGAGCTGAAAGTTTGTAATCTTTAAATGAAGGACCAAAACAACATACAAAAATCAATGTAGTTAAGTAGTTTCAGATAGTTGGCAACGGAATAGTAGAAGCCTACGCCAAACTGACAGACGCACCTCCAACCAGTAAAATTCTACTTACTGTTTGACAACCTGTGTATGGAGACAATAAGGAGAAAAATATGTAACTGAAGTGAAAAAGATTGAGTTACTAGCCACAGTGTCTATAATCTCTTGACGGAAACTCGACTGGACAACAAATTTGGACCTGGAGTTCTGCAACCACGGTGAGGTCACCCAAGGTCTTAACAACTTTCAGGGAGAAAAGGTTGTGCTAGATATCCGTCCAACTGTGTTCAAGTTCTGGCTTGCGGGTGCTACCCCTAACTTTTGAATTACAGCCTAGCCTAAGCGAACAGCAAGATGGCTAACTTGAGATGCTTATGAGGTTAAACATCGGTAGTAGGTAACGTGCAGCGCCCTTGTGTGCATTCTCAGAGGACACACTTCGAAAGAAGCAGGAGCGACAAAAGCTTCATACTGTAAGTGACGCCATTTGTAACTACTGAGGATTTGGCAGAAAATGTGAACAAGTTGTTCAAAGTCTTGTTGCAAGGCTAAAACTGCTATTTCTGCACTGAATGCATTTTTTCTCGGGCGACGTAAGAATTAAGGCCGAGGGATAAAAAGACCTAAAACTCAATGCCATTTCATATAAGTGGTTGACATGCGTCCTGCCGTTTATATTTCGCCTTCATCCTTCAGAATTGAGGATTCATCCACTGTACTCTGCCCTACGTTGAAGTCGGGTCAAGTCGGACCGCTGCGCCACCCCTTGGCTTTCGCCTTTTTTATTTTCACGTCTTCGCCCCGCCAGCAAGAAGAATAATTCAGAAGTTATCTTCCAAAGAACAGTAGAAGCCCTTAATTCGAATCCTAGTAGGCCGCAGAATGGTAAACAGTTTCTTTAGACATCGCAGGACTCACTTGAGCCTTGAAGAGCCGGTGAGTTGATTTCTGTCAACCTTGACCTTCTGATGAGGCAGATCTGGTTGGCGTGAGCAAAAGCGTTAGAAAAGCCGTGGTCTGTAACACTTATTTTATCCCGACGGTCGGTAACACTATCACCTAGAAGGATGTTGGTAGACTGGCCGTAGGCTTGAGTCCTTTGAGTTTCTGAATCGATCGCTGATGAATATTACTGAGACATTAACTACCCTCAAAAGCTTGAGGGCCATACCGTAGTCAAGGGAATGCAAGAAAAATCTACCGAGGTTCTCATGTACAAGTGGACACCGTGAAGGACAGTGCTTTAGATTTCATCCAAACCGGAAATCTGGCTTTTTCAGGATTCTCAGCTGTGACGCACCAGACTGACACTCAGACCAACTCTCGACGGCTATGCGGTTTCTATGAGATGCACATAGGTATCTACAAATACGCCCGAGGGTTAGAAGGCCTGTAAATCTTGGTCAACGAATATACCTGTGGTTTCACTGGCACCACTCCTCAACCCTTTGTGACCCATCAAGGTGGAAACTTCAGTCCTAGCTAGATGGAATGATGCTGCGTAGTGGAAAAGACTCCCTGGATTTGATAGAAACTTGCTACTGGTCCGGAATCTGTTCCTATTTTGTTATCTTTACATGCATTACTCGTGACTGGACTCACAGTCACAACTTTAAACTCAGCCTTGGACGCATGAGGGTGCGGTCGAGCGCTATTTCGGGTCGCTGACAACATTATGAGACTGGAACTGGCCAGTAGAACATTCCATTCTGTCATGCATGAACCTCAAATTGCTATTTGTATTCTGTGAGTTACGATCGGTTTCGCAGTCAATTTTTTCCCAAGCTCTCAGAAAGGCTGTGGTGTAAAGTCGTTCGAGGTTTCGGAGGCACGGGTAAACAAGATGAACCAGCTCTGTTCTGCAAGTATGCTGAGCTGTATAACACAATGGCCGTATTCGCCGACTCGTGGATTAATAAAAGGTTATCCACGGAGAAGTCCTCCACTACAAGATTCAAGTCCAGGCGAGGGGCAACTTGATTATTTCCCTACCCGGTTGCCGACCTTCCTTTGGTCAAACCTCTTCAAGAGGACTGAAGGATTGGGATATCCTAAAACTGCGACAAGTGTGTCGCATAGTCTGAGAGAGTTGTCAGAATCTTCAGAAAAACGACCATCGCAGCAGCAATCGGCGGTTTGCTTCCTACACACAAAACTCCCTCTAGCCTGCCAGCCCAAGATACACTTAAGGAACACCTTAAAGACTGTTCCATGTAGCTGAACATTTAAAAGTCATCCTGATGCTAACTTGACATATGCAGAGATCGATCACCAACTATTCGCACTCGTCACATACGCTTGAATATCAGAGCAAGGAAGGGCACAACAGTGTAGTCAGGTGGTAGGGCCAATATGCTGATGCTTTCCGACTGGCTGGCTGGAGGGCCGATTACGAGCAGCACAACGCGACACGACAGCGTGTCAAATGGTCTGGTTGCTCGACCATGTGCCTTCAGCTAGGCGAGTCTGATAAAACAATGAATGTCGTCGAACCTGGGCTGCTGAGAGGTGTGATGCTGCAACTCCGCGCCTATATATTCCATGAGCTGTGAGAGAAGAACTTACCTGAAGAGCCGCCCACATTTTTTCTCACAGGTCCTATCACCATGGAACTAATTGGTGCTCAGGGTAATAAGCTCTTGGTTAGAGACCTAGGCAGATACTCATATTTCGGTGGCACCAACGAAGTGAGCTTTACACGCGCCACGTTGTTAACATGGTCCATTGAATTTCTTCAGTAGACTGAATTCACTCGTGGCGTAGTCAATATTCTTTATTTGCAAAGCAGTTGACAGCGGTTTCCTTGTATCCGGCGTGTTGTATGAATGGTCAAAACTTGGGGCTAGGACCTGGTTCAGGTGCTGTTCGCCAGTGAGCAAACCCCTGCTTCATATCTGACTCCTGACAGTAGGCAATCTACCAACGAAGCAACCGGTTTGCGAAATTCTCGGTTACCACGAGCCCGTTCAATTTGTAGCCTGTCTGGATGCATGTAAACCCCAGGTGACAAACGATGCCCGCTGGAGCGAATCCCTTTTAGTATGATCGTTACCATCGAGGCAGATAGGAACGCTAATTTGCTTAGCACAGGTCTTTTTTCCTCATCTTTTTGGCACACATGCAGGTACGGGTTTCAGGTTCCTGCATGTTTTCGAAAATACACAGTCGTGGTTGTCATTCTAAAATTCTGCTGACTCAGTTTTCAGGAACTCCTCGGAATATCAGATTCTTACTTTGAGAGTAGGCTTCCCGAGTCTCACTGGTGAACCTCTTGAGTTTCATGCTTTCTGAAAGTTGAATGTCTGCAGGAATTCATAGCCCCTTTTGGCCTCAGGTAAGTGAGGTGCTAACAGTAAGTTCTCAGAGTTAGAGGACTTTAATTTTGATAACTGGTGTGGGCTTAGATGGGACTCAGGAAGAGGATTGTTGCTGTGATAACTTATGTTTAGTTCGATCTCATCTGACAAGGGATACTGTCTCACGGCATACGCTCGTTCTTGACCTGAACGCTGCATAGAAGATCGGGACAGTCCTTCAAGTTCATCAGAGTCATAGAGTCGTCACAGGTGGTGATGAGGTTTCCTACCTTGGGATGACGGTTGTTTAATTGATGGACACCCTTAGACTACTCGAGTGCCAACCCCTTCGGTTCACGAACTTCAGCCACCTTTCCACCGGGCCTAAGAATTACTTCTGGCCCTTGTCTACGCACCAACACCTAATGTTTGCCTGCAACACTCTCTCACAGCTTTTTGACACTAAATAGGTTATGAGAGAAATGTTACAATGACCGCAAGTTAATAGCCTTATGCTCAAGCCACTTATAGCAGCCGGAGTCTTGTGCGGCATTACAGAGGAGCCACGCATTCTACGTTTGCCAAAGACATCAAGTTCCGAACATTTTAGACGATTCTCCCATATTTTTTTGCACCAGACACAAATCTTGTGATTCATTGCTTAAATTTCTACAGGTAGTCCTCCCCAGCTATGAAAGTTCAGTGCCCTTAGAAGCTAATACGTAAAGCCACGAAGTTCTTGTCAAACTTAGAGAGATCTTGGGACATCAGAAATTTGTTGCATCGACAAAGCGTATTGTGCCGCATTGGTCCTGGAGCCATCTCATGAATTAAAATGTGGACCTACCTACAGCTTCTGTTTCAAGATCAGACACAAAGTTTTCTCCACGATCAAGCAGCAGAGATGAAAACAGTGTTGTGTCCACACTACGCAGTGAGCAATAAAATTTTTAAAGTCTTCATGGAAATGTTACGTTTGGAATATATTCACAGAAGAATGTTTAAAATGCTGGTTGTTTCTGTGTCGCTCCAGGTGCAACGTGTTAGGACTGGAACCTCTCTGGAAGAAGAGACTTGGAATGAATCTTATATTTTACTATAAGTTACTTCGTAAGCGAATGCACTCATAAAGTACGGTGATCAAAATGGCTGTAACGTACATCCATTATTTAAGTAGTCAGAATCCGCTGGCTGAAAATGAGCGTTGTAAGATCAGATTACAAGGAAACTTCTTCCTTAACAGGTTCTCACATCTGGAATACACTTCCTGAGGAGATGCGTACTGCGGGGCCGTCATCTATCTTTCGTTCTTCACATAGTAAGCTCCTAACAGATGATCAGTCTACCACTAGACCAGGCACTACCTGTACGTTTTGGGCCAATGAAAACATACTGGGACCTCTAAGCGTACAGAGTAAGGCTATCATAAGTCGCAAATACCCCTTGCTCCAGTGAACTCAAAAACGGTGGTTGATTATTAGTCCATCCGGTTGGATTGTGCA